GGGGGGTGATGTTGAAGAGAGGGAGGGAATCTGAGAGAAAGCGGGAGGAGAAAAGAAGAGGACGGGAGCTAGGGCCCTATAGCGAGATAATGGGCAATCTCAGGCACGACGTAAGACGAACAATGGCGGGCAAGATGTATTTTTGGAGATTTGGTAGCTTGGTAGAGCAACAGGTTTGAGGCGGCGTTGGGGGGCGGCGGCGTTGGCGCTGTCGCAGATCGTTGATGTAATAATGTCGCTTGGCAGAGCAAAATAATAGGTAGGTGCCGTTTCACAGTGACTGACGGGTGGCGGGTTGGCGGGGTAGAAGGAGCAGAGGGTCCGGCCGAGAAAAACGGAGATGGCCTTGGTCTTGACACTATTAATGTATGTAGTATTCGTATAATTAATGCGAGGTACGTATAGTCGATGCGATCGAAAGAGGAGATGAAGCAGTCAAAGAGCCGGGTGACAGGACGGAATTGACAAGGAGGAGGAGGAAGGAGAAGGGAAAGAGGGGTTCACACAAGCTTTTATTAACGAGGTCGAGAATGCTCGCTGGCCGGCTAGCGGATCGTGGGTGGGGGAGGAAGAGATGACGGAACGGACGGACGGCGGACTTTTCTTTTTTCTTCCTTTCTTCGTCACGAGCTTTTTTTTCGATAGCAGACTAACTAACAGTAAGGCAGGTACGGATAGGCCGATGCGAAATATTCCAGAGCATCGGAGACGGGTCCTAATTGGCGGGCTTGTGCTTCTTCTGCCAGCCCGGTAATAGTGGTGCGCCGGGGCACTTGTCCGACGTCTTCAGCGCTCGGCATTATGTACAGCGGCAGCTTCCGGGACTCCCGGATGGCCACCACAGCGCACAAGCTGCCTTTCGCCACGTACCGAAGAAGTCACCACCCGAAAAATCCCCTTGGCATTAAGCTTAGGTAGGATAAACTGGTACCAACGATACGCCAAAAGCTTGTCTGTAGGGCTGCCTAGGTAACCAATGACCAAGCACAATCGCACAAGAATTGGTACCTCGACGCTAGTGTCCTAGGGCTGCTTACCACTTGATTACCGGGAGACCTGCCTGCAGATTTCGACGACAAAAATCCAAGTAACTAAATTGACAAACATGAACTATCTTAAAAAGAAAAAAATAAATAAAATGTGTCCTTTATACCGGGCAAATTAATCAAGTACGGGGGTATCAGCATCGACGTCTGTCAAAGTACAGTCGGCTTCCTTCTAGCGCCCGAAGCTGCCGAACGTCCAGCACGAGACTATCCTTCGTCAACGTGAACAAGCCAGTCTCCTGGCTGCACCAAACGGCGTGTATTTTTACGCGTATCTCTCACCAACGCGCATGACCTATCGTGACTCAAAACAACCGGGCTAGCATCCATGTAGGTGACGGCATCGTCGGGGTGTCGGGCAGTCGGGGTGTCTGGGGGTCCTGCTGCGTATTGGGCATCAGAGTATTAGGCCAACATCGTTCCACCTTTAAACCATCGTGGCCCGCCGTTTGGAAGCCAGTTTATCATTGTTGCATCTTTCACCTGCAATATCAAAATGTGTGTGGCAGACGACAACCGCGGGGTTGGGCTGGCGCTGGCACAAGCACCGTCATCGTCGACGTTAGGGTGTGGGCGAGCGCTTATGACTTCTTGTATGACACAGTCAACGTCGTGCCCAATACCTCCAAAACACGATCCAACAATAGATTCGATCGTCAGGTCCAACGGAACTTGACGGTAAGCAATCAAGCAGCAAGATGCTACCCGTCAAGTTTTTCATCATGGTCAGTGATGACGTCAACCAGTCTTATCCGAATACGCCACATATGGCTGGCTGAGCCACACCTCTCTCTGGCAAGTGGGTTGGGACGCTGGGAAGTCTCGAGTCTTAGGTATTATTACCTAGCACAGTTGATTCAGCAGCTTCCTTGTCGAATGCGGCGGGCAACACGATTTATTCACATTCCTGAGAGGCCGGCTAGTTTCGCAATTCTCAACGGCTATCACCATCATCAACTTACATCAATCAATTGCAAACCAATCCGAACCCAGCGCACGGTCTGCTAGATTCGCTGCGACTGTTTCCGTTTCCTGCAGACGTAATCTACGCTCAGCCTCACGCCACAACACCACTCCACTAGCAGATCTGCCCGGCCGTCCACACTCGTACCACAGCCACGTTCAGACCAAGGCTTGGTTGGTTACGAGTACGATGCATTGACGGCAAACTCCCTCCGCCAACACCCCAATTCCTTCCCAACTTCTACAATTCGTCACACTTCACTTGTCACAGTCATTCTTTCATCAACGATTCTGCCCTGTAGCATCTCTGCTGCTGCACTCGCACGATTTCTCCCTCACCCCCCTGCGCCCCCCTGCGCTTCCCCTGGCGAGCCCAACGACAAATACCGACATTGTACCTGCTATGCCCTTTCTACCCACAACCACCGTCGCCGGTGACGCTCCGGACCCAAACGCCGTCCTCATCGAGTCCAAACCAAACAACAAGGGCGGAAAGGCCACCCAGGCCGTGCATGACCAAATACCAACCATCATCGAGCCCACCACCGTCCAACTCAGTTCCGCCAACAACTCGTATGAGCACTTGGAGAAGATCCCCGACGTCGTCGAGGCCGACAGGGTCGACTACATCAACCCTTTCGCCAACAGCTCCCGATGGTACGTTTCCATGCGGGCGCACGCCATCCGCTCTGCCGCCGGCATGGCCTTTAGCCTCTCCAACCGCACCGTGCCCGCGCCGCCCGTGCCCTCCCAGTGCCTCTGGCTCGACTCCACGCTCTCCGCCGCCTTTCCGGGCAAGGACAAGATCAAGGTCGACGTGTGGATGCCGCCGCCGCGCATCGCGCTCGGCCCCCGCGCCGCCGTCATCAACTTCCACGGCGGCGGCTGGATCCTCGGCGCCGGCACCGACGACAGCCGCTGGGCCGCCGCCGTCATGACCTCCATGGACGCCGTCGTCTTCTCCGTCAACTACCGGCTCGCGCCCGCCCACCCCTTCCCCACCCCCATCGAGGACTGCGTCGACGCCATCCTGCAGATCGCCGCGCGCGCCGACGAGTTCGGCTTCGACCCGAACCGCATCGTCCTCTCGGGCTTCTCCGCCGGCGCCTCCAACGCTCTCAGCAGCTGGGTCGTCCTGCAGGAGCCGCAGCGCTGGGACTACGAGCTGCCGCAGCCCGTCCCCGCCATTGCCGGCCTCGCCCTCTTCTACCCCGTGCTCGACTGGACCTTCACGCGGCCCGAGAAGCGCAGCACCTGCCACCGCCCGGACCTCACGCTCTCGCCCGGCCTGACCGACCTCATCGACGCCTCCTACGTGTACCCCGAGATCCCCCGCAAGCAGTGCGACGACTGGCGCCTCTCCCCGGGCCTCGTCGACGACGCCACCCTCGCCAAGCTGCCCCCCGTGCACCTCTGCCTCTGCGAGTACGACATGCTGCTCCAGGAGGGCCTGCGCTTCGCGAAGCGCGTCCGCGCGTGCCCGGACAAGACGTTGACCCTCCGCGTCGTCAGCCAGGAGAAGCACGCCTGGGACAAGCCCCTGCCGCTCGCGGCGGTCAAGGAGAGCGTTGCCGCCGAGTACACGGAGGCGACCCTGGCCATGGCAAGCTGGCTGGGGCAGTTTCACGACACGGACAACGATTCGATGCTCTCGCTGCCCACGAAGCGGCTTCGCCTGCGTCCCTCGGCTTATTTCAAGCGTTCTCGTTCTGCCGAGTAGCCAGTCTCGGGGAAACGCCAATCTTTTTTTGTTTCTTCCTTACTTGCATTCCGGGGGTTCTGATTTCCTATATATGAGCAAGGCGTTTCGGCTTTTTTTCTACATGTACATATACGGGTTGTCCGGGGCATCATGCAGCATATACATAGAACTTTTGCATTAATAGGGGCTTTGGGGCGGGAATAATTTGCGTTTCCAAATTTAATAGTACCAAGAGATTTCTCTTTTACAAAACGAGCATGCCAGAACACAACGCCAGGATCGCTCTGCAGAGAACCAAACGAAAGCAAGACAAGCAGCTAACTCCCCTCCCCTCAGACCGCCCCGTTCACTCCGGCAGAGGCAGGTTCCGCACGTCCCGCGCAAAGTGGTCGCTGGTCCAGTTGAGGTACGACACGACCACCCACGCCATCCACTCCATGACCACGCGCCCGAGCCAGCCGCCGCCGCCGCCGCCGCCGTTCCACCGCGCCATCGACGTCCGGTGCAGCGCTGCGACGTCGGCGCGGCGCAGCGCCTCGTAATCGGCGATCATCCGCGACACGTCGCGGCCGTCGCCCCGCCGTGACAGCACGTGCGCGACCAGCACGCCGTCCTCGATGGCGACGCCGGTGCTCTCCCCCTGCGGCGGCATCTAGCGAAAGCAAAGGGGCGGGTCAGTCGAGCTCGGCGTCGCTTGAGGGAAAGGGACCCAAGAAAAAAACTCACGGCGTGGGCGGCGTCGCCGAGGAGGAGAACGTGGCCCTCGGACCACGCGCCGCCATCGGGTAGCATGCGCACCGGGTAGAAGAACCAGTCGTCGCAGCGCGCCAGGACCTCCCCGAGGCAGTCGATGGCGCCGCCGGCGAACCGGTCGGCGATGGCGCGACGCAGCTCGTCCTTGTCGCGGACCGCCCGGCCCTCGCGGCGGTCCCCGGCCTCGTCTGGCGGGACGGGCATCACGACGGCGACGTACAAGCTGCTCTCCGAGGAGGTCGTCTCGTCGTCACCGGCTGGCTGGTGGCGCGCGAGGAGGAGCGACTCGGCGCCGTGCTGCACGAGTGTGGTGTGGCGCACGAGCGGCTGGCCGCCGGCGCGGGTCCAGCGGGCGGCGTCGGCGGCGGTCGCAGGGAGGAAGCCGTAGGCGACGCACTTGCCCGTGTACGTCTCGGGGCGGTCGGGCTCGACGAGCCGCCGGCGGACGATTGAGTGGATGCCGTCGCAGCCGAGGACGAGGTCGGCCTCGATGGTCTCGGCTGCGGCGCGGGCCTTGTCATCTTCCCGCGTGTAGGTGACGCGCACGCCGCCGTTGTCGAGCTCCGCTAGGTCCTCGACGCGGGCACCGTACACGATCCGCAGCGCATCGGGGTCCTCGTTGGAGTCGCCGAGCGCGACGGCGGCCTCGGTCAGGGCCTCGACGACGTCCTGGCGGCGCACGCGGAGGGCGTCGACGCCCGGCCACAGGGTGGCGAGCAGGCGGCCGGTGCGGTGGGCGACGAGCTCGATGGCGCTGGCGGCGTGGCCGCGGGGTCGCAGGCGGGCACCGGCACCGCCGAGGGCGTCGAGGTAGTGCAGGGCGAGCGGGGTCATGTTGACAGCGCCTCCGATGGTCTGCACGCCGGGCCGCAGCTCCAGCACGGTGATGTGGACGGAGCGGGACGGCGCCGACGACGAGGGATGCTGGGCGATGGCGATGGCGGCGGAGAGACCGGCCGGCCCAGCGCCGACAATGACGATACGAAAAGGGTTGCTCATTGGGGTTTCTGTTTCTTCTGTATAAAAAAAAAAAAAAAAGGCAAACAAATAAGGTGGTCTGTACCTTGCGATTTTCAAGTTGGTGCTTGTCGGTATAAATGCTGTAAGTGGCGCGGCCCTGTGCTCCTTGTCTTGGAGGTAGTAGGGTGGTGTGATGCTGCACGTTGACTTGTCCCTGACGACTGGTTGACTCTATTCTAAAAAGCAGCAAAGCAGCAAGGTTTATACAGACTGCAATTCAGCCCAAGAAGTGCCAATACGATTGAATCCGACGAGCAGCCTCAGCTGGCCGGCCCACGCAAGCACCAACGCAAGCGCGCCATGCTGAATGCAATCAAGTCGCCGCTCTCCTTGCCTAGAAGGGAACGTGGCTGGCCCAACGGTTACGCTAATTGTTATCATCAGGGCCGATCATCAGGATGAACAAGTCCAAGCTGTGCTGTCGTCCATTTGCTGTACGTACGCGATTGCCAGCAGTTGGCGAACGAGGGAGAGAGGCGCCTTGTCCCGGGCTACCGGGTAGCGATAGTAGCAGGAATTCTCCATGCCGGAATGAGTTCCGGGTTGTGCCCTCCCTCGTTTCCGCGCAGACGAGCAAACCCCTCATCCGGGTACGTGGATTTGTCGGCCTAGTTGGCTCGTGTAACTCTGCTTAACTACTGTACAGCCAGCGGTCATGGATGGACATGTCATTGCCACCCATCCAAGGCTTGGACTGACCGGGCTGGCTCGGTTGGTGCAGGTCGCCGTTTGCCATCTGCATCTCACTCCGCGCGCCCCTCCTTGCGTGCAACGCGTTTTCCCTGTGAGATTGTCAGTAGCATTTTCGACTTTTCGAGAGACGCCCTGCTATGGAGGGCTGCACGCGCAGCTACGGTTGCTTTTGAGTGCCATGAACGTAACCTAGACGGCTGTGCTTCGATACCAGCGCTCGGCATTGTATCGTGCAAACGTGGTGACAAATCTCCAGAATCGCTTGGCCCTCCTCCCGAGGCAAATCTGTTGACGCGTTTCACGATCGACTCCCAGGGAATCATCGAATCGAACGCATCGAAAAGTCATCCTCAATACAGCCGAGTTACCTGGCATATTACTATGAGTATATAGCTGTCGAGGCAGAAGAGTTGCAATATGTTCAGGTTGTTTTCAAGGTCAGTGGCCTGATTTGAACTTGCACTGCGCCCACAGGCTCATCTCCTTATAAAGCATGGCCGGGCGCGCCTTTACATACCTGAGTGCCATCCGGGTTTCACGACTTGGGATATGCCATGCTCTCCCCCAAGGCCGCTCCATCCCGCGAGCCTTCATGATAACCTTTCTCACTCGCTCCGTTGGCTCGTATTTGCGGGCAGCCGGAGCCTGCTAATAGATTCCAAACCGCCTATCTAGAGGGTGCCACAGGCACAACATTCATCTTCCATAGCAGCTTTCTCGCGCATATCCATGCCCATAGTCCAAAGCATCCATCGCACAGTTTCCATGCGACACGGAGGTCATGAAGGGAGGTTGGAGGAACCCCGATGGAGCAGTTCTCAAACCTTGCCTGGGTTCATCTGCCACTACCGCCAGGAGACAAGATATTGTCCATTAGCTTCGACACAGATGGTCGGATGCAGCGTAATCAACGACCAGGCATGATGGTAAGTGTCAAGCAAGGCATTCGCCAGCCGTTGCCTTTTGCTGACTGGTCCACGCCAGGTGCACACAAGGCTGGCCGGAACAGTCTTTATCGGATATCTCATGCCAATCAATAGTCCATGCATACAGCTTGGCGAAGAGCCGGAAATTCTTTTTACAAGTCTACAGGCCCCTTTTGTATCATGTGTTGGGGTGTATAGCTCGAATTCCGTATCAGAATTTCAATTTTCTGACAAGGTCGGAAGGTTCCCAAGGGAAATTGCATTCGCACACCCTGAGCCTTTCAGGCTAACGTCTTACACTCCTCTTGACGATGTTGTTCGTCTAGATATAGCTGAAGAGTCTACAAGCGGCGCGCTGCGTAGCTTGATATTTTATTATGCCAACGGCGCCCAGCGAGTAGTTGGCCAGTATCGAAGTGGCTTTCATCAGGTCAAGACCTACGAGGAACCCAACTGCCTGTGCTTGAGACCCTCGCTCCAAACGCCGGCCGCAACGGCGGTGCGACAGCCAGTATATGCGACCGCCAGCCGCAGCTGCGAGGAAGGGCATGGCACGCATAGATGGACACAAAGGCGTGCTTGCTACTCACTGGCGGGTCATGTTCAGGCGCAGTTTGATGCTGATTCGATATCACTTCGCTTTGCGGATGGTAATTCAGGGTGGTCGATGCCATGGCGGGTCCTGGACCTGCACCAGGGCCACCGTTTCTGCAGCCCTTTTAAAAAGTCATCGGTAAAGAGTGCTGGGATGGGCAGCATCCAATCAATTTCCTCTTCAAGCTTTGGGGTCGGTCCTGTTTTGTTGGTCAGTCGCTCGAGTAGCCACGATTGCTTAGAGCCGTCGTGGAATCTACGCGGGGTTGCTCAGAGCGTAAATGACCCACGCGAGGCGAGGCACGGCATGGTCCCGGCTAATTTTTGTCTCGCTTCTTGAGATGGAAAATGGCGTGTATATTCTTATGCTAAATGTCCTTTTTATCTTCACCACTTGGCCTCCTTGCTGTCGAGGAACTGCTTGAGAATGCCGACAATCTTGGCGAGAGCAGTGAGGTAGACCTGGAGATCGCTGGTGACCTTGGAGTTGTCGTCGCCGAGCTTGGCGTAGAAGTCTTTGCGGTAGGGGCAGGCGCTCATGGCGGCACTGAAGATGGGCTTGACGAGGAAGCTGTGGTGAGGCTTGAGGGTGCTGCCGTAGGCGGCGCGGAACGAGTCGGCAAGCTCCTCTTCGGGCTTGGCCGTGTTGGCGGTCAGGGCCAGGCAGGTGAACTCGAGACCACTAGAGAAGGGTGTAAGCAAGCTTTCGGGCTCTTTGTTTTATGCAATTGTAAACTTCTGAGAGATGGGTTCGGCGTACCGGACAAGCCAGAGGAGACCCTCGGTGGCGGTGTGCTTTTTGGTCTTGAGTTCGTTGCGGCAGAGGTCCTGGATGTTCTCGGACTCGATGGGGGAGGCGAGCTGGCGATCGCGGATTTTCTGAATTGCGGTGCCGTTAGACTTTCGTCTTGTATCTTCCATGCGCGTTACATGGGGGAAGTCGTACCTTGATGTTGCCGAGCATGTCGTTCTTGACAGGGGAGAAGGCGACGGACCCCATAGCATCTATCGTGGACGGCAAGTTAGGCACGGTCTGCCGGTTTTGCGGCGGTTAAGGGAAGGGCGGTTAATATTGTACTCACCAAAGATGGTGGTTAGCGACTCGGCGGCCTCGAGGAACTCGCTGGTGGCGACGGCACGGCCATTGGCCTCGTCAATGGAGACATCGACGAAAGACTTCTTGAAGGACGACACAATGGTGCCACCAGGAGGGATGACGGGAGCGGACATGGTTTCTGGGGTGAATGGCAGTTGATTCAGTTGCTGTAGATCAAAGGAAAGCCAATAGGAAGGTGTAAGAAGGCTGGGTTAGATGTCAGAGGACAGATTGATAAACGACGGCGGCGGTGTAGTTTGGCGGAATTGCTGTGACAAAGGGGGGGATGGATGGATGCTGCACTGGTCTTGTTGCCCTGGTTGGTTGAATTGTGAGGGAGGGGAAGAGGGGAACAGGGGAAGAGGGGACCAAAGGAAGAGGGGTGGGTTGCTTGGAGCGAGTCTGCTGCGGGGCACCCGAGACGGGAGGGACGCGTACCTGTATCACGGTCCCGACGGACCATACATCACACTTGGGTGTTGCGTGTAGCGAAAGTCTTGCTGACTTTCAGCATCGTGGACCTCTGGAGCGTTGTAGATGGCCAGTTCCAACGCGCGATTTCAGCGAGAAGCACAACATGTCTTTGGCCTCACCAAAATCCGCGAGCCGTACGTGCAAAGGTGTCAAGCTCTCCACCAGGATATTTTCCGGTTTGACATCCCTGTGGATGATGCCTTTTTTATGCGCATACTCGAGGCCCGCAAGACACTGCTTAAGCAGGATTTGTTTAGCCTCTCGGTTGATACTCTCCAGCTTGGCTATGTGAGTCCGGAGGCTCCCGTGGCGATAGAACGGCATGACCAGTTTCGGCGCAGGCTCTTCGACGGAGTCGAGAAGTGGCACAATGTTCTGCTAGCCAGAAGTTAGTTAAAGTTGTCCGACGCAACGATCATGATTTTTGCAGCTTACATGCTCGAGGGTCTTCAGGGCCTTGATTTCGCTCTTCCACTGTGGCAGCTCAGAGTCTCTAGGTGTGCTGTTGGGCAGCTTCACGGCCGTCTTCTCGCCAGTTCTGACATTCCAGCGGAGCTTGACAGTGCCAAATGAGCCTTCACCTATCTCCTTTTCTAGATACAACTCCCTCGGGGCAGGAGATGGGGGCGGGGCAATGGGTTGAGGGTTCTCAGCAGCCTGCTGTCTCTGGCGAAATGAATCAACCAGCGCAGCAAAGGAGCGGCGGTTGTTGGCGAAGAGTGGGATATTGACGAAAATTCGGAACGACCACCCATCTGACACGTAGAGGATGATTTCTTCTCTGTTGATGTAGTCGTCACCTCCGATGATCCATTCAAAGCTCTACCATGCGGCGTCGCGCTTGCCAGAATATGCCACACAGGGTGCCATTACGGGAACCCAGGTCCTTGACTATCAAGCGATTCTTGTTACCCAAGGTAATACAACAGTTTAGATCGCTGCATTCTGCAGCTAGGGAAGGAATCTGTATGTCGCAGGAGTTGCCTCTGCCAATGGCGACGCTGAGGGAAGATTTGATTAAATTGTCAAGATTGAGTTTCATGTAGGGCTGGTCGTCGTATATGTCCTCTACGTGCTCGAATTCAAAAGGTGAAGCATATGGCCTAATATGGCCTAATATGGCTAAAAGGAACAACTCGGCTTTGCACTGCGCGCCAGGACTTTCCAATCATTGTGTTCATTTGTCTGTCGCCGCGCGGGTGGGCGTAGAGGCGAGCCATGACATGCGGGCCCATCACACGAAGAGCGTCCGCGGCTGGGTTCGTGCTGGCGAATTCGTCAAGATTTCCGGCGATGATGATTGGAAGGGCTGAAGACGGCACCGGGGGGCATGGACAAAGAGACAGGACAGTATGTTGTTGAGTAGCTCATGGCGGGCGGTTTGTGTGTGTTGGCGCGGTCTGGGTCTTTATGCAAGTAGCGCACAGAAGACAGAAGCTGCTCTGACGCATGGTCGTAACAATTATGACAGAAATGCTTGTCTAATTTAGGTATCAACTCAATCTGGAAGGAGTAAACGAGAAGCTGAATGTAACAGGATGGGAGGAAGACGGCTACCCGCCTCATGCCGCCCAGCGCTGTGCAAGTTGGCAACCACCATGAGTCCCGTATTATCACAGCTCGAAGCAATACGCTACCGTTGAGAAATACCCGACGACCAGGGCTATTTTTTGACGTACCAGACTATGATGCCCTCGGAGAGTCCCCTGCATCATATCCGCAGCCGGGTGAGGCGGTGTTCAGCCAGCACGGCACGCTGGTACGGCCTCGTTAGCGACGGCCGTGTCGGCGGTCGCCCGAGGGCTGTTTCGGGACAGTTCTCTATCCGCCTGTCCACCGGCTTATTAGATGCATGCTTGCCCTGATGGATTTCTGAAAATTCTGTACGGATTTGTACAGGGATGCTGTCTCCACCAGGATGCAACTGCCCGCCCTCTCCCAAGTCAATACCATACATACAGATGAGCTGACTGAGAACAAGCCCTTTACTTGCCCGCGGCCCCCGTTGCATCTTGGGTCCTTTATGTTCCCCTCCTCCTTTGCCCCCCCTTTTTGTCCTTGTCCACTTTCAGCCCTTCAATTTTTGGGTCACTTGCCGACCTGCGCACCCAGACCCAGAGTTGATGAGGTCCGTCTGCGCAGTGTTGTACAACGCGGCCGCCGTTGCGCTCCAGCTTTGAAAAACAAGGCTGCCAGGCTGTTCTGAGTCTTCCACCCCCAAAGCCCCGTCATTAGCATTCGGATCATTCAAGTGATCCGTATTTCCCCCCAAGTAGCCTGATCCAGAAAGATCGGCCTAGGGCAGAGGTCCGGTGCGTGCCGCGCCGCGCCCGGCCACCGATAGCGGCCTGTTACCCGGGCCGACGACTCCACAGACGCCGAACCACCGGGACAATCCGAGCAGCAACGGCAGACCGAGCCAACAGCAGACGACTTTGTCAAAAATACCCAAAAGCCCAGAGAGTCGGCGTCGGGAGAGTAGATTGGCACTGACACTAAGGAACGGATCGGACGGATTTCACCCAACACTCAAGAAAGGCAGCGTACCAGAACAAAGAATACCTTATCAACTTTACCCATTGGTTGCATCCTAGAGCAGCCGCATGCCTCGCTTCCGCTGAGACGTGCTGCTCACCTCACTCTTCCACCGCCAGTCTTGAAAGCGATCCGGTACCAATTTCATTAATGCACTCTGCGTAAATTACTTTCTTTGAGTGGCGGCTTGGTCCTCCGCCTGCTTCGTGGTTGTGAGCCTTGACTCGATCGATGTTGACCAAAGCGCAGCCACCGGATCACCGCAACCAAATGGCCGAATAGTCGGCGTCTCCGCGCCATCTCCCTTGGGCACATTTTTCCGGCGCTGCACTCCAGCCACCCGGCGTTTGCGCGATTTAGAATCAAGCTCGGGGCTCTCCGTGTCCCCGGCCGTCCGCTTTCCGGCCCCGCCAGCCGCCCACTGCCCGGGCCCCAACACGGTGGAGCTTCCCAACGCCGGGGTCAGCGAGCCGAGCACCGACAGCCCCGACGCCTCCCCCGCCGCCGCGTAACCGCCGACGATTAGGCCGTGGATGCGATGGCACGCCCCTCCCCGAACCCCCTCGACGCGGTCGCTCGGATTCGCGGGGAGCGCCATCGCCGCCCGATAGCACGCCGCGGCGGACGAGCGGTCCTCGCCGCGCGGCCGCAGCATGTGCCGGGCCAAGAACTGAGCCATCGTCCCGCGATGGACCGCCGCGTGCGCCTGCAGGTGGCGGACGATCCGGTCGCAGACGTCCGGCCCGTGCCCGTGCGGCAGCCCGAAGAGGAGTTCGTAGACGACCAGGCCGAGCGCCCACACGTCGACGGCCTTGGTGTAGTACGCGGTCGCGTACGGGCGCAGGCGGTGCACCTCCCAGATCTCGGGCGCCATGAAGGCCTTGGTGCCGCACACGGACTGCAGCGGGCCGTCCTCCTTGGCGAACCCAAAGTCGGCAATCTTGACCTGCAGGGGCCGCCGCGACGCCACCAGGATGTTGTCCAGCTTCAGGTCGCGGTGCACGATGCCGGCCGCGTGGGCGAATTGGAGGCCGGCGAGGGACTGCTGCAGGACTTGGAGGATGTCGGCCGCCTCCAGCTCGTCCGCAACGTCCGTGAGCGACCCGCCGGAGCAGTATTCCAGATACAACCGCGGTCGAGGGCTGAACTCTGCACGCAGAAGCTTCAATATGTTTTGCTGTGTTTCCTGTTAGCGAGTGTTCTGACCAAGATTCTATCCACGGATGGCATCTTACATGGCAGAGCCTTTGCATGCTCTCCGCTTCCGCCTTCCACCGGTGCTCGTCGTTCCCGGGGACGTAAGCATTGGTGGGCTCTTTGACGACCATCTCCTGCCCCGTGCTGACATCCCACACGTACGTAGCCGTTCCGCAGCCGCCCACCGCCAAGAGCGCTTCCCTGTAGATGGGGTCTCGACTGAGCGACGCCGCCCCGTTGTTGGTGAAGCGTCGGCGGAGGCGCCTGTTGACAGCCTGGAAGAGCGCCTGGGAAGCCCCGGATCCCCGGCGGAAGCTCTCGACCTTGTGCGCGTACTCGTTCCGCGCAAGATCTACTCCCAGCTCGAGGCGGAAGCTCAGGCCCGGGGCCACGTAGATCATGACGTCCCTGCTGGGCATCCGGTTGGAGCCCCCGACCAGCCAGCGAAAGTTTCTTCGCCGCAGCGTCTTTGAGAAGGGCCTGCCGCTTCCGGTGAAGGATACCAAAGTGCCGGCCGTCGAGTTGAGGTCCCGGACCACGAGCCGGTACCGGTCGTCGAGGCTGAGGCTGAAGTGGTGCGCGCTGACGCCCGCCGCGTCGGGCAGGACCACATCGCTGTCCCTGTCGCAGCCAAACACGATGCCATGGGAGGTCTTGGGAATCGTGTCGAACGAGATTTGGATGTGAGGATTCGACAACGTTTCCGAGGTGCTGTCGCTGCTAGGATCGATGGGCGTCACCAAGTGATTATTGCGCCCAAATGGAGAGGCGATGGGCAGGCTGGTAGGCAGTGAGACCGCAAAAGGGCTTCGCCGAATGGTTTCTGCCGCAAGTATTTTATGAGGTGGCCAGGCACATAGTCGGGCAATGACATCGCTGTTGTTCATGGTAGGTGCTGGCTTTCGTTGAGATGTGGACGGCAGGATGAGGACTGACGAGAGCATCTCCCTGTTGACAGGGCAGGGCGAGCTCTTATGAGAGCCATGGGGACAATGTAAATGTTATCTCCTGAATCAGGCTTCCAGAGATGCATTGCCGCAAACTTTTGGTTTTATCCAAGCAATTTGGTCGTCTGGAGCGGGGCGATTCAGAGGTACAGAGACAAAGCTGATCTGTTCTATGAGAGCAAATATGGGCGGCCAGCTTGCTTCCTTTTTCTTTTTTTTTACTACATGAAACAGGAGGTATCGCAATTTCTATGACGAAAAATTTCAGACCTGGTCAAAGACGATGTACATAGGAGAGGCAAAAGTGATTGTGGTTTAGCCGCCTGGTCCAGAGAACAAATGCTGTTGCAGCTGGATCATGCTGCAATCAAACAGTACCATTTTCTCTTTTTTTTTTTAAAAAAAAAAAAAAAAAAGAAACAGAACCAAATTAAGATGGAAATCTCTAAATATGAACAAGTTTGAATGGTCATATCAAGCAACTACATAGGAAGTAAGCAGCCGCTCCTCGTGTCGCGTATTGATCAATCACGACGCATAAATTGGCGGGGGTGCACAATGACGTCAGTGACGAGACTTGCTGCGGTTCTTAATTTAGAGCTCGTCTGTGGCTGCCAAAAGCTGGGCATGGCTTGCCGCCGGTCATCTGCCAAACCTGCTGTATTAAAACCAGGCTTTCAGCGTCCTGTCCGTTAATTGGCCAGAGGAGAGGCGCACAGGTGCTGAAAATGATGCCATTACTGGTCCATATCCGTTTGCCGATCACAGCTCCTTTGCAGTGACGTTGCCCAGCTGAGAACCCCGCTATAAACTATGTATGTACTCTATGTATGTACTCTATGTACAGATACAGCATGTACAACCCACTGTATGTACCTCTCACCTCCCTGCTAAGCTTAAAGCAACCCCGTCGTAACCCCGAACCTGCCCTCACTTTGTTTTGTGCCAAATCCAGCAATTAAAGTTTGAGGGGTCATCAGGTCGTTTGGTCCCAATTCTCCCAGCTACATCTCGACCGGGCACATCAGAGTATTTGCTATTCCCTAGTCTGCACCATCCTACGCTGGGTTCGTTGTGTAGCCTTTACCCCGCCATCGTCACCGACATCACCTCTTTCCAGAGCGCCCAAGCGCAAAGCTGGCCGCGTAAACAGACTTTTACCAAATCGACGCCTCCGCCGCCACCAACATGACGGGATCTGGCGAAAAGTCCGAGTCTGGGGGCGATAACATCTTTAAAAGCTTCGTGGGCGACATGAAGGAGAAGCTTCATGATTCAAAGCTCCAGGATGTCAAAGTAGCCCTCCACCACAAACGGTACGCACACGCGGTCACCCATCACCACATGACATGCGGTTCAACTTTGACTAATTTGACGCAGAGCCCAAATAGGAAAGATTGGAAACATCGTAAGGCTTATTCCCTCGCAAAAAGAACATGGACTTCTGCTGACCAGTATATAGTTCAACAAAAACCACCGCCACGACGAGGCCCACGAGCAGGCCTGCGACGAGAAGCGAACCGCCGCCTGCGGGTCCCACCGCTTCGAGTCCTACTTCCCCGAGCGCGACGGGAACCTCGTCAAGTGGTACGTCGACGGCCGCGACTACTTCTGGGCCGTCTCCGTCGCCCTCGAGCAGGCCACCGAGTCCATCTACCTCGCCGACTGGTGGATCTCGCCCGAGCTCTTCCTGCGCCGGCCCCCGCACTACAAGCAGGAGTTCCGCCTCGACCAGATCCTCAAGCGCAAGGCCGAGGCCGGCGTCAAAATCTTCGTCATGGTCTACAAGGAGGTCGAGGCCGCCCTGACCTGCAACTCCATCCACACCAAGCACGCCCTCCAGGCGCTCTGCCCCGAGGGTAGCCCCGGCCACGGCAACATCCGCATCCTGCGCCACCCGGACCACAACCCCTTCGAGAACGTCGCCGACACCACCATGTACTGGGCGCACCACGAAAAGTTCATCGTCATCGACTACGCAATCGCCTTCATCGGCGGCCTCGACCTCTGCTTCGGTCGCTGGGACGCCCGCCACCACCCGCTCGCCGACGTCCACCCGGAGGGCGTCACCGAGGAAATCTGGCCGGGACAGGACTTCAATAACAACCGCGTCATGGATTTCCAGAAGGTGGAGGACTGGCAGCAGAACGAGCTGAGCAAGGCGGAGTACGGCCGCATGCCCTGGCACGACGTCGCCATGGGCGTCATTGGGCCATGCGTGTACGATATTGCCGAGCACTTTGTCCTGCGATGGAATTTTACCAAGCGCGACAAGTACAAGCGTGACGACCGCTACGACTGGATTGTCCTCGAGGGCCGTGAAGGTGAGGACGAGGACTTGGTCGGCGTGCAGCGACCCAAGCATCCCTGTGGCGACTACGTCAAGCATCCCCTGACGCCTCTCGCCACAAAGAACCTTGAAAAAAGAGGCACAGTCCACGCCCAGATTGTTCGCTCCAGCGCTGATTGGTCAAGCGGCATTCTGACTGAGCACTCGATTCAGAATGCGTACTGCGAGATTATTCGCAAGGCTGAGCATTACGTTTACCTGGAAAATCAGTTCTTCATCACTGCCACGGGCGAGCATCAGAGCCCTATCCATAACACTATTGGTCGAGCAATGGTCGATGCTGTTCTCAGGGCCGCCAAAGAGGAGCGCAAGTTCCGTATCATCGTCCTAATCCCAGCCATCCCCGGATTTGCTGGCGACCTTCGCGAAAATGCAGCGTCCGGCACCCGGGCCATTATGGACTACCAATACAAGTCCATCTGCCGCGGAGAGCACTCAATATTCGAGCAGATCAAGGCGCAGGGCGTCGACCCCAAGCAGTACATCTTCTTCTTTAACTTGAGATCTTACGACCGCCTTAATAGAACAAAGGCTCTCGTAGAGGCCGAAAAGAAGTCGGGTGTCAAGTATCAGGATGTACAGCGAGCGGAAGCTGAGGAAATCATGAAGGAGGGTATCCACGGGACCAATGACCCTGCCCACAATGAGCGAGATGAGCACATGGGTACCCTTGAACAGCAAAAATCCAAGGATAAGGCCGCTATCGTCGAAAATGCAATGGAGGCAAAACGCAAATTCGAAGCAGCAATGCCCAAAGAAAAAGATACAAAGCTGCCGTCGCTTGCGCATCATGCCATGGCTGGCCAAGGCCCCCTGACGGAGGAGGCTTGGGATGAGGATGGCGATTCGGAGCAGGAGATTCAGAACTGGACCCAGGAGGAACTGTACATTCACTCCAAGCTCCTCATTGCCGACGACCGGGTCGTGCTCTGCGGCTCCAGCAACCTCAATGACCGTAGCCAGCTGGGGTACCATGACAGTGAGCTGAGCATCGTCATGGAGGACACGCGCCGTATCCCGAGCACCATGGACGGTAAGACGTTCGAGGCCGGCTACCACGCGGCCACGCTGCGCCGGTACCTGTGGCGCGAACACCTGGGTCTGCTCCCGCCGCAGAACTTTGACGCGGGCGAGGACGACATCAACGCGCAGCCGCCCAACGTCGCGCCGGAAAACGACATCTACGACGGGGACGACAGCTACAAATTTGTCGAGGACCCGCTGGGAGATGAGCTCTGGACGCTCTGGACCGGCCGGGCAGACCGAAACACAGAGATATTTCGTCATCTGTTTCATTGCGATCCAGACGATCATAGTAAGTGACAGCAACCTCTTTGCCCCACCGCATGTGATCTCGGAGCCCGTTGGAACAAGACATTTCGGGTCGGAACATTTCGAACGCGGGGCGTTCTTCGTTCCCTTATTGTTTTCTTTTTTTTTGTCCTGTTTCTTGTTTCACTTCAGTTGGCAAAACACGGCTGCGACTAACTCACCTTCTCTCTCCCTTGCAGTCAAAACATTCGAAGACTATGACCGTTACCTGCCACCGCGGGGCGTCAAGGCCGGTCACATCTTCGATCAATTTATGCCGGCGGCAGACGCGCGAGCCAAATTGGACGAAATCAAGGGCCACCTGGTGTGGATGCCCATGAACTTTCTGCAAGACGCCGAAATGGCCGAGAGGGGACTGCAGGTTAATTCGTGGACGGAGAGCGTGTACACGTAGTCAAGGGAGGATCATCCAGCCAGCTAGCTGGTGGGCGGCGGTGCTGCATTGCGGGCGGCACGGGACGTACGATTCGAGGAAATGCGACACAGCCGGCTCCGCCCTAGATAGAGCGAGAGCGGGGGGAGGGCGTACTGCAGAGGTATATTTTTTCATAGCCCAACGAACGCATCTTGTTGCCTTGCTGGTTATCCCTTTGATATGTTGGGAGGTGCGGGAGGTCGAGAGTGAAACGGCCAAGACGGCAATGGTGTGGTCATCCTGCCGTTAAACCCTATAACTCGAATGTCGTGCGACACACCACCACAGGCACACGACGCACTTCTCAGGCGTGCCATCAAGATCCATGTCCCTTGATCGGGACATATAGGATAGGACAGCTTCGGTATAACTTAACTAGTGTGGATGAGCGGGCGCTGTATAAAAGCCGCCACTTTTGCCAGCTGGCGAGGGGACCCTCCCTCGATGGACCGATCCCAACGGGCAGGCAGTTGGCGGGCAGGAAGCCAGCACAGGGCAACGGGCAACGAATAGAAGCGGGGGTCGAAGAGACAGTGTAACGAATATCTACGGCTGCCTGCCCCCATTTCCTCTTTCCCGCTGGCGGGCTTCCTTCTGGAACTGGCTTTTGTCTTGGCCCTAGACCGTCTTAGACCATGTTTGAGGGGGTGGTGGTGCTGGCTGATTGAGTGATGCTTGTTTGTGCTTGTGCTTGTGCTTGTGGCGCCGGGTTGTCGTGGGTATATAAAAGCAAGCCCTTGGTCGATTATTGCATACAATGAGGAGGGCTGCGGGCGTAATTTAAGAAAAACGCTCGGCGCCCTGATCTGTTGCGAATTTTTATTTTATTTTTTTTTTATAAATCTCTCTTGCTCCTGTCCATTCGTTAGCCTGGGCACAGTTTTCCTCTCATGCCTTCTCCCGTCTTATCACCGCTCGCGCCGCTGCGACGCATCGGAGACGACGTATACCTCTACGAGCCGTCGACTCCGGCAGCGGACCCAAGCTACCGCGGCCCTTCGCTCATCGTCCTGTCGACATGGCTCGGAGGCGCCTCGACTAAGAATATTGGGCGCTATGTGGCCGGCCACAGGGCGCTGTTCCGTAACGCCTCGGTGCTGCTCGTCACGGCGCGGCTGTCCGAGATCACTGTGACGCCCTTTGCGCGGATGCATGGACGGCTGCAGCCTGCCCGCGACGTCATCGTGCGGCATGTCTTGGGCGCCGGTGCGTCTTCCTCATCATCATCATCCATACTGTGGCACATTTTCTCCAACGGCGGGCTCAACACCGCAATCCAGCTGGCGCGCATCGCTCGTAAGGCCCTGTCAACCACCGGGCACGCCGCCGACCTCGATACGGCGACGGGTGCCGTCATCATGGACTGCTGCCCGGGCGACAGCTCGTTGGGGCGGACCTTCCAGGCGGCGGCTTACTCGCTACCCGACACGTGGGCGGCGCAGACGGTCGGACGTCTATTGCTTTTCCCGACCATTGCAGCGCTCTTGGGTGCGCAGAGTGCGGGGCTACTCCCCGGCCGGGGTACCGGCACCGGCGGCGGGTCTCTCGCGGACCTATACCACGGCGCTCACGACCCGAACATCTTTGGCCGCGGCGCCCGTCGCATGTACCTGTACTCGGTCTCGGACCGGCTGGTGCCGTGGCGCTTTGTTCACCAGCATATGGCGGAGGCGCGCGACAAGGGCTTCGCCGTTGATGGGGAGGCCATTCCCGGCGGGGGCCACTGCGCACTATTGCGCGGCGACGCTGATCGGTACTGGCGCGCCGTGGCAAGGTGCTGGGCCGAGACGGATGAGGAGCGCAATGATGCAGAACCGTTAGGTGTTTCCGGTGTAAGTAGAAGTCAAGATGAAGGGGAAGAGGAGATGTCTCCGGTTACTGCAATGTTGCGTAGCCGTCTGTAAAGCGACCTATTATGGACAGTATGGTACACTAGATTGCTCAAATGATTTACGAGTTAATGCCCAAATGGAAAGACACGATCAAAGACAGCTGATGAAGCCGCCCATGACGTTTTCTCGATAACGATTCCAGAACTCCGCGCGAAATGATGGGCGCTGCAATTGTCGTGGCCTCGACAGGTACAGGGTGGACTATTTTCCCAGCGTCAGCAGAGTGCCGAAGCTACTGAGGACTCAATGAGAACCCGTCGAAGATCAGTCACGGCCCGAATCTAAAAGTGTGTTGATGAGCTCTGTTTTTGGTTGGACAATTGGTCCCTGACCGTGACGGTGGAGAGCAGCGTGACGTAACTGGCGCTAGCGGTGACAAGCCACAGGGTCGATAAGGCGTCTCATTCGCTGGAGAACAGGGCTTGGTAAATGAGGAAAGCAGTTTTGAAGGCATTGAGATGAGGAGGTTATAAAGTTGAGTGGTAAGGACGCCGCAAAGACGAGGCCGGAGGTGGAGAAGTGATGTAAGACAGCGCGGTGTATGGAGATCTGGTTTGTCACACCCAATACCAGAGCCGCAGCTGGGGAGTTGTCGACATGTGAAGGGATGTTGAAGATGCTTTGATGTTTATCAAGCATATCTGTGCACTGAGAGCTGAGAGCGTTAGGCTCCTTGACCATATTAGAAGGTTGTCGAGTGCAGCCTGACTGGTGCCGCAGAGAGGCCGAGGCCAGAGGGCGCATTCAGAATGTCAAGGATATTCCGTATTGACAAATAGGATTTCTTCACACCGTCGAGAAACGGAAGCCAGTAGAATTGGATTGCCTATAAGGAGCTGCCTGACTGACACTAGTGCCGGCGGCTGCCGTAGTCAAGAGAGAGAGGCTGAGAGGCGGGCGCGTAAACATAAGAGGTAGAAAGACGTGGGAAGTTGTGAGGCGGGTACGGGTGGGGAAAAGAAAATTGATCGTGGTTTTCGGGAGACGACGGTGAGTTTTCATTGATTCTGGTGATGCAAGTTGCTGAGACACGGGGTGATGTAAGCGCTGGTGATGATAATGTAGATGATGATTGTGAAGATGGAGGAGAGGGAAGCAGAGAGAGAAGCACAGAAGCCGTCACCAACTTGTTTTGTGGGCCACAGGTACATAAATACATACATTCATGGAACCTCGACTAGCGCTGAATTGCTGGACGGCTGCAATGTTTATTCGTGCGCACAAGGTACCAAAGCCAGCGTCGATACGATGAATATCCGATGAGATTGTCTTGTGGATGATAAAGAGGTGATTCTAAATTCATTCATGGCTTCAATATAATGACTTTGCATTTTTCTTAATTTCTGAACGTAAATTTTAAACGTCAGAGCCCCCTCCCCCCTTGCTATATCAGTTGTCAGTACCTATGTATGTATGTATGTACCTTACATAGCTCGCCTGATGCGAGCTGGCTGCGTGCGTCATTACCCGCTAACTAATTAATACAGGGGTACCTGCCAGCCAGCAGCCTTGAATGGCAGTGACGGAAGCGCGGGGATTCTTTCCAGGCTCGCGGCGTGGCGCCCAGCAACTGCCATCCCACCCCGCTTCTGCCCTGCCCGCTCATCAGCAAGCAGCTCGCTTCTGAGAGCTTAGTACTAACCTACCTACACTTATCCTTTATCTTGGGAATCAAGGCCTTTCTCGTGCGACACAGCGCGTGTCCTTGTCTCGTCTCGTCCTTCCTGTCCTTTCTTTTGCCGACGCGCTGCCGCCGACATCCCGTCGTCCTCGACCAGCTGAACAATCATCCAGCTTTCGTCGTCTCCAACTCTCCAACCGCCCAGCCAGAGCTTCCTCGCCGTCCTACCGCCTACAACCACCCGGCTGGTCGCAGCTCCTCCACCTCCGCTACACACCACCCAGCACCACCCGCATCGAAACCAGGCCGCATCCTATGCGACCTCCTGTGCCCTATCTATCTCCCATCACGCTGCAGGAACCCAGAATCTACATCATCCTGGCCTGTACCCGATCGCCACCTCGCTGACGAAGCCCCAGCTGTCCGGGCGGCTTCGTCTCCATCGCTCCCACATCGCCCGACAGTCGTCATATCTCCCCTGCTGCCAGCGAGCGACTCCTCAACAATCCTCTCCGAAGCATACTCCCAGCAGCACTCGCCCGTCAACATGTCACAGTCGCCCATGATCTCCGTGCCTGTCAAGGCCACCAACGAGATTGACTGGGTCACGCCCCTCAAGAGCTACATTCGCAACACCTACGGCGACGACCCCGAGCGTTATGCCGAGGAGTGCGAGACCCTCAACCGTCTGCGCCAAGACATGCGCGGCGCTGGCAAGGAAAGCACCTCAGGTCGGGACATGCTCTACCGCTACTATGGCCAGCTGGAGTTGCTCGACTTGCGCTTTCCCATTGACGAACACCACATCAAAATCTCATTCACCTGGTAACTTTCCCACACTCTGCTGGATATTGCCACCTTGTTGGTATGCCTGCTGACCCGCTCAACACTAGGTTCGATGCATTTACCCACAAACCAACAACGCAATACTCCCTTGCCTTTGAAAAGGCCTCCGTCATCTTCAACATTTCCGCCATTCTTTCCGCTCACGCTGCCCTCCAGAACCGCGCCGACGACTCGACCCTCAAGGTTGCATACCACTCCTTCCAAGCCTCTGCCGGCATGTTTACTTACATCAACGAAAACTTTCTGCATGCCCCTTCCTTCGACTTGAGCAGGGAAACGGTCAAGGCATTGATTAATGTCATGCTCGCTCAAGCGCAAGAGATCTTCATCGAGAAGCAGTCCAAGGACAACACCAAGATTGCTCTCCGCGCCAAGTTAGCTGCACAAGCCGCATACCTGTACAGCCAAGCTCTGGAGGGGGTCCAAGAGAATGTCACAAAGGCACTCTTCGAAAAGGTCTGGCTAACAATGGTCACCATTAAGACCAGTCTCTTCTCATCCATGGCGCAATACTACCAGGGCCTGGCGGACGAGCAGGCTAGCCAACACGGAGTTGCTGTAGCGCGATATCTGGCTGCTGAAGCTCTTGCAAAGGAGGCTGATCGCCTCGCCAGAAATTTCCCTAGCAATGTCCCTTCAAGTTCCAATCTCAGCGCAGATTGCGGCGCGCACCTGCAAGAGCTTTGCAAACGCCATTACTCATCCATTCAGGACAAGCACAAAGAGGCGCTCAAAGACAATGATTACATCTATCACCAACCTGTTCCGGCCGAGGCCAGCCTCCCAGCCATCGCCAAGCTTCCTGCCGCGAAGCCCATTCCTGTCAGTGAGCTATATGCTGGCCAGGATATCCAGCGCATCACTGGCCCTGATTTGTTTGCCAAGATTGTGCCGATGGCTGTAACCGAGTCGGCCAGTTTGTATGATGAGGAAAAGGCAAAGCTTGTCCGTGCCGAAACTGAAAAGGTTGACACTGCCAATGGTGAAATGGCGGCCAGCTTGGATTATCTGCGGCTTCCTGGTGCCCTGCAAGTGCTGAAAGGCGGCTTTGACCGAGACATTCCTCCAGACGAGAACTTTCGCCAGTGGTGTGAAGACATTGCCACGCACGACGATCCAACTTCGATATTTGACTTTTTGAGCTCCGAGAAACGGGCCATTGTCAAGAAGCTGGAAGAGAGCTCAACAGCTCTAGACAGAGAGGAGGGTGTCTGCGAAAAGATGCGATCCAAGTACAGCGCTGAATGGTCTCAACAACCTAGCGCTCGCCTCACAACAACTTTGCGAAGCGACATTCGAGGATACCGTGAGGCGTTGGACGAAGCTTCGCGGAGCGATGGCCAGTTGGCTAGTAAGCTTCAACAAAACGAGGCCGATTTCAACGAAATGCGTGACGCTGTCAATGCCGGTCAGGTTGATCAAATGTTCCAAGAGGCCATCTCGCGGGCACGAGGTCGCAACAGCCAGGCCAACAGCCCTGCTGGAATCGAGCCAAACCTGCTAGACACCGACTTCGGCGAGAGTGGACCCAGCGTAATGGATCAAATAGCCATCATCGAAGACATTCTGAAGAAGCTTAATTTGATCAAGAGAGAGAGGAACCAAGTGCTCAAGGACTTGAAAGAAAAAGTAAGCTACTCTATAGGATCAATGTAGGAGATGCATCTTATACTAACAACTCCACTAGGCTCACAAGGACGACATCTCTCAAGTATTGATTCTCAACAAGAAGTCAATCTCGAATTATGAAAACCAGCTTTTCCAACAGGAATTAGAAAAGTTCAGACCTCATCAAAACAGGTTGCTGCAGGCCAACCACAAGCAATCGTCTCTCATGAAGGAGCTGACGTCGGCATTCAACATTCTATTGCAAGACAAGCGGGTGCGGTCAGAGCAGAGCAAGTATGAGACTGTGCAGCGGCAACGCTCGTCTGTAATCAACCGATACAAGAGAACGTATCAAGAATTTTTGGACCTGTATGCTGGACTACAAAGTGCCAAGAACTGGTATGGAGAAATGAGGGACACAGTCCAGAGCTTAGAAAAGAACGTGGAGACGTTTGTCAACAATCGCAGAGCAGAGGGTGCTCAGCTTCTGGACCAAATTGAGAGGGACAAGTCGGCAAACCGCAGCAACCAAGCTGCTCTAGAACAGGAGCGTCTCCGTGGCCTCATGGAACGGATGTCGATGGAGGGCACAAAGTCACCGCCGCAAAAGTCACGGCCAACTCCAGCCGCTCTATTCCAGCCCGGCCAGGCGCCGCGTTACCAGCAATCAGGGAGCTACCAAGGCCAGTACAGTATGCCAAACTCACCGCCGGCGCACCAGCAGACATATGGCGGCTATTCGAGCCCTGCCCCGCCAGCCAGCACATTCTCACAGCCTACATACAACCCGAGCCAGTACGGAATGACTCCGGGGCCGACGTCACCCCCGGCGAACCAGACGACGTTTAGTATGAACACCATGCGGCAGGGACCCCAATCACCACCGGCGACACAGACGTCCTTTGGACACACGCAACAGCAACCGTACCAAAGCTATCACCAGCGGTCATACTCGTCGCAGTCGCAGCAGCACATGCCGCAAGCGCAGACGGGCTACGTGCCTCCTGGATTCGTCCCCCCACCCCCGCCGCCTGGGCCACCCCCGCTGGGGCCGCAGCAGACTGTGCATTACGGAAACCAGGATTACGATCCTACTGGTGGTCGGCCTCCCAGCTCACAGGCGCGAGCAGGCCAACAAGCACATGATCCGTGGGCAGGGCTGAGTGCGTGGAAGTAAGGTATATGATGGAGACTAAAAATTAGTTGAGGGGGGTGTATGCTGAAATGTTGGATCAGTCTTTTGGTTCTACGTCATTTCCGTTGATATCTTTGTTTGCCCTTTTTATGGGTGTTTTTTTTTTGAGACTAGTCATGTGCATTGGGTTGATTAGTTGCATGGAATAAAAGTCTAGCGAACCCGGTTCTTGTTGCTAGCCACTGTGTATTGGGTATGATTTACCTACAACATCATGATGTACAAATTAGTGCCAGCAGTGTACATGCCGCGATTTCGCTCGAGGCCGATTATGAGCGCCGGCCGGGAGGGGGGAAGGCGAAGAAAGCGTCGAGTCGCTGATATTTATTAACTACAGTAGCTGATATTTAGCAGCCCAATGATTGGCAAGGCGCCGCCGGGCAGGAGCGGTAATAGCGGGACGCTTTATCCGTCCGATAGCGGGGGGCGCCACTATAAGTTGGTGATAGACATGCCGAAACACCCTCCTTGGTCCAAGAATTAGTATTCGGCAGATTGGGGGCCACTAAAATGCATGGGAGAAAATAACCTCTTCTCGTCGTCCAGCTAGTGAATTTGTATTAGCTTGTCTGTAGTAATGTTGCTGCCTTCTACCCCACACCAGCCCGCTGCCCCGGCTTCCCCCCCATCTTTTGCTTCCCGTTTGCAAGCCTGCGAATCCGGAATCCCCCACGATTTCTTCCTTTTCATCCAGCCCACGACTTGTTTTCCTCCTTCGCCTCGTCTTGGTCTTCAGCCTCTCTGAGTCCTCTCAGGCCTGTTTTCCCCACTGCCACATTCATTGCATTGCATTGAGATTGGCCGATACCCATACATAGAGCCCTTACATCATTGACGCCACGCAAAGCTCCCACCATGTCGCTAAAAGGTGGTGATGTCGCGCAGCACAACAGCGCCGACTCGTGCTGGGTCATTGTCCATGTATTTCTGCCCAATCCTTCATCTGCTATCTCTGGGCGCATGCAATTGCACAAATCTAACCCGACCCTTACAGGGCAAAGCCTACGACGTGACCGACTTCCTACCCGGTTCGCCCTACCCACCCGCCTCCAATGCCGAGGAACAAGCATCTAACCATGGCCTTTGCACAGAACACCCCGGCGGCTCGAAAATCATTCTCAAATACGCAGTACGGTGCCAGACACTAAATGAACCTACCACTGAAAGACACGCGCGCTGACTATCCATGTGCAGGGCAAAGATGCGACGGAAGAGTTCGAGCCCATCCATCCCCCCGACACCCTCGACAAGTACCTCGACCCTTCCAAGCACCTCGGCCCGGTCGACATGAGCACCGTCGAAAAGGCAGCTGACAAGGCCGATGACCCCGAGGAGGTCGAGCGCAAGGAGCGCGAGAGCCTCAAGCCGCTGCTGTCGCAGTGCTACAACCTGCTCGACTTTGAGGCCGTCGCCCGCCGGGTAATGAAGAAGACAGCCTGGGGGTACTACTCGAGCGCCGCCGACGATGAGATTGTACGCAAGCACAACACATACAAACACAATACCATATCAAAATAACAATACTAACCTTCTCTTTCTTCACTCAGACACTCCGGGAAAACCACAGCGCCTTCCACCGCATCTGGTTCCGCCCCCGCGTCCTCGTCGACGTCGAGCACGTCGACCTTTCCACCACCATGCTCGGCGCCAAGACCTCCGTGCCCTTCTACGTCACCGCCACCGCCCTCGGCAAGCTCGGCCACCCGGAGGGCGAGGTCGTCCTGACGCGGGCCTCCAAGACGCACGACGTGATCCAGATGATCCCCACGCTCGCCTCGTGCTCCTTTGACGAGATCGTCGACGCGCGGCGCGGCGACCAGGTGCAGTGGCTGCAGCTCTACGTCAACAAGGACCGCGCGGTCACCAAGAAGATCGTGCAGCACGCCGAGGCGCGCGGCTGCCGCGGCCTGTTCGTGACGGTGGACGCGCCGCTGCTGGGCCGCCGCGAGAAGGACATGCGCAGCAAGTTCGAGGAGCAGGGGTCGAACGTGCAGGCGGGCACCGCGACGGACACGAGCCAGGGCGCCGCGCGCGCCATCTCCTCCTTCATCGACCCCTCGCTCAGCTGGGCCGACATCCCCTGGCTGCAGGGCATCACCCGCATGCCCGTCGTGCTCAAGGGCGTGCAGCGCGTCGAGGACGTGCTCCGCGCCGCGCGCCTCGGCGTCGCCGGCGTCGTCCTGTCCAACCACGGCGGCCGCCAGCTCGACTTCGCCCCCTCCGGCGTCGAGGTCCTCGCCGAGACCATGCCGGCGCTGCGCCGCGAGGGCCTGCTCGACCGCGGCTTCGAGGTCTACGTGGACGGCGGCGTGCGGCGCGCGGGCGACATCCTCAAGTGCCTGTGCCTCGGCGCCGCGGGCGTCGGCATCGGCCGCCCGTTCCTGTACGCCATGGGCGCGTACGGCCAGGAGGGCGTGGAGCGCGCCATGGCGCTGCTCAAGGACGAGCTGGCGATGAACATGCGCCTGCTCGGCGCCGCGTCCGTCGCGGACCTCGATCCCAGCATGGTCGACGCGCGGTCCCTCGCGGTCCACACCGCCACGCCGCTGGACAATCTCTCGAGGTCCGTCTACGATCCGCTCATCTCGCCCCCGCAGCGACCAAAGTCCAAGATATAACGGCCGCTGGGGTTTAGAGAGCTGTGTGCATTTTCTATGACGATGTTTTACATTGCTTGGTTTCTGTTAGATAAACGCATAAACGGCTACAAGCTTCATTTTACGAACGATGTATATCCATTATATGTATGCGAATTTGGTCTCGAAATAGAGTGGGTTGGAAAAGAATGTCATGTCTATATTATATCACATTCATGCCTAGTTGACAATACAGCAATGTACGTACTCCAAACGTCTATTCCAAAGCACCACACGGTATAAAGCCGGTCAGTATGTACATGACACCCAGCCCCGTCACAGCGGTTTCAGAAATTCGGCCAGAGAGATGGGCTTTCGCACCGCGTTGTTCAGACCTTCATGGTACGTCACCCAGACCTTGCGCTTCTTGCCGCTCACTGGCGCCGTGCTGCTACGGCCGCCGGGCTGCGTCAGAGGGAGGACCTGGACAACGCGCCCGAAAAAGTCCCTCTTCACCGCCACCCCCTGCTGCTTATCGCCGTAGCCGCCCTCGTTTTCCTTATCGTCGTGCGGGTGCAGGCGCGCAGCCGTCTCTGCTGCTGCTGCCGCCGCGACGGACGAATCGCCGCCGCCGGCTTGGTACCGTGCCTGCCGGGCACGGTTCTCGCGCTGCGCGAGGGTACGCCGGAGCTCCTGATCGAGGACCTGGCGGACGGCGTAGCGCGTAGGCGCCTGCCCGGAGAGTAGGGCGACGCCCGTCTCGAAGCTGGCAAGGGCGTCAATGTCACTATAAAATATCAAGTTAGCATTCCGTTTATGCCTCCAGCGAGGATATACGAGAAAACACGTACGGCTCCATACGGTAGACCCATTGCGGCGCGCGACTCGACTGGGAATCACCTTCAATCTTGCCTTTGAGCAGGTCGATGCCAATCTCGGCCAGGACCTCGGCGGCGCGGCGCACCATCAGGCGCTCACCCTCGCGACGCACGCTGGCGGTGGCGCCGCCGTCGCGCCCGCCAACAAGCACCGGCTTCACATCAGGCGCAACCATGCGCGCCAGGTACGGCAGCAGGTCGGTGGCCATGTCCTCGGGGCTGCGGAACGAGCGCATCAGCGACGGCGGCAGCCTCCCCTGCATGGCCTGCAGCGCAGCACGGTTGTGCTTCTCGGCCTCGTTGGCCTGGTAGTCGGCACGCGGACCCGAGAACGGCACCGGCGGAGCACCGGCATCCTCCTCACCCCAGCGGCCGCGGGCGTTGCCGTTGTGGTGGTGGCGTCGCGGCGACGCAAAAAGGTGGTGGCACGCGAGGACTGGCTGTGACAGGTACGGCGCCAGCTCCCACTCCTGGCTTGTAAAGAGCCGCGACTGGCAGGCGTCGTGGAAGAATAGCCACTCGTACGCCTGATTGGGTTTGGTGAGATACATATCGTCGTTGTACTCGCGGCTGGGGTACTCGGACATAATCTCCGTCATGACGTAGCTGATCTCGCCGCTCGTCTCAACCATCTGCCTAAGACGGTCCATGGCGTGCTTCTTGATCTGCTCGTTGAATCCCAGCTCCATCTTGGGCTGTTCATGCTGTGTGTTTTTGGATATCGAGAGGGACATGGGCGGCTTGGGGAAGCCGCCACCCTCTTGAAACAGGCGGCTCACGATATCCTTGACGTTTCCACGCCCAATGCCTCGAGCCCCAGCGGCACCGCTGGTGAGGTCATTGAGAATGTGCGATTCGATCCATTGTCTCGTGAGGCGCTGGGTTGATCCAGCCAACAGGGTGGATCGGAACCTCGCTGCCACCCACTCGCCAACGACCATCACGCCACGCAAGTCACCTTCAACAGTGCTCTCAGCTCCGCGCTTCGCATCAATGCTACTGGTCATGCCCCAGGCCGCTTCACACAGCTTTCTAGAGGCGTCCATATCGCAGGTAACGCCTTCCTTCTCAAACACCGCCTTGAGTCTGTGCACTACAGCGTCAATCGATGGGCGTCCAACGTGGATGATTTCCGCAAGATTGGATTGCCGCAGTGGCCGAAGGGACGGGTGGTAGACATCATTACAGATGAGAACCAGAGGCCGCATCAGACGAAAGTCATCGCCCTTTTTCTTCTTCCGCGAGCTTTCGTATGAGCTGGCACCAGGTGCGCTGTTCTTTTGGTCTATCAGAACAAGGTCAATCAATGCCTTGATAAAGCCACCCTCGCCAGAACCCCCAGAGCCCGACACGACGCCATCCACTTCGTCCACGACGACGCAGACCGGCTTGGCCACCTTGATGTTGCCCTCGTTATCTGTACGATTCGTCACATTCTTGACGTTTTCAGTGCCCAGACTTGTGCGGATGCGGTTTTTGACAACGTCCCGACTGCGATCATCACTCGCGTTAATCTCTAGGACCTCGTACCCGGCTTGTCTTGCACAGACGTGCGCGAGGGTGGTCTTGCCCAGACCAGGCGGGCCCGTTAGAAGGAGGATCTTTCGGTGAGGCTTCTCCTCTTCTGCTTGCAGCTTGGAGCCTGGCCGCTTCACCAAGGTGGACTTTGACCTAGCCGATCCTGGGAAGACAATGGGATCCCAGCGCTTGATCCAACGGAGTACAGTTCGGTTGGTGCCGTCGTCTCCGCACAGATCCATGAAGTTTCTTGCACGGTATTTTTCAGTCCACAAGCGCGTTTTTACGTTCTTTTTGGCGGACCGAACACCGTCGGATTTCTCTATCGATTGTCGCGGCACACCTGGTGTTGGCTGTGGCTTCGTTGTCCGCTCCGCAAGCTCATTCTTGGCGTTATTTATGAGCTCATGGATGTTGATTCCGTAATAGCTGCGCTTCGCCCGTCCTTCTCTGGTCTTTGATCGCGCAGCTACTATCTGATCGTACGATACAACGTCACTGACGTCGCGTTGCTTGATCGAATATGATTTGCCATTACACGTCTTGATGTCGTACTTCGTAGACCGCAGACTGGCAAAAAGAGACCCTGAGAAAACGGGCAAACGGGTAGCCTGTGATTGTGTATTCGTATGATTTGTAGTAACAGTTGTTTGCGTCTCGGTCTCAGTAGATTCGCTCGTTCGCGTCTCGGTCTCTGTAGATTCGGTCGCTTGGGTCCCTGTCGGAGTAGGCTCCATCGGCTTGGTAAAATGAGGTTCATTGGTGTCCTTGAATTGCTCTAGCATGGGTCGCTTTGCAGTCGATCCCAATGCCGATCCCGTCTCCTCGTCTGAGGACTCATCATCAAGCACGAAAGGGCCTTGGGCACGAGGTTTCGGCTTGCGCCCGGGTTCAAGCTCTGCATCATGAGGCTGGTCGCGCTTCAACGAGAACGGCATGCTTCGGGGTACAGGCAGAGGAGATGTCGAAATCATAATTCAGTACATTTAGTCAGGTCCGAAGATAAATAAAGTGCCTCTGTCACCGGGTGAACCTAAGCGCGAAAATGTGGTGTGTCTGGTGTGCTGAGATTACAACGTTTGGTTTTAGACCGCGGTGGTGGGACGCGTCTCGCCGCCGAGAACGCGTTTAGTGGTTGCCCCCACTAGTTATCGTTCAGAAGGATCAGACTCAGGCGAAGATACTAAAGTACTGTTCGTCCGTATCCGTGCGCCGTCCACTCTACATCAACGTTAATAAACGATGGGCAATAACCCAAGTTGATATTTCAATGCCTGTGTGATGGCTTTTGCCTTTTCTATTTCCATTACGGTGACACAGGACCGGTATTGATGCTATGAGCGTTTCCTTCAAAGGTACAGAGCCATAAATCAAACACTTAAAGTGAAGTCAAGACTGTCATCCCACTTGCGTTAAACTTGTTTCTCTAGAATTATCTGGATTTGCATTTATATGGAGGTATTTCCGTCATTAATTCGTTCACGGCTGCTTTGCGTAGATTCACAGGTACAGCTCCGGCAGTGGGACTATGTAGGCTTCACAAGCAGGTACCAAGGCATGCGCAGTCGTGTCTCAACAAGCAAAACAAATGCAATAAAAATTACTTCTATTGAATGGATTACATAAACTACACTCAACTCTCTGCTGGTGGTAGAATTATTTGCCCATGTCGTATAGTGGTGTCGGAGCTACAACAGCGTTCAAACTGCTTGGTCGGAAAAACTACGGCCGAATGAAGGCTACCATCAAAAAAAATTGGCCTCGCCCTGCTCCTGAACACACGACACAGCTTCATCCAGCCGATGCGAGACAGCGCGTAGCGCACCCACGAGCAAAATGCGCAAACCGGCGAGATTCTTCAGCCTGGCGAAACCTGTGAGTACTGATTTGGTAGAAATTGGTGTCATATGTGATGCCGCACGCCCCAATTGACGTGGCGCTGGCTGCGGACCGAGCTAATAGTATTGCGCCCGATAGAAACTGCGACAGTCATGGAACAAGTATAACATGTACAACATCTACCGCAACGCTGCCAGAGAACCATCGCTCAGGAGCACGCCTACGTTTTTCCAGCAGAAATGGGCCGCAAAATCGAGAGCCCGCGCGTACCACGGAGAGCACATTCCTGAGAAGAAATGGGTGCGCCTGTTCTCACCACGCCTCATGTCGGCAGTCGACATGCCTCCCGAATACTTGGCCGCGCACGATGGCTCTGAGCAGGCAGCTGGTCGTGGCTCTGGCTTGAGTACATTGAATGTTGACGCGCAAAAATACTCGCGGGTACCCGTACCCGTTGTCAAACAGGAGAAGATCACCCAACCCAACGATCTCATTTCCAGACAAGTTCACGAAATGACCCCTTACATGCAAATGACATTTGCCCCTCTCGAGAGAAGACTGGACACGGCCATCTTTCGTGCCATGTTTGCAACCAGTGTGCGACAAGCACGCCAGTTTGTACTGCACGGCGCAGTCAAGGTCAATGGCAAGAAGGTAAAAATTGTCAGCCCTCAGGTCACCCAGAGAAGCATTCTAACCATATCTTTAGCTACTGCATCCTTCGTATCAATTGAACCCCGGCGATATGTTTCAAGTCGATATCGAAAAGGTCATGTACGCCACGGGAGTACAAAAGTCCAATAAGAATAGCTGGCCTGGTCTGGAACAGAAGATCGCATTCAGAAAGCAGAGATCGGAGCGCGATTACAAGATCCAGGCTGAAAAGCATGCGGCTGCTTCAGAGGGCCAGGATGAGGGTCAAGCAACGGCTGAGGTCTCCGAGGCTGCTGCTGAGGAAGGAGAAGCTGCCGAAGGAGAATCTGCCAAAGGCGAAGCTGCGTTGCCAGAGCTGTCGGCGGAGGCTCAACAGAAATGGCAACGAAACGAATTGAAGGTGTTTTTGCGACGCTGCAAGGGTGTCCTAGCGTCAGAAGCGAAGAACCTCACAGCGACTGAAAAACAGAACCTGCGTCTGCTCCGGTCAGATGCGAAGCGACTCCTATCGCGCCCTCAGGATAGCGAGTTGGATGTCTCTGAGCTGATGCAAGAGCTTCAACTTGTCATCAAGAACCAAGAAATTCTGGCTCAGCTGGATACTAAGACGGCTGCCCAAGGAGAGTTGATGGAAGGCGGTGAGACGGCCGCAGAGCCGGAGTACAATCGGGAGAAGCAATACCGTCAGACCCTGGACGGTCTGTCAGAGACACAAAAGGAGCGAGCAAAGGAGATTGTTGGCAGTGCGCGGTTATCCAACGATGAGATGCGCAAGCTTAAGGCGCTATTGCTGGCCGACGAGGAGAACCCTGTGGATGAAACAAAGCCGTATGCGACGCCATGGGCGCCTCGGCCGTTTATGGCGGCATTTGCGTTTATCCCCAAATACCTCGAGGTTAATCACGATATCTGCGCAGCCGTCTATCTACGCCACCCAGTAGCGAGAAAGGGACGGGCCGAGGTTCCGACACCTTTCAGCTACATTACGAACCAGTTGGCTCACAACTGGTATCTGCAACGTGGGTAACCGGTGGCGCAGAGAGGGAGGAGCGAGTCGCAGCAAGGCGATGTTGCATGTCGCCTATCTGGGTCGATAGAGGGTATCGGCTTTGTATTAGATTGGTTATTGTACTATACATATACAGCACTGCATTTTGATGATGGTAATTTTATGCGATTGCGTGTGCCTTGAGAATGCTGCCCCTCCACACGAGTCGGCAAAACCAATCACGTACGTATAATAAGCATGATTGAGGATCTGCTGGTCAAGGAAGGATCGAGCCGGGAAGAAAAAGTCTGACAAATATCTAGCCCCGACTCCTGTTGTCCAGAGCAGCGTTGTTGTTAATGACTAACGCAGGCAGAAAAGGGGCAACTCGGCTTTATTACTGCAGTCCATTCCATGGAAGACACGATCTTCAGGACAAACTAGTGACAACTTCAAGCGGTGATGTAGGATACATTATGGGGGCAAGGTAGACCTGCAGAGACGGGAAAGATGGCTCCGAGGGAGACTGTGCGTGTTTTGTTCCAAGTACTTGGCTTTTTTAATGCTCTCGCAGAGACCTATAGACCCCTCCTTACCTTCCGGGTCCAAAGCTTCCTTGCTGAAGATGCTCATACCACTTTGGAGCTCCACTTGCTCAATTCTCTCTTGCTGCTTGCCTGGCTTGCCGCCTTGGCTGGCGCATGCTGATACATACATAGTTACATTCATTCGTCCTACTAGTTAATATTTATTAACGTGTGCATGTAGGTAGATAGTTGCAGACACAACTAACCTTAGCCTACATACATGCATACATACATACATACATACATACATACATACATACAGACCGCAGCCCCGGATCGCCCCTCCCCATGACACCGCGCGGGCCGCGTCTGCTCGACTCGTCTTTTCCATTATTACTCTTCGATTTTCTTCCTCTCCATCTCACACCTCTCCCTCACCAGAGTCGAATTTGCTTCCCTGCTGCCCACTCAAAAACAGGACCGAGTCAGGAATACGGTCCTGTGCTCTCCTCCTCCTTCGCAGCCTTGCCAACGCCACCCTCATACTACTGCCAATCACTACTTCCCTCTTATCTAAGCGGCGCATCATTTCCCTCGTCAGCATCACCATCGCACCGTCCAGGGACAAATCCTGCCCGTCTCGCTTTTCACGACGACAAACAAGGTTTCCCTTACTTTTATTAATAATCTGAACTCGACTCGACCGTCCTCCCCCACATTGACGACCCCATCCATCCATGCATACCTAGTACAGTGTGGGCCTAGGCCGTTCGCTCAAATCACCACTACCAGTCTACCACCACCACCACCACCACCACCAATACCGGCCGCGCGCGCCAGCAAGCCTCTGCGCTGCGAACAGCTCTGCTGCCATCGAGCCAGGCCGCCGATAGACCGAATAAAGCATCATCTTCAACCCTTCAGCCTGCTCAGCGCACCTCTTTTCAGGAGCCATCCGCGCCACCCGCGCCCACATCCCAAGAACTCGGCCCTTATCGTTGCCACCCTCCGTTTGCCTCATCCCGACGACGCCGATCGCTTGCATGCCGCGACCATGCAGCCGACCCCAGAACCATACGCTGGGCAGCAGCGCGACAGTTCCACCGCAGCCGACCCCGGCCCAGCCCTCAAGAAGAAGAAATCCCGCCGCGCAGCCGACCCCTCCAATCAGAAGCGAAAATGCATCAGCACCGCTTGCATAGCCTGCAGAAAGCGCAAGTCCAAGTGCGACGGCGCCGTCCCGAGCTGCGCCGCCTGCGCCAGCGTCTACGGCACCGAATGCATATACGACCCGAACTCGGATCACCGCCGCAAGGGCGTCTATCGTGAAAAGACGGACGGCATGAAGGCTGACGACGCCACCCTTAAGATTCTTGTCGAGGCCATTCTCAATGCTTCCGAGGACAACGTCGACGACGTGGTACGCAGGATACGCAATTGCGATAGCCTCGATGACTTGGCACTACAAATACTCAAGGATGGTTCAGGCCTGGATGGATCCAGCGCGGAACACAGCGACGACGAACACTGGCCATCGCAAGTTGACGGGGAGCGAGATCTCGCGGGTAAAATGGGTGAATTGCGCGTCGAGAACGGCACGATCCGCTTTATCGGCGGGACATCCCATCTCATCTACCTCAGCGGCGCGTCCTCGGCGCATGACGCCGAACCACATGCAGAAAACTCTTTCCTCGCTTCCACGAACCCCGTTACCAGTTGGTCCGAGGTCACCGACGATGTCGGCGTAGTGACACACCTTCTGAACATGTACTTCACCTACCACTATCCCTACTTTACCACCCTCTCACGCAACATGTTTTGGCGCGACTTTTCCCGCGGCCGCGGCGCAGTCGGCCAAAGCTCCTCCCACTGCTCTTCGCTGCTTGTCAATGCTATGCTAGCTTTAGGATGCCACTTTTCCGACGTCGCCGGAGCCTACAGCGACCCCTCCGATACAAGAACTAAAGGCGACCATTTTTTCGCCGAGGCCAAGCGCCTCATTATGGAAGGCGATGAGTTCGAGCGACCTCGCCTCGTCACTGTGCAAGCACTGGCCCTAATGTCCGTACGGGAGGCGGGTTGTGCGCGTGAAGCCACAGGCTGGGTCTACAGCGGCATGAGCTTTCGAATGGCTCAGGACATCGGCCTCAACCTCGAGATCAGTTCCAGCGACAAGAGGGTCATGACCGAGGAGGAGATCGATGCCCGTCGAATCACTTTCTGGGGCTGCTTCAACTTTGACAAGTGTTGGTCAAATTATCTGGGCCGTCTGCCGCAACTGCCCAAGTCCACCTTCACTGTCGCCAAATTTGACGTCTTTCCCGACGAAGACGCATCGCCATGGGTACAACTCACGGATAAAGGCTTCGACGAATCGACGAAGCAACCCTCAAGGACACGTGCTGCTGCACTGCATCTGTCCACCCTCTGTGAAATTAGTAGCGACCTTCTACTATTCTTCTATCACCCGAACCACATTCATCGGTCGACGGGCAAGACGGTCGAATTGAAGAAACTCAGTGAGCTTCATAAACGGCTCGAAGAGTGGCGCAAGAACCTACCGAAAGAGTTTGAGGCGGGGGACGGGCAGCTCCCCAACGTAATTCTCATGCAGTACGTGCTAAACTCCTTTCTACGTCCTACCATGTACAACCCCCATGACTAACGACAGACTAGCATGTTCTTTCATCTGCAATTCATCCATCTTTTTAGACCCTTCCTCAAGTACTCGCCTAATTCTTCGCCTTTGCCGTCACACATATCCCCTAGAAGAATATGCACATCCAATGCGGGAGCCATTTCCAAGCTGATGCGACTCTACAAGAAAAACTGGAATCTACGGCAAGTGTGTAATATTGCCGTGTACATGACGCACAGCGCCTGCACGATACATATGCTCAATCTTCCCGAAAAGACGGCAAAGCGGGACTTTACCCACGGCGTCAAGCACCTGGAGGAGATCTCCGAGGACTGGCTATGTGCGCGGCGCACGCTCAGCATATTAAGTGTGCTGGCCAGAAAGTGGCATTGTGCTCTGCCAGAAGAGGCGGCACAAATACTGCAGCGAACTGACGAGCTGTACGGCCACTACAGCACCTCGGAAGTCCCGTCGCCCAAGTCGAGCGCGGGATTGTCGCCACAGGCCCATATGGAGGAGGCGGCGGCCGCTGCCGCTGGCGTACAAGCGCATAGTATGCAATCATCACACTTCAGCAAGCAACACCCCAGTCCCGGCAAAGTGCAGTTTGCCCAGTCCGCCATTGCGCAGGCTGCGGGACCTCCGGTCTCCATCGACGCAAGACTCGACATGAACAGGCCCGTGACGCCCCAACAACAACAGCAGCAGCAGCAGCAACGGCAACATCAGCATCAGCATCAGCATCAATTTCAACGACAAGCCCAGCAGCAGCCCCAACGAGACATGGGAGCGAATACGCAGCATCACGTAGCCTACGCGCCGCCGGGGACCATGGACGGTTGGGCCCAACCCATCATGGCGTCGTCGTCGACGCCGTCTCCTACGGCAAACGCGTACCCTGTCAGCTCGGCTGCTACTGCTGCTGGGCTGAATTCGAACCCGGACACGATTCGGGAATTCGCCAGGTCGCGCATGGCACCAGCAGGCAGCGAGGGAGGAGTGCTCACCGGGCAGGGTGCTGGTCTGGACAACAACCAGTGGATCCTAAACGACAGCGCCAAGTGGCAGCACAACTTTAATGGTTGGGATCTGGGCCAACCGCTTCCCGGCGCAATGCAGTTTGCGTTCCCGCATCAGCCTGGCTCCTTGGCACCAAACACAAGCCCTGCGGCGGCGGCAGCGGCGGCTGCTAGCATGCAAACTATGGGTCATCCACCATCCGGTCTAGAGGCGTTTGATGCGTCTATGCACGATACGAGATGGCTACCGAACCTCGAATAAAGGGCTAGGTTGTTGTGAGCAATGGAGGAGAATGCAGAGATGGCGACGACTTGGCGATATTTGTGTCGCCACTTGCACCCGCGCGCGGGGTTTTATTTTTCTGCGTTCTCTTGGCTCGTTTCAGGAAGGCGGGAAGAATATATTTGTACATATGCATTGTATGTGATAGAGGCGTTTGTATTTACGACGCCGTGCCATGTGTACCAGCATCGGCCCCCAACCCCAACGGAAGGAACTCTTGGATAGTACACTACAATGGGAAGTATATTAACTCTTTCAGGACTGTTTGTGTTTGGCGTGGCGATCTCGGATGCCATGCGGGCTTGACACTTTCTTTGTTTGCTTCCGCCTGCTCCGTTTCCTCCCGCCGAGCCGCATGAACCAAGCACAAGATCTGCAGGCGTCCGTGAGGCTTGTGTCGTTTTGCAACAACGAATTTCAACTCCTACATTTTTCCTTTCCTCCCGAACGTTGTACGCCTGACATCTGGTGGCATGTGCCACGATTTTAACGAGCCGAACTAACGAACCCTTCCTTCCCCCGGTCCCGTCCGCTTACCCTTTCCCTTCCCTTGTCGATGATTTATGCCTTTTTCTTCCGCTTCTTGCTCCCGTTCCCGGGGATTCGGGACCCCATATGACGAACCCTGTGTGTTCGACAAGTATAGCAATGGCACCCAGTCCACCACGATGGTTAGGCACCCGAGGATGGGGCAGACGGAGAGACGGAGAGACGGATTCAAGGTAACACACCGGCTGACCCGTTGACTTGCTTCCCCTTTTCCTCCCCTCCCTCCCTCCATCCGGCTGGCCGGTACGTGGGAGGGAGATGGACGAAGACGACGACGACGACGACGACGACGAAGACGACGACGAGCAGGGGGGGGGGGCAGAGGGTAGGGAATACAGGGCAGGGAATAAAGTTGTGCTGTCAGTCTCGTGCTGCGCTTGCACGACCCAGAAGTGGGCAGAGGAAGAAGAAACAATGTGTGGCAAAGAAGGCCTGTTTCTGCAAGGTTTGGGCATTGTCACTCGGCTTACACCCCTCCTCTCCCCCTCCCTTTGCTCCGTTTCCCGGGCCGGACGGAGACTGCATAGCTGAAACCATTGGGCCGTTTGCCTTTTTTTTTCCTTTTGGGGGCTTTGCTCTTCTGTCGTTGAAGGTATAGATGGGTCTATGTGTGGGTGTTCTGGCATGTTTGTTACAGAAGATGGACGTCATTGCTTAAGAGGCTCGTTTTGGGAGAGCTCTTGTCCCCCTACGGCGGTGGGGAGGAAGCCTTACTCTTGCTAGCATTAGGAGATGGATGCGTTTGTGCAAGTGTGTGTGTGTGTGTCTGTGTGTGTGTCTGGGGTATGGGTATGGGTATCTCTGTGTAGGGCTGTATAGGTGTGTGTACGTTGAAGAATCTTGTAGTTCTTAGGGAATGTGCTCCTTGAGATCGCTCCCCATGTGTCAAGCTCTCCCCACGTCCAACCAGATCCCCGTCACGTAGACGTACAAGTAGACGATAACAAGATACAAACTATTGACACTCGTTACTCTCATCGTTGAAGATGATTGGGCAGAGATGATGTTTTGCTCCTTCCTCTACGTACGTTCCCCAGCCCACCTCCTCCTCATCCACCTGCTCTTCCTCTCTCTCCCCTTCCTCCTCCTCCTCCTCCTCCTCTTCCTCTTTCTTCTTCCTCTCCATACTATGAATCACGAACGCCTTTTCCTTAGGCCAGCCAGCACACACCGCGTCTATAGTACACACACACACACACACACACACACACACACACACACACATCCACTCCCACCCACGCACACCGGTCTTTAGCAGAGGCAAAGCTTTGTGTTTCCCCATCATCGGGCCAAATATTGCCTTTTCCCCCTTCCCATCGGTGAAAGACCACCTCGTAGCCCAGTTCTGCCTGCTTCGTTACTTTCTATTTATTCATTCATTCATTTATTTATTTTATTCAGCTTCATCTCCGCCCCTACTATTCTGTATACGTTTCGGTCAGACCTTGCACTGATTCATTGTGCCATCATTGCGCGACCCTTCTCTCTTTTTCTCCCTCTCCTCCTCATCCTCTTTCTCTTCCTCTTCCCCCAGGCGTGTGTATATATAGACTCCTGCTAAAGCCGCGTTCGGCCACGCCGTGACGGCCTGACTCAAGACGTAAGGCGTCAGTCCTCATTCGTTCAGACAAATAAGAGAGGCTGCTTCTGGCTCCCTGACGGAGACATACACACGCTCTACCCTTCCACACTGATAACCCCCAGAGACCAGTACCACGTTGTGCGCTCGTTGCTAGTGAATCTCTGCTACACCCCTTCTGCTGGAATCTTGACCTTAACCTTTCTTTTCATTACTTTTTTGCCCCCGACACACGCTTCTCCTCTTTCGCTCTCCCTCCTCTTCAGATAAGAATGGCGACGCGCCAACCCCGTGCCTCCTCTGGCAGCCACAACACGAAGTCTTGTCACCTTCTCGATACGCCAGTGCAGATCAACGACTCGCTCACATACTGCACTTCCCACAACAGCAACAAGAGACCGCGCACTGCTGAGGACGCCTCCGAACACACTGCTGACTATTTCGAAGCCATACGGCAGGTGAAGGACGAAGACGACTTCTCGATTGGCCTTTCGTTGCAGGAGCAGACCCAGTCCCAGCACCAGCAAGACTCACACCTGGACCAGCTTCAACTTGAATTGCAGTTCCAACAACGCTACCAGTCGCAGTTTCATCAGCTCCCACAGTACGACGACTGCCTCCCAGACGGCTCCGAGCTGATCCCTTCGCTGCCCCCGGAGGTCCGACAAGGGGAGGAGCAATTCCCGTATCCGTTCCTCACCTACCACACACTTCAGCAACCATCACCGTCAGAGTTGGTGTCGGTGAGCTCAACCTCACTGTCACCCAGCTTTAGCTCGCCTGGCTACTACGAGACGGCCACCACCGCTACCCCGGCCGACATCTCGTCGCCTCAGGTCATCTTTCACAGCACCGCCGCCACCGCCACCGCCGAGCTTCACATCCAATCACTGCCGTTACCAGCTCAGGCCGCACTTCCTCTACCATCTCCTCCGCAGCAGCCAGAAATTCCTCAGCAACCAATTGACCAAAGCAAGCCGCATCTCCGTCCCGCCATGACGACCACGACTGAGGAGGCTGCCGCCGCGCTGTCCAAGTCCTCCTCAGAGGCCACCTCTGAGTGGGCCAGGCGCGTCAACGAATTTTATTCCTCTTGCACCTCGACTTCGTCGTCATCCTCATCCGCCCACGCGGGGATGCCGCCGCCGCCGCTACCGCTCAGTATGCTGCGCATTGGAGGCTACACGCTTGAGGAGGCGGGCGTCACGCTTCCGGAGGACCTGTCGCCCGCGGAGCGCGACCGCCGGCTGTGCCTGCTCGCGCAGGAGCTGCACTACGAGGTGAGGCACCCGCCGGTGCTGCCGCCGTCGCGCGTGCCGGAGCTCCCAGAGAAGACACCACCGTCGCCGCTGCCGCGCGTGCAGCCGGGCATGAACCAGGCGCAGCGCGATGCCATCACCCACGAGGTCGCGCGGCTCGCCGCCGCTCAGCGCAAGGCCGACCAGGAGCGCAACAACCTCGCAGCCAAGAAGTCGCGCCTGCTGCGCCTCGAGTGCCTCGACAACACCCGCCTCCAGCTCAACGCCAAGGCGGCCGAGTGCGCCTGGCTTCGCCTGCAGATCGTGGCGCTGTTGGGCGTGCCGCTACCGCGACGCCCAAGCGAGGCCTGGGGTGGCTCCGACTTTGTCTACCAAACGCCGGAGAGGCGATGGGAGGCGGATGAGGAAGGAGAGGTGGACGTGGAGGGCGTCGTGCCGACAAGGATCAAGCGCGCCATCACGGAAGAGATCCGCGCCCGCGTCGAGGCGCACAGGGAGGCGCTCGAGGAGGAGCACAAGCGCAGAACCACCGCCAGCCGCTCACTACGACGCTCCGAGGCGCAGGCGCAGGCCAGAGCCGCCGAAGTACAAGCCGACGAGGAGGAAGATCACCGGCAGTGGCAGTACCAGCAGCAGCTACTGCGCCGGCGGAATCGCGATAGTTTGTGATTTTTTTTAAGAAGGGTTATTTGTTGATGGGTGGGGGGAATTTGGTGTACTTCTTGGTTGTTGGTTTCAGCTTTTTGCTCCCCGTTGGTTGTTGCCTTGCTTTGGATGAAACATGTGAAAGCATTGTTCGGCAGTTGGTTGTTTTTGCGGATCATCTGGCGTGGGAATTTGTCATCTTGATGTCTACATTGACGGAGGAAGTGGTCTTTTTAAACTCTTGTTCTGAAATCTTTTAGTATACACGATGAAACGAAACTTGCTATCTCGGTCATTGGCTGTGCTATTACGTGATAATCGTGATAATCGTGATACAGAACTAAATCCAGCAGCACCACTGGCTAGCTTTCTTTCTATTCAAATTCTATAAAATAATTGTAATTGTCGTAGAAAAATCATCACTTCGATTCTCGCTCTCAACTTCATTTTCGCCACGTTTCATCCCCTCACCCCATGCATTTATTTCTATGCTACATCCAGTGATCAAATGAGCGGTCACAAGAGACCCCGTGCCCGCAACAGGCAGCAAACTTTCACCGCCTCGCGTGCACGAGACGCCCCTTGACCCAGACCTTCTTGGTGTTCCTGTCGTCACCGTTGTACAGCCACTTGGCCAGGATCTCACCCCACGACTCCCACCCAAAGACGTCGACGTTGCCCTCGTCGGAGCCGTTGAAAGCGGGGACGACGAACCCCGCGCCCGCCACCGCTGAGTTGACCGCGGGGCCGGAGCCGTGGCCGTTAGCCGTGTACTCCTCGCCCTCACGCAGGCCCGAGTCGGCGACGCGGCCGAGCCCGACGAGCTGGGCGTCCCAGTCCTTGCCGACCTCGAAGCCGCCGACGCGGTCCTCCAGGCCGAGGCAGAGCGCGCCACCGCGCGTGGCCAGGTAGAGCACCTCCTCGACGGTCAACTTGCATCGCTCGTGGTCCTCCTGGTCGCCGTCGCCGTTGTGGCGGGTGGCGGCGACGTGGCGGCTAACGAGGGCGGCTTGCCGGGCCGCCTCAAGGATGGACGGCGAGTAGCCGCCGGAGACGTCGGTGCCGAGGCCGACCTCGATGCCCTTCTGCCACATCCAGCGCACGCGCGCGGCGCCACTGGTCAGTGACGAGTTGCTGCACGGGCAGTGGGAGACCTTGCTGCGGCGGAGCGCGATGAGGTCGGCCTCCTCCTCGGTCAGATGGACGGCGTGTGCAAGCACCATCCCTGGCGTGAGCAACCCGTGCTGGTCGTAGACGTCGGCGTAGGAGCGGGACGCCGGGAACAGCTCACGCACCAGCGCGATCTCATTCGTGTTCTCCGAGATGTGTGTCTGGGCGAGGAAGCCGCCCTCGCGCTGCAGCTTCGCCAGCGCGCGCATGCCCTCGGATGTGCACGAGGGCGCGAACCGGGGCGTCAGGATGGGCGCGACCAGGTCGAACGCCGGGTCGACGGCGCGGATGTGCTCGATGGTCTGCCGGGTGGCGCGCAGGGCGGCCTCGGTGGACTCGTCGCGGTAGTAGTCTGGGTTGATTTCGGCGCGGTCCATGCAGACGCGGCCGACGAAGGCGCGCTGGCCGATGGCGTGGCACAGGTCGGTCAGCAGGTTGGTGGCGGCCACGTCGATGGTGGCGTAGTAGGCGGCAGTGGTGGTGCCGTGGCAGAGGGTGCGCCGGACGACGGCGGTGTAGACCTTGCGGGCCTTGGCGAGGTCCTTAAGGCTGACCTCCATGGGGAAGGTGTGCTTCTCAAGCCAGTCAAGGAGAGTCGTCTTGCCAAAGATGCCGGCATTGGGATACTGAGGGGCGTGAATGTGAGTGTCTAGGTAGGGTCATGGTCAGTAGGAAAGCTGTGCAGAGAGTCCGGGGAGGGCTCGATGCAGGGAGGTAAATGTAGCATACCAATGAAACCCGGGAAAAAGAACTGGGATTCTTTGGTGGTGTAAATGTCAACGTCGTCGACACTCCAGCCCAGCTTTGCCAGAGCATGCGCCTTGGCAACCTCTAGGTTGGAACACTGCCGTTCCACAGCGGCAATTTTCCCGTTGGAATCGACGGCAACAGCGGCATTGTGAAAGATGTCAATCTCCCTGCGGGACTTGCTGTGAACGAAAGTTCCGAGCAGCAGCTGGTTCCGTGGTTGGTCAAGATGCATGTTGAATGAATTGGTTTGTGTGTTGGTTTATCCAGTTGGAACAGAGTGAGAGAGGAGAGAGAGGAGGGTGACAGCGTCTTGGTGGCTGCCGCTCCTTGATGAAGAGTAGGGTCAAATGAGATATGAGCGAGGGCTTGGATAGTTGCACTGGTTTCCTGTCACCGGGGTTTTTTTGACTATTTAAAGCAGTCTGGTTGGAAGAGGACGCTTGGGATTTATAGACAGAGCCCCAGTCCGTTCCGGAGGTCGTGGTCGGAGAAGGCGATGAGCAAACAATGGCGGCGGGACGGTCGAAACAAAGATGATAAAAATAGAATTAAAATGAGGCGATGGTCATGAGATTGGGCAGAAATTGTATCGGATGACAGGATTCAATCTAGTATCGCAAAGATACAGGAAGTGCAGAGAGGAGAAAAAAGTCACAAGGTCGTGTTTGTCCGACGTTGTGCTGCAAGCTGAGATGAGAGAGGGGCGTTAGCAGGTACATACAGCAGCAGTCGTACTAACCTGCTTGTTCCGCTGAAGTGCGCCCAGTGGTGGCTGACAGCAGCTGGCAGCAAACGGAGAGCTGACAGCTGCAAGCAAACGCCGGCCCGCCTGTAAAACCTGACAGACTAATTTGACTTACCAGGGAAAGGAAAAGCGAGCAAGACGATCAAAAGTCCCAGAAGAAGAAGAAGAAGAAGAAGAAGTCATCATCTCCGACAAGCCCAGTCTGTGGGAAGTGGACGAAAACACATTTTATACCGCCGGCCGGTCGTGGTGGGTTCCCGGTTCCCGCCACAGCCGACCGACCAAGTTGATAAGCAGGTGGCAGGTGGGTTGGTCGGCATTGTCCGATGTTAGCGGCCTCACCAGCCAATGTGCTAATCTATCACGCACCCATCTACTACGTACAACATACATATATATGCACATATCTACTCTGTAAACAAATTCATCACAACACTGTACAAGCAATCCAGGACAGAAAGGCCGACGCAGTTACCTACTGTACCTCCATAATACCCAATACCAGACCCCGTATCCAGGCATATAATACCACCACGTATGCCTATCTGCATGCATGCCAAGTTCAACTTTGTTTCCCCTCCTCCCCTTCCCCTCCCCACGCCCCATCAGCCCCAGCACACACTGTACCAGCCCAAAGACCAAGCCCAGGCGTTTCTACTACCGTCGCCCGGAGCCGTCCGGCCGGCCCTCCACCGACTACCTCTGCTCTTCCTCCGGCGCTCCCAAATCCCCGCCACTAATCCAATTCCTCCGCCACGCCAGCCTCAACAACGCAAACTACCATCTCATCTGTTTTCCCCTCTCTTTTCCCGTGCCTCCATCGTGCTACCCCGCGTTAGATGTCTGCGGCCCTTTAATCTCCCCCTGTCCATGTGAACACTCATGCGCACCCACGTCAGCCCTGTTTTATGCTTCCCAGATAACACATCACATTGCACCACGCCGTTACACTGCATGAACAATCATAAAATCTATAGACTATATACCGATGCTAAAAATACTTCCTTATTGGACACGACATCACCACAAACGTCACTAATCTTCCATCCTCATTCTTGTTGCTGTGCTGCACAGCACTCTCCAAACAATTCATTACACAAGTAATCAACCCAACGTCATCATAAGTTTGCTCTTCGTCGTCCGAATCAACACAATCCGTCAGCGAGTCTAACCCTCCCCTTCACCACTCCATCCCCATTACCATCCCATTCAGCACACTCAAGCGGCAGCTCCAGGCCCGTCGTACTCTGCGCTGGCTCCGCTGTCGCTCCCAGACTTGCCCTCACCTCCGTCCTGCGTAATCTTGTCCCAGTTCGCCAGCACCGCCCCAATCTTGGGCGAGTTGGTCAGCTTATACACGTCCTCAAAGTACTCCTTGGTCAACGCAAAAGGCTTCGCCGTCACGTTAGGGATGTACTTTCCAACCAGCTTCGAAGGGTCAATCGTTGTTTTGTTGATCTTCTTGAGCAGGAATGATCGGAAAGGCTTCACACCCGACCGCAAGAACGTCGAGTGGAAAGGAACGTCAATTCCTCGAAGGGGAATCGTCGCGAATCCACGCTCCAGCTCCAGAGGGACTGGCTTCTTCAGCGTCGCCTCAGCGCAACCGCGAATAATCTCCCGCAGCGCACCCTTGGCTTCTTCAATGTTGCTGCGCATCTCCTCAATGTCAATCTTCTGCATCTTGAGGAAGTTGGTTACCCCTGCCAGCGTGTCCAGCGCCCGCAGATCACCAGCACACACATACTGCATGTTGGCAATGTTGTAGTTGACAATCTCAAGCAGCCACCCCGTCTCCTCCGCAATGTTGTTCACCACAAACTGCAGAGCCTCTTCGTTGAAAGTCTTGGAAATGCGGCTAGGGTTGACAGCACACATTGAGTAGTTGGACCGGCCTGCGGCGTCGCGCTCGACCGCGACCTGCATCGTAAGGCCGCGGTAGAAGACAACCGAGACCAAGCTTTCAATCGGCATCACGTCAGCCAGGGCTGCCAGCGCAGAGTATTCGCCGAGCGAGTGACCAGCAAAGGTACTGTCGCGCGGCACGAGACCCTTCGACTTCATGTCCTCGAAACTGGCCTTCTCCATCAGAGTCAGGGCTGGCTGTGTGAACTGAGTCGCCGACAAGAGACCAGTAGGCGACCGGTACGTGTATGACGTCGTCTTCTCGTCAATATCCTTGAAGATTCTCTCCGATTTGATCGAACCATCCGCAGCCACCGTCTCGAAAGTCATCGCCATATAATTTTGGCGAATAGCCTTGCCGCGAGGACCACCAAAGTGAATAGTAAGCTCCTTGGGGTTGTTTCGGACAATGTTTGTAATCGAGAAGCCGTAGTTGTCCAGCAGATACTTGTCAGCGCGGTCCCAGACCTCCTTGGCCACGGGGCTGCTATCGTACAGTTCCATACCCATGCCCTGTTCCTGTGAACCCTGGCCAGTAAAGACGTACGCCGTCACGGGTTGCTCAACTTCGGCCTCACCAAGCAGAACCTTTTCTTCAGTCTCTTTGTTGCTGACCTCAACCTTGATGATCTTGCGGCCAGCAACCATGCCAACATGCTGCAGCTGTACCTGGATGTCGTCATTCGGCAGGACCATGCCGACGAGGGAGGCGTGGAACCCGCGGACACGACCAACATTGTTCTCAGCAGCCCACGTCTCGACGAGGCTCCGCACAGCAGCACTAGAGTACATGCCATGGGTAATCGTCCCAGGAAGGCTTGCATAAGAAGAGAAGACGCGAGAGACGTGGATAGGGTTGTAGTCACCAGAAACACGAGCATACGTCTCATTCGAGGCGGGGGCACGCAGCTGTAGGGGAGTGCGGCCGCTGAGCGGGATGGGGTTCTCGAAGTTGATGGGCTGGTCAAGAGGAGAACCGTTGCGCTGCAGGTAGTCAATGACAGGGTTACCATGAGACTCTCCGGCCTCATAGTCGACGCTGGCGACCTGGATAATCTCCTTGGTAGGCAGCTCAAGAAGAACCTGACCGCGCGTCTCAACCGTGCTGAAGACATCCTTGTTCTTGTAGCGCATCAGACTCTGAAGGCGGAAAGTGAGCGTCTTGCCGAGCAGATCAAAGTCATTGGGCATTTCGTCGGTGGAGAACCACTCCTTGGAGCGCAGAACGGCGACATCCTTGCTGGTAGCCAGGTGAACCTCAACAGGTGTCTCAATCTTGCGCTGGAAGGTGTTTTCGAAATCTGTATAGGTGCCACGGTAGAGGAACTGGGAAGTAACCTCCATCACAGGCTGACCATCACGGGTGATTGTACCACAGACCTCAACCATCTTACCAGAATCTTGGTTGATGACAGCATTGATCTGAGCCGTGGTCGAGATTTCATCTCCCTTTTTCAAAGGCTCAGCGCCGGGAAGCATGCGGAAGCCATTGGAGAGATGCACTAGCTTCAGCAAGTCACCATCAATGGTACGGGGGAAAATGGGTTTCGTAATGGCCTTCCAACCAACAACGATAGCAAAGTCCATGGGAGCGTAAACAACCTTTCCAGGACGGTCGACAAAGGCCTCGCCGGTGTTGCCAACAGCATGCACGAAGTCGTTGATGGCTTCTGCGGTGATGGTAGTCTTTCCGCCATCAAACTTGCTGGTGACCAAGGCATCGAGATCCATGGGATCCTCGCCAAACCACGCCTTCCAGTAGAACTCCTTGATGCGGTCATTGCGGTCGATCATGACTTCACGAATGGGAGCGTAACCAGCCTCGGGGTGGTACGTGAAGCGCAGAGGAAGACCCAGAGGGCGACCGAGAGCCGTTGTATCCTTAATCATGTTGACAAGAATCTCATTCTTGCCTACCATCTTAACTTCAATGACAGTGACGTACTGGTTGTAGCGAGGCTGCTCCTTGACAACAATCTCGGTCTTGGAAGGATCATTAGGGTAGTTGATCTCAACAAAGAGGCCACGGGCAGGGGCAAATATACGGCGCAGAGGGTTGGTCTGGAACTTTTGGCCCTGAACGACGACATCAGACATAAGCAAGGCATGGCGCCAGTTTCTGTTGGGCCCGGCAAGCAACGAAAGCCAAGCATCAAGAGAAGGCAGGGCAGCGCTGCCGCCAGATGCAAAGCGGTAGGTGTTCTTGTGCTCGTCATAGCTGACTGTGAGACCTTCGATGTCAAGAGGGATCTCGGTCTCTACCAGCTCGCCACCAAAGTACTCAATAGTAGGGATAGAGCTGTCCTTGCCGCCGTAGTAGTCGCGTGTAAGATATTCAATGTGGGAGTTATGAATGCCGTCCAGAATAGACTTGATAGGCTCATCCAAAACAGTAGAAAACTTGACAGCGGTAGGACCCTGCAGAATGCAGGTACGGCCAACATCCTGACCGATAACGGCATCAAGATCCTCCGACTGCCATAGGGAGTCCTTCTTGAAGAAAAACTCGAAGTTATCATCAAGGGCAGGGATGAAAGTGACGGGTTTCTGACCAGGACGCATGCAAAGCAGCAAGAAGTATTGGACATCCTGAGCGTTGACGATCTGCGTATCGGCGTCGGGATAGAATGAAAGAATGCGTTTGACGGAAGTATACGGCTCATCCAGTTCGGCATAGCTCTGGAGAAGGGAAGGCTTTCCGGGCGCTGTGGCGAAGCGCTCCTCAACACGGTGAATAAAGTCACCAGTGAGCCTGGCAAAGGAGGGATCAATCCAGCGCTCCTGGTGCCTGACATAGAGCAGATCGACAAGACGACGAACGATCTCGGCGTAAGTCATGTCTTCCAGATCAACAGCCTTGCCGTATTTGTTGCAGCCAAACCAGACCTTTTGGAAGTCGTCATTGAGCTTCTTGATGATGTATTCACGGTTTTTCTTAAGCTCAGCGACACGCTTCTCCTTGGGAAGAGCAAAGATCTTCTGGTCCATTTCAGCCCAGAAGCGGACACCGCGGGTAGCAAGCTTGTGGATAGGCTCGCCCATCTCAGATCGAACAGTGATGACACCACCAGCAGGTCCCTTGTAGGTCTGCTCCCATTGGGCATCCTCTAGACCAGGGGCGTCAATGATAGCCTGTTTGGCGTTCTTGCTGGTGTGGGCTTCCTTTGCAACCATCATGCGGCTACCGAACAGGCAGCCGTCAAAGGGCATGGGAGGATAACCATATTTCTTCGACCAATCACCAGTGACATACGGGTAGGTGTCGTCGGCGCCACCAAAACCACTACCGGCCACCAGAATAATATTCTCCTGGCGGCGGATACGGCCGTACATCTGCAAAATCGGCTGATGGAAATCCTCAAAGGAGTGATGGCCACCACCGCGTCCGCCAGTCCACTGGAGGAGAACAGGGAAAGTCGGGTTAGCCTTGGCAATATTGATGACGGCCTGGACAGCCTCAACAGAGCCAGGCTTGAAAGCAATGTGCTTCAGGCCCAGAGTTTCAATGTATTCTTGAGCAACTTCAATGGAAGGAACACCAGCGCCGATGGTGAGACCCTCGATAGGGACGCCCTCAGCGCGGAGACGGCCAAGGAGAGGGATCTGCCAAGCCATGGCGCGAGGGTTGACGTAAATCAGGTTGACAGTGATACCACGGCCGGCCGGGATCGCTTTCTCAATCTTCTCTAGAGCCTGGGTCATGGTCTTGGCGCTGAAGTAGCCGCCACCTGCGAGCTCAATGTGGTAACCAGAGTTCATGGTGGCAGCAACAAAATCCCAGGGAACTGTAGCAGGAGTCATGCCAGCAACCATGACAGGCGGGAGGCCGAGAAGGCGAGACATCTTCGTATCAACGTACTTTTCGCCCTTTGAGTTCTTGACAACCTTGGGGCCAAATTCTTTAACCCAGTCGATAGCATATCTGATGGCGTTCTCCTCGTCTCTATCGAAGAGCTCAGGCTTGTATCCGACAGCCTCAAGCGCGCCCTCAACAGCACCAGCGATGATGACGCGGACACCAGTACCCTCTTTGTTGCGACTCGTCAGGTTCCCGAGACCAGAAGCGCCACCAGGACCAAAGTCGAGGACGTGGCTGGCGTTGGGGAAAACAGTGGCGGTTTCCCAGTTTACAGGATCACGTGTAATGAGGCGAACAAGGGTCGGGACAATATTGCCGCTGACCTCTGTTCGTAGATCCTTGCCAGTGTTTGTATCAAAGACGGGGATGCCCAGAGATCTGCTGTCAATAACAATATCCTTGAGGTCCTCGTCGATCATGGCAGTGGCCTCGGTGAGGTACTGGCTATGGAACGGGGCAGTGATGGGAAGAAAGCGGTTGACGAAGCGCACCTTTCGCTCGGTGTAGGGGACACGGGTCTGGTCAAGACCAGTGGGGGCCTTGACCTTGCGCAGCTGCGAGTTGAGACCATAGAGCGAAGTGGGAGGGCCGGTGACGACCAGGTTTCTGGGGCTGTTGATGAGAGAAATGTTGATATGACGGTTGGCGGGGAGGTATTGATTGGTAACCTCAATGTGCTTTTGAACCTCCTGCTGGGAGAGGTCTCGGATGCTCAACATGGGCGTCGGGGTGCCCTCGCCATGGTCCATTGATTCCCTCAACATGGTGGGGGTCATCGAGGTGACAGGGAATGCCTGCTGGCTTCTGGTACCAATCCAGAAAAGGATGGTGAGGGTAGAAGTGGCGATCTCGGTCCATGAATCCCAAGAGTCAGCGGCGGCCGTGGCGGCAGCCATGACGATACCTTGGGAGTGGCCGGTAGAGCCGCGAAGTCGCTCACGAAGGTGGCCGGGGGTGATACCAAGGACCTTGCAGGTAACCTCATAGTGGGCAAGCTGAACAAGACCAATTAGAGGGAAGCTGACCGGGGCGGAAATTAGGTAGTCGATATCAGGAGTGGCTTCGGGGTGCTGAAGCCAGTTCATAATATCCAGACCCTTCGCAAACGATTTTTCGGCGCTGGGGTCGTTGGAGAGGGTCTGCAGGAGATCGGCGGCGTTTGTAATGAGGTCCGAAACAAAGCCAGAGTATGTGGTGAAGATTTGGCGCAGCTCCTCAAAGTATTCCTCAATATTGCCTTGGCCGCCAAAAATGGTATAGATGTCGGCCGCGCCATCGTCGGCAGCGCGCAGGAGAGCAGATTCATGCGGCTTGATGGTTCTGTTAGAGACGCTGCGGGCAGCGTAGTAGCTCTTGATTACCTCGAGCTTCTTGGATTCAATACCAGGGAGGGTGGCGGCGAGAGCGTGGACCTCGTTTCCATGAAGGAACGCGCGCTCGAATTCATTGAGAACGAGTCTGAGGACCTCCTCGTAGGAGCCTTGGGCGTCGTCCTCGCCATTTTCGACTTGGCCGGCAACGAAGCCAAGGTATCTCGCAACCAGCTCGGCTACTGACGAGGGCTCGTCATCTTGAGCGAGCTCATCGGTAGGGGGTGGTAGATTCGCAGTGAAGCGCTCTTTTAGCTGTGATGCGTGAAAGTGGAGGCTTGTAGGGACGAGGAATGAGGTTTCAAGAGTGCCGTGGGAAAGCGTCAATGGTCGTAGAGAGGAGCTGGATCGCGGAGTGTTAATGCCCGTCTGGGGCCCGGTTCCTGCTCCGTACATGGTGATGGATTGTAGGTGACGGAATTAAAGGGTATCGTATAAAAGTCTGGTGACAGGGAAGGTTAGCGGTGCGAAATCGCTTCAATTGAGGGGGCGGGACAAACCTATTAAGGAACCCGTTTGCTGATGTCGTGCTCGTGGCCGCGAAGTCTAGTTGCTGGAGGTGATGTCTGGCCGTTTGGAGAGAAACAAGGAGCTTGGTCGCCAGTCCGGAGTATTACGGCGATCAAGGCTGGCAGCTCGGCAGCAAACGAGCTTGTATAAAATTGAAGATATGGAGATGGAGAAGAAGGATTAAGGTAGAAAGGGAGAAGGAGGGTTGGAGAGACGATGAGTGGGACAGAAATGGTACTCGAGGTAGATTCTCTCAACGTCGAGCCAGTGTCGGACGAGTCGGGAAAAATCAGGACCACCCAGGAAGCTGGACTGGACTTTTGGCTGGAGAGCCGAGAATTGGCGCGGGTCGGCTTCCAGGCACTGGCTGCAGGTTAGAGCACTAACAGACTCACTCCAGGCTACAGCAAAAGGTGTGTGGCCTCTCCCTCAAGAAAAATTAGTTCTGTTGGGGATGGCCATGGTCCCTTTTTTTCGGGGGAGCTTCCATTGGAGATGGAGGGGCAGATTTCATGTACCAGTACTTGCAGTTGGGGGGTGTCAAGATTGCTCCAGCGACGGGACGTGTTGGGTCATGCAACGTTCTACTGGAGACCGAGCCTATCAGGAGCTGCCAATTTGGCCAGGCTGTGAAACCAGTGGCCAGAGATTGTTGAAAAGTACACAGATACAGACACAAGCGGCCCCAATGGTGTCGCTGGCTAGCTAAATTCTGTACGGATACTATCCAAGTGAACACACAAAATGCAGCGTTTATCATCGTTTATCAGTGGCTTTCGGGACTTGCGATTAGCCTACACCAACCCAAACGGCAGGCGGTGAGGCGTCTAAAAGAAGCTCCGGCGACGACAGATGTGGTCTGATTGTGTCGGGAAGGGGCGGGATAACACGGGGCAATGGAAGCGTGAGTTATTTCTAGCATGATTACGAATATTGACAGATTGTTATCTCGGCTCGGGTGTCTTGGGGCTGGATCTGGGGGTTGAAATACGGGGTGCACTACGAATTAGAACAACGTTAGCCACTGCAGGGTATGCTCCTACATAGGAGTTGCTGTTGGGCGTTGGCGATAGCGACTTCTACGATGCCATCCTGAATGATAATCGCTTGCAAGTTAAAACGCTGGACAGCTCTGCCCGTCGCCTTGGCCTTCTCATCCCGGTTGGAGTGAGGCAAATTGTAGTTAAATCCTCAACAGCACCGCTATGTTGGTATCGGAGTCGGGAGGGGCCATGCATCTTGATGGGTGGAAGTATGCACTGAGTCTCCGATTTCCAGGAGATCTCGCTTCAAATAGCCTCAGAGTGGGATGCAAATGTTCTGGGGCAAAGTAATCCAGTACGGCAATGAATACGCCAACATTGTTGCCGCAAAATACACAATGTCAATAGTAGATGCAGTGGCGTTGTCTGAAGTTCAAGTGCGCACCCCCTAAGCGTAGCTTGTACCAGTACATCCCAGCGAAATTACGTTGCCTCCATCATATCAATCGCTTTTCAGGGCGGACAGGCTGTTTGGGTGGGGCAACTGGTCCGTTGTGCCGGGCAGAAAACTTAGACTCAAGAAAAAACTCGGAAAAATCTGGCCAAGCAATGTGTTTGAGTGGTGGCCTAGATAGCTATCGGCGGGATGTCTGGAAATCTGGAGATGACGCAACGGCTGTGTGGTAAACCGCTGCCAAATCTAGCTCCGGAGACGTTTCTGGATTTAAACAAATTGTTGAATGCCCCTTATGCCGTTTGTTTACTATCAACACTGTAACTGCCACTCAACTCCCCTTTCCCACCAGTGGCCCGGCTTTTGACATTAGTGTCTCCAATGGGGGAACATTCTGTCTGCTCCCGACATCCCGCGCCTTTCCTAACTTAGTTTAGACCAGCAATCTGGTTGAGACGCCCTGCTGCAAGTCTGCTGCGCCAGTTACTGCAACATCCCCCAATTCTTTTTCCTCCCCTTGGGGACTTTATTGTGGGTCATCCAGTTCAACAATCCAAGCCCGCTGCAATCCGCCTTGCTGGCTTTACCTACGCTGCACTGGACTGCGTTGCACTGCCAGTCACAAACTCCGTTTGGTCCCGTCTCGTCCCTCCCAAAATTCTGCCCATCACGTCGTATCCTGCCTGGGAGCCTCGGACACCTCGTTGTTCTCTTGTAATCACACCACCTACATCCTAATACCTGCATCCTTCTTCTCTTTCTTCATTCTCATCACTCCCTGTCCGTCCATACCATTGTCTCCCACCAGCATTGGAATTACCTCTCCAAGCTGCCGCTCGAAGCTGGGTTGCGCGGGACCCTTAATTTCTACTCTCCGAAAATTATACATCATCGCGGGCATCGGCGCGTACTCCTCATTGCAATTGGTAACAGTCCTCACTTACGGTTGCAATACAATTCTCTCTACACCCTTTGATCGCGCGTTCGACTCCCTATTCTCGACTCTCTCCTCAAAATGCGTCCCGAAGTCGAACAAGAGCTCTCCCACACCCTGCTCATCGAGCTTCTGGCCTACCAGTTTGCCTCGCCTGTCCGATGGATTGAAACACAGGACGTCTTCCTCGCCGAGAGGACGGCCGAGCGTGTGGTAGAGATCGGTCCTGCCGATACGCTCGGTGTCATGGCCAAGCGTACCCTCGCCTCCAAGTACGAAGCCTATGATGCCGCCAAATCCGTTCAGAGACAGATTCTTTGCTACAACAAGGATGCGAAGGAGATCTACTACGACGTCGATCCGGTAGAGGAAGAGCCAGAGCCCACGGCACCCGCTGCCGGAGCGTCTGCAGGTGCCGCGCCGGCTGCTGCAGTTCCCGCTGCCGCTGCAGCCGCCCCTCCTCCGCCCAGCGCTGGTCCGGCCGTCCAGGTTCCCGATCAACCTGTTCAGGCTGTAGATATTGTCCGCGCGCTCATTGCACAAAAACTCAAGAAGCCTCTGCTCGACGTTCCCCTCAGTAAAGCAATTAAAGACTTGGTTGGTGGTAAGTCTCCCTGGCTAACTCTCATGCGACCCTCCCGCTAACAGCTTCACCCAGGCAAGTCGACTCTACAAAACGAGATTCTTGGTGATCTCGGCAAAGAATTCGGCTCTACACCAGAGAAGCCAGAAGATACCCCTCTCGACGAGCTCGGTGCATCCATTCAGCCTACTTTCGACGGCAACCTCGGCAAGGTCTCGCAGTCCCTTATCGCCCGCCTTATTTCTTCCAAGATGCCTGGTGGCTTCAACATCACAGCCGCTCGCAAGTATCTTGAGACAAGATGGGGTCTTGGTGCCGGTCGACAAGATGGTGCGCTGCTGCTGGCTCTGACAATGGAACCCGCGGCCCGCCTTGGTGCGGAAGGCGACGCCAAGGCTTTCCTCGACGATGTTACTCAGAAATATGCTGCACATGCTGGTGTCAGCCTCACAAGCACTGCTGCCGCTGACGCGGCCGGCGGCAGCGGCGGTGGTATGATGATGGATCCTGCCGCCATCGATGCCTTGACGAAGGACCAGCGCGCCCTCTTCAAGCAGCAGCTCGAGCTCTTCGCCCGCTACTTGAAGATGGACCTCCGATCTGGCGACAAGGCCTTCATTAACTCGCAACAATCTGAAAAAGTTCTTCAAGCCCAGCTCGACCTCTGGAATGCTGAACACGGTGACTTCTACGCCTCCGGCATCGAACCTGTTTTCAGCCCCCTCAAAGCTCGCACATACGATTCTTCGTGGAATTGGGCTCGTCAGGACGGTCTCAGCATGTACTTTGAGATCATTTTCGGTAGACTCCAGACTGTTGATCGCGAAATCGTCAGCCAGTGTATCCGTATCATGAACAAGTCGAATCCCAAGCTCCTCGACTTCATGCAGTATCACATCGACAACTGTCCGACCGAACGAGGCGAAACATACAAACTTGCCAAGGAGCTTGGATATCAGCTTATTGACAACTGCAAAGACGTCCTGAATGTGGCTCCTCACTACAAGGATGTTGCCGTGCCGACTGGCCCTCGCACTACCGTTGACGCTCGTGGTAACCTTAACTACGAGGAAGTTCCTCGTGCCAGCTGCAGAAAGCTCGAGCACTATGTTCAGCAGATGGCCGAGGGTGGCAAGATTTCCGAATATGGAAACCGTACCAAAGTCCAGAGCGATCTTCAACGCATCTACAAGCTCATCAAGCAGCAGCACAAGATGTCCAAGACCTCGCAGCTTGAAATCAAGAGTCTGTACGGCGATGTGCTGCGGTCTCTTGGCATGAACGAAAGCCAGATTATTCCCAAAGATCACGGCAAGGGTCGCAAGGCTACCACCCTCAAAGGTAGCAGCAACAACAAGGGCCGCGTTGAAACCATCCCCTTCCTGCACCTCAAGAAGAAGACTCTCCACGGCTGGGACTACAGCAAGAAGCTTACTTCCGTCTACCTCGATTGCCTCGAGGAGGCTGCCCGTGCCGGTGTCACATACACTGGCAAGCATGTTCTCATGACCGGTGCTGGCGCCGGCTCCATTGGTGCCGAGGTTCTCCAGGGCCTCATTAGCGGTGGCGCTCGCGTTGTCGTAACCACAAGCCGCTTCTCCAAGGAAGTCACGGAGTATTACCAATCAATGTACACTCGCTACGGCTCTCGCGGATCCCAAGTTGTCGTTGTTCCCTTCAACCAGGGCAGTAAGCAAGATGTCGAAGCCCTTATCGACTACATCTACGATTCCAAGAATGGTCTCGGCTGGGATCTTGATTACATTGTGCCGTTTGCTGCCATCTCCGAGAATGGTCGCCAGATCGACAGTATTGACTCGCGCTCTGAGCTTGCGCACCGCATCATGCTTACCAACCTTGTCCGTCTTCTTGGATGCGTCAAGGCCCAGAAGGCCGAGCGAGGCTTCGAGACCCGCCCTGCCCAGGTCGTCCTTCCTTTGTCTCCCAACCACGGGACCTTCGGCAATGACGGTCTCTATTCCGAGTCTAAGCTTGCCCTTGAGACTCTCTTCAATAGATGGTACTCTGAGAGTTGGGCCAACTACCTCACCATTTGCGGTGCCGTCATTGGCTGGACTCGTGGCACAGGCCTTATGTCTGGCAACAACATCGTTGCCGAGGGAGTCGAGGCTTTCGGCGTCCGCACCTTTTCTCAACAGGAGATGGCTTTCAACTTGCTTGGACTTATGTCTCCTACCATTGTTGACCTTTGCCAGTCTGAGCCCGTCTTCGCTGATCTCAACGGCGGTCTTCAGTTCATTCCTAACCTCAACGAAGCCATGACCAAGCTTCGCAAGGATATCATGGAGACCAGCGAGATTCGCAAGGCTGTCACCAAGGAAAGTGCCATTGAGAACACCATTGTTAACGGAGCTGAGTCGGAGATTCTCTACAAGAAGAAGACAATCGAGCCACGTGCCAACATCAAGTTTGACTTCCCTCCTCTACCTGACTGGGATGATGAGGTCGCTCCCCTCAACGACAAACTCAAGGGCATGGTTGATCTTGAAAAGGTGGTCGTTGTTACTGGCTTCGCCGAAGTTGGTCCTTGGGGTAACTCGCGTACCCGATGGGAGATGGAGGCTTTCGGTGAATTCTCTCTCGAGGGCTGCGTTGAAATGGCGTGGATCATGGGCCTCATCAAGAATCACAATGGCCCTATCAAGGGCAAGCCTTACGCTGGTTGGGTGGATGCCAAGACTGGCGACCCCGTCGATGACAAGGACATAAAGGCCAAGTACGAGAAGTTCATCCTGGAACACTCTGGTATCCGCCTGATCGAGCCCGAACTTTTCGCCGGCTACGACCCCAACAAGAAGCAGCTCCTCCATGAGGTCGTTATTGAGGAGGATCTGGAGCCCTTTGAATCCTCCAAGGAGACTGCCGAGGAGTTCAAGCGTGAACATGGTGACAAGGTTGAAGTGTTTGAGATTCCTGAGAGCGGCGAGTATCTCATCCGTCTGAAGAAGGGGGCGTCTCTTTGGATTCCCAAGGCCCTCCGCTTCGACCGCCTTGTTGCTGGACAAATTCCCACTGGCTGGGACGCGAAGCGATACGGCATTCCTGATGACATTATCGATCAGGTTGACCCTGTCACTCTGTTCCTACTCGTCTCTACTGCTGAGGCTCTGCTATCCAGTGGTATAACCGATCCGTACGAGTTCTACAAGTATGTCCATGTCTCTGAGGTCGGTAACTGCGTCGGCTCTGGTATGGGTGGTGCTACTGCGCTGCGCGGTATGCACAAGGACCGCTATCTTGACCAACCTCTCCAGAACGATATCCTTCAGGAGTCGTTTATCAACACCATGGCCGCTTGGGTAAACATGCTGCTCATCTCTTCCTCCGGCCCTATCAAGACCCCCGTTGGTGCTTGCGCCACCTCAGTCGAGTCGGTCGACATTGGTTACGAGACCATCATGGAAGGCAAGGCTCGCGTCTGCTTCGTCGGTGGCTTTGACGATTTTGGCGAGGAAGGCTCTTATGAGTTTGCCAACATGAAGGCCACCAGTAATACTGTTGATGAGATGGCCCATGGTCGCACACCCAAGGAGATGTCCCGTCCCACAACCACAACCAGAAACGGCTTCATGGAGTCCCAGGGCTGTGGTGTACAGGTGATCATGACCGCTAAGCTTGCCCTTGATATGGGTGTTCCTATCCACGGCATCCTCGCTCTCACCACGACTGCCTCTGACAAGATTGGCCGATCCGTTCCCGCGCCTGGTCAGGGTGTCCTTACGACTGCTCGTGAGAACGCTGGCAAGTTCCCTTCACCTCTTCTGGACATTGACTACCGTCGCCGCCAGATTGAACGCCGCAAGAAGCAGATCAAGCAGTGGCAGGAGTCTGAGCTAGAGTTTATTCATGACGAGATCAGCGCCATGAAGGCTCAGCAGGGCGAGTTCGATGAGAAGGAGTACGCGCACGAGCGCGTTCAGCACATCGAAAAGGAGGCTGTTCGCCAGGAGAAGGAGCTTCTGCGCAGCATGGGCAACAGCTTCTGGAAGAGCGACCCAAGCATCGCCCCTCTCCGTGGTGCTCTTGCTACCTGGGGCCTTACCATTGACGATCTCGGTGTCGCCTCTTTCCACGGTACTTCCACCAAGGCTAATGATAAAAATGAATCTTCTGTCATCTGCCAGCAGCTGCGTCATCTCGGTCGTTCTGAGGGTAACGCGGTGTTGGGTATCTTCCAGAAGTACCTCACTGGTCACCCGAAGGGTGCTGCTGGTGCCTGGATGTTGAACGGCTGCTTGCAGGTCCTCAACACCGGCCTGGTTCCTGGCAACCGCAATGCCGACAACGTTGACCCTATCATGGAAGAATTCGACATGATCCTTTACCCCAGCCGCAGCATTCAGACTGATGGCATCAAGGCCTTCTCGGTTACCTCATTCGGTTTCGGTCAGAAGGGTGCTCAGGCTATTGGTGTCCACCCCAAGTACCTCTTTGCCACTCTTGATGAGCGCACGTACAACGACTACTGTGCCAAGGTTGAGGCTCGCCAGAAGAAGGCCTACCGCTTCTTCCACAACGGACTCATCAACAATAGCTTGTTTGTTGCCAAGTCCAAGGCTCCTTACACCGATGAGCAGCTCAGCTCAGTTCTCCTCAACCCTGATGCTCGCGTCTCGACCGAGAAGAAGACTTCTGAGCTCACCTTTGCTACCAATTTTATGAAGCAATCTGAGAAGGTTGTCTCTTCTGCTCAGGCCAAGGAGACCCAGCAAGTTATGGAGACACTTGCTCGCAAGGTGGCCAGCCAGAACAGCAAGGTTGGTGTAGATGTTGAGGACATTGCTGCCATCAACATTGAAAACGATACTTTCCTCGAGCGCAACTTTACCACTGCCGAAATCGCGTACTGCGAGAAGGCCCCTAGCCCCCAGAGCTCCTTTGCTGGTCGTTGGAGCGCCAAGGAGGCTGTATTCAAGTCTCTTGGTGTTACCAGCAAGGGTGCCGGTGCTGCGATGAAGGAGATTGAGATTTCTCGGGACGAGACTGGCGCACCCAAAGTCTTGGTAAGTTTGCATTGTTCTGAATGATGCGCGTTTGAGGATAGCTTGCTAATATGTGTCCATAGCTCCACGGCGATGCTGCCTCCGCTGCTAAACGGGCTGGCGTCAAGGACATCTCCTTGTCCATCTCGCACTCGGACAACCAGGCTATTGCCGTTGCCGTTGCGAGCTTCTAAAGGCGGTGTTGTAATTGATGTCTGAGGACTGTTCCTTTTTTGTTTTGCATGATGGAAAGAGCGATTATCACGTCCCTCGTCTAGAAGTTTTAAAGATGCTATGAGCAAATTGATTATAATAGAACCTGTTAATATAGATACTTTTCACTGTTGCTTGTCTGCTCACTTGCATACTTGCGATGGCTTCACCTGTTTCGAGGAGCAGCTTCCAAGTCAACGGTTAGGTCAACGAGAGGGGCGTTTAGTACTCTTTTCGATTTTTTTGTATTAATTGCTTGTTTTCTCTCTGCTCAAGTAGCCCAACGTGGCCCGTGTCACATATTTCCATTTCTCGTAACGCCGAAAATGCGTAGTCTCCAGACCATCCTTTGCAACCCATCGGGCTATCCATTTCGCCATGGCTGAGGAGGGGGTATCAGAGAGGGCTGCATGATAAGAAAAACAGGCGACGAAGAGTTGATCTATCCGTTGAATATCCCAAAAAGATGCCTTCCTAGATTCTTCGGCGGCGAGCAACAAAAGAGCACGATTTACTTGCTTCTGTTGCTGCTGAGTCGAAAGTCGGGCTCGCTCTTCCCCGCTCACTGTCCGCGACCGCGACCTCGGCCACCACGACCGCCGCCACGGCCTCCTCGTCCCCGGTCACCGCCTCCGCGGCCGCCGTGGTCCCCTCTTGACTGGCCGCCGCGACCGCCGCGGAAGTTGCCCTGCTGGTTCTTTTGCGCCTCGGTGGCGAGGTCGATGATTTCTTCGGGAACTCGTAGGTACTTGATCTGTAGAGGGGGGAGAGTCATGGTTAGTTTTCGTATTTCGCAGAGTGGTGGTGCAGGCCTTTAGAGTAGGACTCGGGATATCTCGTACATTGTTGCCCTTGACGTAGACCTCTGGTAAGCGCACAAACTTGTCACCCTCCTGCAGCTATTGTCAGCAATCTGATCCTTCAAGCAATACGACGCACTCTCGTGTCAAAAATTGATCTCGTATGCATCGGCTGCCCATGCGCGCATGGTAATTCGGGGTGAGATTCGTACAGGACTCGTTTGGACAACCTCTTTGAGTGTGAGGTTCATCCAGGTATCGCAGTTGACGAGATGCCCGTTGAGGGTCTCGCCGTTCTTGAGCTCGACCAGCATCGGGTGACCCTGGGCGGCATTAAGCAAGCCGAGGGGCAGCTGCCAGGGAACAAGCACGTTAGCAAGGTTCTCGATCCTTTGGGGATAGAGCAGGCCGGCGCGGTGGGATGGGCTCCGCGATCGCGTGCGCGGGCCAAGCTGGGGAAGCGGGAATGTCCGTACCATTGTTGGTTTTTATCTGTATGCAACCGCGACGAAAACTAGCAAGAGAAAACAAAGACCCAATGCTTTCTAGACGGGCGCAGCGGGGCGTTGATGGGAAGCTGTCTATTGTTGAGGTCACTTGGAGGGAGACTGCGAGATGGTGGTGGGCTGGTCCAGTTAGTGCAGAACCTCGCCAGTTGCATTGCCCCGGTTGGTGATTGCGGAACCCTTCCGTCCAGCACTACCTCAGAAAACAGCCATGCCTTCATCCAGTCGACTGTCCCCTTTGTAATAATAGTGTTGCATTTTTCGACAACCTTGGGGGAGGGAGAGATCTGCGAGGAAACTCAAAAGGACAATGCAGCGCAGTACGATAATCAACGATGGCCTCTGGCGCTGCCTCTGTCCCTCCTTCGACAGGACACTGGTGAGGCATGCGGCGCGGCACTCAACCAATCTACGCTCACGCCCACTGCGCCGCGAGCTTGGACGAGGAGCATCGATCCCGACAAGGATGCAGCGTCGAGCGTACAGCGCAGAAGCATCGTCATCAATCGACGCCTATATCCAAGGCATGATGAAGCCGACACCAGGACCGGAACCAACGACGCGGTCGCCGAGGCTGGTCAACATACTCACGAGCAAAGCGCCCCCAAGCGACACAGCACTCTTTGCGGCGTCCATTGACGAGCTGATCGACCACCTGCACACACTGCGCGGCCGTGAAAAGCCCTGGATGTCTACCTTATCCACCGTGGACAGGCACAAGCGCATCGTGCACCTCGTCAGGCACCTGGTTGTGCAACGCAGGCAGCGGCTGACTGCGTTCCTGTACGAGTGCATTGTGGACACCTTGGGACATCCAGAGAGCAGCGGCAAGACCTTGGTTGCCCTGATGAAGGACATGGCGTATCAGGGTATCGAGCCGACGCCGGCCTTCCACGCCGGGGCCCTCGAGTCCCTCATGGTGCACCCCAACTACGCCGCCATGCTGGAGATTCTGGAGCACGCGCGCGAGCATGACTGGCCGGAAAACAAGCCAACGCTCGCCGTCGCGCTGCTCCGCGATGAGCAGTACGAGCTAGCCTACGACACGCTCATGGAGCTGCACGCGAGCGGTGCTCAGGTCGAGCCGTGGATCTACGACGTCTTTGTGTTCGTTTTCGGCAAGATGGGCTTCGTGGACGAGATGATGCAGGTGCTGGTGGCGCGGCTGACGCTCGCCTCTACGCAGGGCCTGGATGCGCTGCAGTTCTTCGCGCTGGACGCGTGCAGCGCCGCGTTCCATTACCCGGGCACGCTCGCCGGGTGGAAGACCATGGTGCGCGGTGGCAAGGTGAACCCGCCCGACGGTGTCGTGGAGAACGTGCTCAACACGGCGGCGCGGCAGGCCGACACGGCGCTGGCCAGCGAGGCGCTGGACATGCTCGCGCAGCGGACCAGGCTGCAGGATTACCACTACGACAGCGTCATCGACGCCTTCATCCTCGAGGGCGACCTGGCCTCGGCAACGCGCCTGCACTGCATCATGCATACCAACGGCGTGCCGGTGACCAAGGCCGCCGCCCGCCGCCTCGTCGCCGCGGCCGCGGCCGCCCGTGCCGGGCCTGAGATCAACGAGTGGCTGCGCGTCGCCACCGCCGAGCAGGACGGGGAGAGGCTACTGGCGCCGCCGCGCGGCCACCTGCTTGCGGCCGACGCGTCGCCGGCCCTGGAGCTGTATGCGCGCTATCAGCAGTTGTGCGGCAGCGGCGAGGCGGTGGTGCGGCCGCCACTCGAAGTGATGCTGCAGCTCCTACCACACTGCAGCGACGACCAGGACGCGGCGGCCGGGCTGCGCGACGGGGTTCTGGAGGCGCTGCGCGCGCAGGCGGGCGAGGGGCCGCGCCGGATGGTCGCGCAGAAGCTTCGGGCGGCGGCGGAGGAGCTGATCCGGGACGGCAGGACGGTGGAGGGTTGGCTTCTGGAGGAAAAGGTCGACGAGATTATGCAGCCACCGCAGCTAGAACGGCCGTCGTAGTCGCGCGGGCTTCTCCTGCAGCGAGTTCAACTTCAAACTCAGGCAAGGCGCAAGAGCGCAGAGAGAAGAGCGAGCCAAATTGACAAGAGCGTGCTAAACTGGCTGGCGCAAACCAGGATCGTGCTACAGCGATGGCCGCAACGGACATTACTTTAACTACTTTTGTATAATTATATCTCCTTCAGACTACATGCTTTAATGTATACTGGCATCTACTTTCGTATGTCCGTGCCGGTCGGATTTCAGTAACAGCGATGGGCTGCCAAGGCGGCGCTTGTCGGTGGTTGTGAGCCGTCTCGTCCGGTTATGTCCGGGGCTTGCCAGACGGGGAGCGAATCTTGGCCGCCTTACAGTCAGCCATTAATATTTTTATTTTATTTTTGGGCCCTCTTTAATCTTTCAGCATGTGCATTTCTCTCACCTGCCGAGACAGCAGAAACATGAAAACAAGTGGGATGCATTGGTTGGTTGTCAATATACAAGTTGCGGCTCTGCAGATGGGATAAGACAGCGTGCCAACACAAGACACCTTCTCTGGCTATTGTTTGCGACAACCATGTATTAGCAGCATCATTGGAAGAATGGCGTAATTTCTCTATGATGAAGCCAACAATTCAATCATGTCAAAACTCCGCATGTGGCTTAACATATTTCTAAGCTTTTATTTGTCTCTTGCTGGCGCCAGCGCAATCCAAGACCAGATTGCTACCTAACCGTGTGAAACAGAAGGATAGGTAATCAGGCTATCGAGTTTCTTATTTCTTCCGCCGTGAATCGCACGTCATCATCGGTAGCCTCGATACCCAGCCCTGCTTCGTACAGAGAGAGAGGGTTTGTAATCCAGGCTCTGAGTGGCTGCCCTAGCGAATCTGGGCTAGGCCAAAGGCAGTGGGTATGGCGTCAGCCGCTGAGCAGCAGATAATTTTACACCATTGATTGTTTATTGCTCCGTTAATTGTTTATTGATTCTTATGATGAGCTGCCGTCTTCCCAGTGCATGGATGGCTGAGAAAGAGTCTCTCATAGAAGTGCATCTCTGTGTGTGAGAGATGGTGATAATGTTGGAGTTCACCAGCCAACCAACAGAGCGGCGCAAATGAATTGGCATGCCATGTCCATTGTTAAACGGTGCTAGGTCCGAGTGACTATGCAATTGATTCCATCAAGATCAGCACCAAAAAAAAATCACACTTGTTCACGGTCAGAATTCACGGTCAAAATGAGTCCCACATACAGCTTGGCAATGGTTTGACTCAACCGCTCCTCCGTTCTCTCCACCTCGTACTTGCTTGGTTGGGAATCCAAAATCTAGCAGTAATAATAACAAACAAAAAACTCGCTCTTATTTGCGCCGGCCACCACCATCCAGCATGCTGCGGCGGTTGGTTGGCTGCCCGTCGCTCTTGGTTCACGTCAGCCCAGTCCCAAGGCTGCAAGCTCGTCAACTAAAACGGTCGAATCGGCAAGATTTTAGCGCGGCAGGGCTTGAATCTACCTACATACTGTACATCTCGCGGTTCGGATTTATAAGCTGTCAATGCGGCTCTAACAGTTAACACCACCAGCCAACTAACTCCGCCGCAGCTCGGATCTTGCTTCCCACGGCCCCTCTCCCTGTCATGCGATTGTAGTTTTTTTTTTTTTATACCTTTTGATTAATCATATGGGGGTGACATATTCGGATATTTTTAATGCAATTCTTCCTAGAGGTTCCATAGTTCTAGAGATGTATAAGTATGCAGCCTTGGTCGCTTGTCGGTGAACTCCCGTAGAACCATCACGAACATTGCATCTGCTCTGGCATAACAGATACCCCGTCTCAGCAGCATCATATACTTTATACCCTTGACTAGTAGTCAGTCACGAAAACACGGAGACTACTTATCCCAAATCTGCATTTCACCGACAACAACCCGTACAGACTCTCAACCCTTACTTGCATATTGTCCATCTCATCATCGATACCAGCAACTCAATTTTTCAAAAGACCTCTTCATCTTCCTCAAAATGGCGGACATTATCCGCGACGCCACCATTGGCCAGATCATCCGCTGGGTGACCAACAACCGCTACCTGCAGTACCCCGAGGAGAAGCCTGACTTCAAGCTGCCCGAGGCCTACGCCAGCATCCTCCACGGCGCCACCGAACAACCACGCAGACCATCCTCCTCCTCGCAGTCCTCCAATAAATCCACCCTCGACGCCGCCGCCACCGCTGCCGAGAAGACCGAAGACGCCGCCGCCGCCGCCGCCGCCGCCGCCGCCGCCGAGCCGGTGGCCCCTCTGGCCCACATCCCGTCTCACCGGTCCGGCATCAACAACATCACCGAAGCCGCTCTCGAGGCCGACGAGCAGCGCCACCTCGCCCGCACCCAATCCCTCCCCATCGCGCCGCAGCTCACCAAGGACGGCGCCGTGCTCGTCGACTGGTACCGCACCGACGACCCGGCTGACCCGCACAACTGGTCCAACGGGAAGCGCAACGCCGTCGCGCTGCTCATCTGCCTCTACACCTTTGTCGTCTACACCACGTCGGCCATCTACACGGCGTCCACGGCCGGCGTCATGGCCGAGTTTCGCGTCGGCACCCTCGAGGCCTCGCTCGGCCTGTCGCTGTACGTGCTGGGCTACGGCGTGGGACCGCTCATCTTCTCGCCGCTCAGCGAGATCCCCCGCATCGGTCGCAACCCCGTCTACGCGGCGACCATGTTCCTCTTCGTCATCATCTCGATCCCGACGGCGCTGGTGCACAACTTTGCGGGGCTGATGGTGCTGCGCTTCCTCCAGGGCTTCTTCGGCTCGCCGTGCCTGGCGTCCGGCGGCGCGTCCCTCGGCGACATGTACAGCCTGATGGCCATCCCTTATGCCATGATGGCCTGGGTCTCTGCCGCCTACTGTGGACGTACGTCTTTCTCCTCCCTCTCTCTCACCGCCCCTGTCCTTCTTCAATAGCTTCCCGCCATCAAGCATCCACTAACTCTCTTCACAGCCGCCCTCGGCCCTCTTCTCAGCGGCTACGCCGTGCCCGTCATGGGCTGGCGCTGGTCCCTGTACGAGTCCATCTGGGCCTCGGCGCCCATCCTCATCCTCATGCTCCTCTTCCTGCCCGAGACGAGCAGCGCCACCATCCTGCTGCACCGCGCCCAGCGCCTCCGCAAGCTCACCGGCGACTCCCGCCTCATGTCCCAGAGCGAGATCGACCAGCGCAGCAAGACCGTCTCGGCCACCTTCGTCGACGCCCTCATCAAGCCCCTGGAAATCACCCTCAAGGATCCCGCCGTGCTGTTTGTCCAGATCTACAGCGCCATCATCTACGGCATCTACTACTCTTGTAAGTTCAGGCAGTGATATTCACCACAAGGTCCCCGAAGACTAACAGCTTGAAATCATAGTCTTCGAGGTCTTTCCTCTCGTCTACCCAGTTTACTACGACATGAGCCTCGGCCAGATCGGCCTCGTCTTCCTGTGCATCCTCATCTCGTGCCTCATCGGCGTCGTGGCCTACTTCTGCTACCTCTACTTCTACATGAACCCGCGCATCGTCAAGTTCGGCTTCGGCGCCCAGGAGGAGCGTCTGGTCCCCGCCCTCGGAGCCGCCTTCGGTCCGACCATCGGCCTCTTCCTCTTCGCCTGGACCGCGCGAGCGTCCATCCACTGGATCGTGCCCACCATCGGCATCACCATCTACGGCGCCACCGTCTTCGTGGTGATGCAGTGCATCTTCGTGTACATCCCCCTCAGCTACCCCATGTACGCGGCCAGCCTGTTCGCCGCCAACGACTTCTTCCGCAGCGCCCTGGCCTGCGGCAGCGTCCTGTTCGCCCACCCCCTCTTCGGCAACCTGGGCGTCGCCCGGGGAACCAGCCTCCTCGGCGGTCTTTCTGTCATCGGCATCGTCGGCATCTGGCTTTTGTACTTTTACGGCGCCAAGTTACGCTCTATGAGCAAGTTTGCGCTTGCTTAATTGAAATAACGTCCTCGGAGCCAGTGACTAAACAAACCGTCGCAAAATTACCAGCCTTGCCATCTAGACCTATTATAGATTAATACTACCTTACTTAATTCTTCAAACACATGCTCAATTTTGTTTTTTTCTTTTCTACTTAATTCTCTAGTTACTACAGCCCCTACTGTATGTAGTCCGCTCCCGCGTGTACTTGTTGTTTTAGCTGCCAGACCCTGCGTCACACAACTGGCAGCAGTAAGTAAGCAATAGGCCCTCATCGTGAGAGAAGAAAAATCGTATCGATAAATCAGATTCAACGCCAAGGTTCTTCCCTGTAGCGGAAGATGCTCTTTGGTATCCCATGTGCACACAACAGAAGCAAAAGACCTGTCCCAGATCCACGTACGCCAAGCCCTCGAAAAAGCAACCTCTCAAGTAATTATTATGTACATGAAATCTCGCAAAAATTCCATCTAGTCGAGTTCCATACCACCTACTTGCATCAGTTCCAACCACTGCCGCCGGAACCTCCCCAACCGTTGCTCGAATGCGTCGTGGTCGTGGAGCTGCCGTGGAGGCCGTTATATCCATACCAAGACTGCTGCTGCCCGTGCTGCGTCTGGTTCGGCGCAACCGTTGTTTGATGGTGATGATGCTGCTGCTGGTGTGTAGGCTGCTGTGTAGGCTGCTGTGTAGGCTGTGACGAATAAGACTTTCGTGGAGCGCCGCCACGCTTTGGCTCGCTCATCACGCCATGCGCGCCGCCACCATTACCGTTACCACCAAGGCTGTGAGGCTGGTTCTGTGGGTGCACCGAAACCATTGTGTTCCCAGTGTTATTGTTGGTGTTGTTCCCCCCGGTGTAGTTGTGGGTTCGCTCAAGGGTGCCTGCCGCGCCGACGTCTCGTCCGCGACTCGGCCATGAGGGTTTGGCAGCGTTGGCACGCACAGGCGCCGGCGGCTCTTGCTGGCTAAAAGCTCTAGCCAGTGCAACATGTGTAGAGTTACGGTACGCAGTGGGATCGTATGCAATCCTCTCCGTTGCGGCATCTTGAAGTTGCGGGTACGCTCCTTGGCTCTGACCGTAGCTGGCGCTTTGTCGATAAGGGTCGCTTGCGTACTGCGACTGAGTTTCCGGCTGGCTGTAGGGGTTAGCCGGAGACCGGTCAAGGGTAAGCGGGTTTCGTGGTTGAGCCTCGTGCCTCCTCGGGTTGTGGCGCTCGAGAGGACTCTCATGTCTTTCACGAGGGGGTGAAGCCATGAGAGCCTGGGCAGGCGTCGGTACCCTGCTCTTAACCTTTTCTGAAGGCTTTGGCGGTCGCTGTGATCTTCTCGTGGCTGTGGCTTCCACGACAGTGCTGGCATTATTTGGCAGCGGTTCTCTCGCTACAGCAGTTGTATCTGGATAGAAGACGCGCCCTTGTGGCAAGGCCAGGCCGCCAGAGCTCCAGTTGACCGAGCTTACCGGAGCCGGGTTCTCGTATGTGGTGGGCTGAATGCTCGCATCTCCCATGGGTCGAGAGCCATTGCCCTCATCGTCCGGGGTTAATTCCATCATATTTGCGATGAGAACTTGGCTAGAGGCCAATGGTTGGTGGTGAGTTTCGACGACGTGTGTTTCAGCAGCTTCTTCTGTTTGAACAACTTCTTGTGCATGAACAACTTCTTGTGCATGAACAACTTCTTGTGCATGAACAACTCCCGATGTTTGGGCATCTTCTGGTCTAGAGTCCTCTACCTCGCCCTCGGCATCCACAGTCTCCGACATGATAGTATCATCGTCTTCCGTGACAAAAGCGGCAGACTTTCTCGGTCTGGGCTTGGGCACTGGGTACTCGCACGTCAATCCAGACTGCTGGCACACAGTACAGGTAGGCTTATCCTTCGAGCACTGGGAACGATTAGATAGTCGTTCGGATCGCGTGTTTTCAGGACCTACCTTGGATTTCGAAAGCTTGCAATTAAAGCAAAAGACTCGCGATCTCATCCCCTTTTTGCCGCCCTTTCGAGGCGTCTCCGACGTTCCAGTTGCTTCAGCGACAGAGACTTCTTCTCCTGTACTTTCACTAGGTGAGTCATGCCCAAGGTTGACGGCGCCAGATGCTATTGTTTGGGCATCAGGCTGGCTCGGAGCCGGCCGTGAGCTACCCTTTTTTGCTGGGTTAACAATGTGCAACCTTTCTGCACCGTACTTAACGAGCATATTCAGCGACTCGGCCTGAACTTCCGGCGATTGGTTGGAGAAAATGCTGAACTGATCCTCGTTGAGTGTGGCTGGGTCGATACCAGCTTCTGTGAGCTTCTTGATAGCCGTTTCGCGTCGCCGCTCTGCTTCTTCAGGTGACACATTCAGCGACGCCGTGTTGTGCTTTGTTGTTGCCTTTGAACCGGTATTTGGAAGGGCTTCCGCCGCCGTCGCTGCTGAAAGAGCCGCAAGAGCAACTTGATCCGCAGCGTCGATTACAGTCGTGCGGTTTGCATCGGTCGAGACAAAGCCCTCTGTAATCGGGACCAACTCAGCCTGCGAAAGTTGATTTTTCGCGCCCTTCTTCGGTCGTGATCTCGGTCTCTTGGGAGCAGGTTCTCCATCGGCGTTGATCGCGGCTCGTTTCTTGCGTGGCGTGTCGCTCTTCTTGGCCGATCCGGGCGCTTTCTTCTTAGAAACGGCCCTCGGAGGCCGAGGTGGTGGCTTGAACAAATCATAAACCTCGCCAACGGTTCGGTGAAGAGGAGTGTGTGAATAGTTGGCGGTGATGGCGCTGTTGCCTTTAGAAAAGCTAATCGTCACCGATCCTCCACAGTCGAATGCAGGCCGCGCTGGGAAGGTTAGCAAAGTCCTAGGCGGTAATATCGAAGAAGCTTACCTCGGGACACGAAATCCATCTCCTTTTGGCTGTATTCAAGGATGGCTTGCATCTGCGCGGCCTTGCCGTGGCGAGTCCACTGCTGCCACGAGTGGTTACAGGCGAATGTGATGACCCAGCCCTGCGCTTTGCGGTTTTCCTCTACCATCGACCAGGTGCTTCCATCTATACCGCCTATGCTATTGAGTATTTCTTGCGATACGGCGCGTTGTAATATCGGGGTCTCCTGCGGCTGCGACACGAGAGCTTCGCGAGCAGAGACTGTGCTGAGGTTCGAGTCGACATTGTCGCCTTGACCAGCGAAGACGGTGAACTGTGTCGATGGGCCGATATCGACGCTTAATTTAATTCGCTCCGCGCGTGTCTCCGTTATTTTGCCGTCGAACGCATCGCGAAAGCGGGACAGCACGTCGTCGAGGCTGGAGCAGGCCTCGTCATGCACCGGCTCGTCCCCGGCCGCGCCAAAGTTGAAAGAAGCTAGAAAGTCCGCCATAATGAGCCGTCAGGACGCGCGCCAGAGCTGCCGCTGATACATGGGCAACAAATTGGGCCCTTCAGCGATGGAAACAGCGCGCTCTGACGTCCGGCGCAAAAGTGTTGACGAGGGGTTCGCCTCAACTTTGCTGGCGCGCGAGGAACTCGCAAAGGACTTGTGGGGCGCGTGGTTCCTGGTAGTGGCAGGCAACTTGTTGGAAAGCCGCGATCACGTCCGGCTAGCAGTGCTCCGTCGACGTTATGGTGTGACTGGTTACTTGCCCGAAATATGTATTCAAGTCATGGGCTAATCAATGTTCAATTTTCCTTTTATTTTATTTTCTTTTTACTTCATTTTTCCTTTATTTTTGTTTCATAAAATTCCACATAGCTAGAGTACACACATCCTATGCACACTAATAACACTCAGTTCACCCCTCCCAGGGAATGACTTTCCACAGCCCATCAATTCTCTTCCGCCCACTGCTCTAATCTCTCAATAATATCAGCCTTTCTTCCGCTGGTACTTAGGCCCTTTGCCCCGGCAATATCTTTTAGTTGAGCAACCGTCATCTTCGAAATTGACCCATCGTCTATCGCAACCTTCACCTGAACCGGGGTCAGACTAGACCCAGCTGGTTGACCCGAAGCCGTCCTTCCGCGCTTTGCTGGCCGCTCAGGCAGTTCGTCATCAACTTCCCTCTTCACCGCCCTTGATTCAGTGGTAGACTTGGCCTCGTTTGAAAGGGCCTCTGACCATTCCTCAAGATATCCGCCAGCACGTTTACTGATGGCTTTGAACTTGGGCAAGGTGGCGTCTTCGGCAGTTTCGGGAACCTCTTCCTCAAGAGCAAGTGCTTGTAGAATCTTGTAGTGCCATTGCAGCGATGGGTTGGGGTATTTGGTCGGGTTATACATCGCCTTTGGCAGCTGTAGCTGCTGAATAATGGTACGCATCCGAGTTTTGAGATCATCGGACGCCTGGGCCAACTGTCCGGGGGGCTTGATTTCCCTGAGATCGTCTGCAAAGGGAAGAGGGTACAACCACAGTCCAGCGGGCAGAAATGGCGTTCCGGACTCTTCGTCGGACTGCGACTTTGAGGGCATGATGGCGGCAAGCATCGGGTTCGCGTTGGCTCGTACCACACACCAGGCAAGAGCCACCTTATTGTCCTTGAGCAACTTTTCCCATAGCGCTGTGAAGACGCGCGTAGAGCCGACGTAACCCTCTTCACTTGGGTATATGAATGTCGATTTCTTAATGCTACTCCACACCGGAATTGAGCGACGAGATTTGAAGCCAATGATGCGGATAAGAGGACTACCAAAGTCCTTGAGGCTCTTTTGCTCCTCAGACGAAAAGTACACGTACTCGCCGCCGAACTTGTATGCTTTCTTTATCTCGCCCTTCTCAACAGTGCGTGTGCTATCTTCGGCGATCCGGGTCGTTTCACCCACAGCCAGCTGCGGTTTTTCGCCGTCTAGCCATATGTAACAAGTTCTTGCCGGCGCCTGTCTGTGTATAATATTGTAGCCTTTGACAGATATCTGCAGGTCAGGTGCAATCTCAAATGGCAGATTGGAAAATATAGCTCGTTTCGCAGTTTGCTTTGAGTTGATGTTTGATATAAGTGAAGTGAGGAGACTGAGTCCATCTCCCGACTTGCAGACCGCAACCTCTGGAGAGTTTGCCTCAGCCAATGGATCCCGATATAGGATATCCTGGAACAAGCATCAGTAAGATACACTGTAGGTAGACAGACACCAGGGCATACATCGTAGAACTTGGCCAGATCGAACTTGCTGTCATGATGCGAAATTGGGAATAGGTCTATCGACACCCCCAAATCATACAGATCCTTGGCACGCACGGCGGCGGCTGATCTGGCGGCTTTGTCCGTGGCATGTGGGTTATCATCATCTGTCACCAGAAACAGTCGCCGACTTCCGAAATTGGCGGCGCGGGTTGTAAAGATCTGATTGGCACAGAATAGCACGTTTGACATAGAAACGGTTTCAGTAGTCGGCTTTAGGATATCATCGTCAGTCTCTTCATCTTCGACAAGAGATCTCAAGGCTTTGACGTCGTCTGCAGAGGGCACGTCCAGATCGGTAAACAAATAGCAGTGGGGGTATCCCAGGCCACTTCTTCCATTTTCGTCAAGCTGAAATCTTGTCTTCTCTGTGCCAAAGAGCAAAATTCCAATCATGTCCTTGGGGTTGGATATGATGCGTTGCTCCATGAAGTGATATGCACATTTCAGCGCAGCTTGAACGGGGCTATCCCGGTCTGCTTTTTTCGAGTCTGAAGGTGGAGGGGCCTTGAGCATTGACTGGCTGACTTCAATTGCAAGCAATACAGCATCTTTTTGCGTTTTGTATGACTGTCCTCGTTAGCATGACGCACGTCTAATCGATCGCAATGCCGATGATACACACGGTTTCGTCGATCTCCAGATCCCCGTCATCTTCTTCGTCCCGTCGCCAGTCAGACATTGTAAAAATAAATTATAAATCAAGCAGACAGTGGATATTGAAGCACCAAGGCAAGGACGGGCAGACGACCAGTTAATAAAGACGAAGTCCAACGAGCTGGTCTAGTGGGTCCCGGGATGCTGCCTGGAGGTCGCTCCAGGCACGTACAGTGTGCTAAGAATAATGGCACAGACGCGTTGGATAATTGAAACTACACACGAAATCACGTGCCTCAACGGGCGATTGAGCACAGCATTGATACGTAGGCAGATGATCAACTACAACTATCCCTCACCATATCTAGTCTCTTCAAATTTGTATGATCGCTATCGTCACTATCGCCACTATTAACATTACTCTCGCTATCATCAATGCGTTCACAGGCGTTGGAGCACGAAATACAACGAAATCACGTGCATCAATGATTATTAGCTGCGCAGTGATTGGTCACTTAGTACGTTAGCAGCGACTTGTGCTTGTGTCTACAGCGCCACTTCTGAGCAAGTACCTTATAACTGCTGGGTCAGCTCGGCCCTAGCCGTCGGCCTGTATGATCTCCGGACCACCAACACGAGCTCTGAATCGGCAAATGCACACTCTGCACACCTCGTATCGCAGTCACATTTCGCATTGCAGCTCATTTTCATCAACAGTTGCAAGCGCGACAGAATGGCGCTGCGTATAACGACGCGGCAGCTCTGCCGTAACATCCCCAGGAGCACTACAAGCTTCCAACAGATCGCCATTCAGAGGCGCCGACTGGCCACTACGTCAGCGCCCCCGGTCACACAAAATGCGACGGGATCCAAGGGCCCAACGGCCATGGTTTTCCTGAATATGGGTGGTCCGTCAACCACGGCCGAGGTTGGCGACTTCTTAAGCCGTTTATTTGTAAGTACTCGTCTGCATCCTGTTGCTGCCTTGCCCTAACCCGATCGCTCCGCAGTCCGACGGTGATCTCATCCCGCTCGGTCGGCTTCAAAACTATCTCGGCCCATTGATTTCGGCGCGCCGTACACCCAAGATTCAGAAACAATACGATGCCATTGGAGGAGGCTCGCCTATCCGACAATGGTCCGAGCATCAGTGTGCTGAGATGTGCAAGATCCTCGACAAAATCTCCCCAGAGACGGCGCCTCACAAACCATACGTCGCTTTCCGTTACGCAAACCCTCTGACCGAAAACATGTATAAGAAAATGCTTGAAGATGGTTTCGGCGGAGGAAAAGGCGGTCGAGCCGTGGCATTCACTCAATACCCCCAATATTCTTGCTCGACAACTGGGAGCAGCATCAATGAGTTGTGGAAGTGGCGCCACCGACTGGAGGGCAACACGAGGGCAGAGACTGAGGGTGCTATCAATTGGAGCGTCATTGATCGCTGGCCGGTACATCCTGGTCTTGCCAAGGCTTTTGCACAGAATATCCAGGCAAAGCTTGCCGAATACCCCGAAGAACGCAGAAAGAACGTAGTTCTGCTCTTCTCCGCCCACAGCCTGCCCATGTCGGTTGTCAATCGAGGTTCGTACACACGAAACATGGGGAACGATAAATCCAGAGTGTGCCATTCTAACAATATTGATAGGCGACCCATATCCTGGCGAGGTTGCTGCCACAGTCTATGCAGTAATGCAGCAACTTAATTTTTCCAATCCTTACCGCATCAGTTGGCAGTCGCAGGTCGGCCCCAGTGCCTGGCTGGGCCCTCAGACATCGGATACCGTCTCGAGCTACGTTGCCCGTGGCCAGACAGATATGATCCTTGTCCCTATCGCCTTCACGTCTGACCACATTGAGACTTTGTATGAACTTGATGAGGAGGTTATCGGTGAGAGCGGGCACAAAGACACTATCAAGCGAGCAGACAGCCTGAATGGTAGCCGCGTATTTATCGAGGCTCTCGCCGACATCGCCAAGCAGCACCTTCATAGCGGCGATGCCTGTTCGAAACAAATGCTGCTGCGTTGCCCTGGGTGCAAGAGCGAGCGCTGCGGGGAGTCAAAGAGATTCTTCTCGCAAGGTCAGGGCCCTGTACTCTAGAGTGTCATAATATTACGTGTATTATATAGTCACACCATGCACCGGTCGTGTAGCTCCATTCGGGGTTCACCCTCGATTGAGGATCTGTTCTCTGATTTAAAAGGGCATTGGTAGCTATTTTCTCCACGCTGATTGCTACCTACCCTATATGCCTCGCGCAACTCCCGCTCCAACACCCCGCCTTTGGTTGGTGGGGGGTCGCTGATTCTCAAGATCGTTTCATGTTTTCCTGCCTCTGCGTCCGTTTGTTAAAGGGGGTGGGAAGTGGACAGTGGGATGTTGGTTAGGCTGTGTTGGGGTTTACGATATGGATGCGGAGACCTGAGCGATGGCGCGCCTATAAGTTGGGGATGAACTTACAATTGACCCAAGAGCTAGCACGGAGTCGTTTTAAACCACAACGTAGCTCAGGGCATGTGAATATGTAGGTAGTTGTCGCGAGACCTGTAAAAGACCCATAACAGGCGAATATACGGCTGGGCGACAAGACGGACAGCCACCAGCATGGTGCATCATCAAGCGGAAACACCCTGGCTCGCATGTGACGTTCAAGCTAAGTCCAGTAGACATAGATAGTGTCCCGATACGGAGCCACTCCGTATTGACATGCACGGTTCTACCAGTATTGATGTATTACTACAACGACTGCAGCTCCCGGACGCGCGATGATGACGGGTTGCATCACACGATTGAGATGGCCGGAACCGACAGCGGACACCATCACGAAGTGCGAGGAAGTCCGGGGTAAGCTGAGCATCGGCCCGTGCTTGGGCAAGGCGTTAAAAGTTGGTCCATATGTCTGTGGAATGGCGCCGAAGTAAAAATTCCCGTCGATAATGTCCGTGCACGGTGAGCATCAGATAATTTAGGGAAAGGAGGAGAAAACCGAGGAAAATAGGAATGCCAATAGACACATAAATGTGACTCTGCTCCTTTCTTTTTTTTCTCTGCACCCCCCCAGGTGGCCCCTTTTCGTGCCGCCCTGTGGGTTGGACCGCATGCTTACCAGTAAAACATCAAAAGAAAAACCCAAATGCCAGCACATCACGTTTCCCGTAGTTAATCGATAGGAGATAGATCCGCTAAAGCGGCACACATCGGTCGAAATTTGAGCTGGCATGTAAGAGTATCAAGTCGTGTCAAGTGCAGTACCTACGGTTGGTGGGAGCAAGGGAAGTTGGGAAGCTGCGAAGAGTGGGCAGGATTTACTTGGCGTTTCGTGGTGGCATCGCCAGTATCGGATGTCTGCAGCGGAAGAAAACATAACTAGCACTTTGTTATCTACCTACATACATAGGTACCACGTCCATCAAAAAAGTAATTACTGGTAAAAGCCAAAGCATCAAGTAAAGGGAAAAACAGGAGCCGGATAGTGGCAGGAACGTTGATGTCCCAGAGGGAGCTTGGGGCATCAGAGCTCCTCCCTTGTGAAGTACTATATACCTCATTTACCCGCATCACAGTCTCTTGAGTGCTGGCGAGCGGATGCAAATCTCTGTACCTGATACCTGGCGACCCATGATTGCCGTTGAGCTTCAGAGAAAAGTCCACTGGCCCCCTGGAAACGCTAAACCAATCAAGGCTAGCTCTGCACAAACCCCTTTTGCCAGGTGCCACTCAACCACTCTAGCCAGGCCCCAATAGCCCCCGGCCAAGGGCCCCAGCACCAACGGCACAGCACAAGCCTCTCACTGGCCCAGCATGCAGAGCAGAGCCAGGGCGCCAGGCCACCCGAGACCAGGGCGCAAATTCCACCTCCTGTCCCCCAATTCATGCTGAAGGCCACCCAAAAAGTCCCCCCCCTTCTCCTCCTTGTGGCCAGCCCGAACTTGCGATCCTCACGTCAGTCTGTTCCTTTCGTCGTTCTTCCGCCATCATCGCTACTGCCTCTCTCGTTTCTCAGTTGCGTGTCTGGCATTTATCTTGACGCATCGTCTCTACGAGATTGTCAATTTACGTCTTCTTCATCTCGTCTTAGCTGTCATTTAGGATTCCTCATCCTTTGATAGGTAGGTACCTTCCCCCCAGATTGATCCGCCTCGTCACCCCCTTCCGACGAAACCATCGCGCATCAGAATTTTAGTCTCAAGATTCCGGAGGATTCTGGCTGCAACCTAGCCAAGAATATTCCTTGAGATCTTCCAGACTCAATTCCGCACGCGGTGACCTTGTCCCTGAACATCGCGAAGGGCGCATCTGCACTCGTGATCCAGGAGCTCTGCTAACCAAAATCCCAGAAGCCGTACTTCCTTCCAACCATTCCTTAAGAACCGGTCGACCGCTCTTTATACATAATTATGGGTAAGACTCCTCTTTCTTCGCTTGATACTCTGCTTCGCGCCGAATGGCAGTCGCAAAGGCAAAAGGGGCTGTTTCTGGGTCATGCCCGCCACGCGGTCGTTGGGTGTGCACAACGCCCATAGTTGTCCTGGAATCCCTCTTATCACCCCTTCTCATCCGACTTCTTTCTGCTCCACGACTCTTGGGTCCGGCATAAACTTTCACAATCTACGTTTTCTTGGCTTCGCATTTTTGGACGTCCGCTCCATCACGCCACGGCGGACCAGCAGTACTTTCCCTACCATGCCATTTGCCTTTGTTCATCCAGTCAAGTACCGCACCCGAAGCGTTCAACTGGACAAGGCATCCCCCTCGGCGGCCAAGATCGATTTTGAAAGCCCAGGAACTCAGCAACCACAAACCAAGCGAATCTCGAGCCTGTCAGCTGCCTCTTTACGCCTTAGCTCCAGCGCCCCAATCGCAATAGCACCAAACGTTGTCCAGCCTTACCGGAGCATGCTAGACGTACAGGATCCCCCAAAGATACACTGGAATTCAATGTCACTTGACGAGTTGTACTCTGGCTCAATGGATTCAACCAAATTCGATTCTGACGGAGGAAGCTCCGACCTAACGGAAATAGCCCCTCCAATTTCAACAATCGAAGCCACAACCAACGCCCAAACCTGTCAGGAACCTCCAATTGCCAATGCACATGCCCTTTACCGCCTATATAGCTATGCTGCCGCTGCTTTATCTGAAAACCATTGCTAACATTTTCTGCAGCTACCAATGGCAGCGGCTCCCCGCCCACGATGGCGCCCGCATCCCCCGCTAACGGCAAGCTTGATATTCCGGCAGACTTCGCCAAATGGGCTAGCCCTTCTAACACTGCATCTGTAGATGCGCCCATCTCTGCTCCTGCACAGGATACCAGGAACATTGTCAGACGCAAGCTGACCGGTTACGTTGGATTTGCCAACCTTCCTAACCAGTGGCACCGTAAGAGTGTCCGCAAGGGGTTCAACTTCAACGTCATGGTTGTTGGTAAGTTTAATTGCTTGCATCCGTTTTATCAGACCTAATGGTTATACAGGTGAATCTGGCCTCGGCAAGTCGACCCTCGTCAACACTCTGTTCAACACCTCTTTGTATCCTCCCAAGGAGCGCAAGGGACCTAGCCTCGACATTATCCCTAAGACTGTCACCATCCAGTCCATCAGTGCCGATATCGAGGAGGCTGGTGTCCGCCTCCGCCTGACTGTTGTTGATACCCCCGGATTCGGTGACTTTGTCAACAATGACGAGTCTTGGCGCCCCATTACCGACAACATTGACCAGCGCTACGATGCTTATCTCGATGCTGAGAACAAGGTCAACCGGATGAACATTGTTGACAACAGAATCCACGCTTGCGTCTTCTTCATCCAGCCCACTGGTCACTCTCTCAAGCCACTTGACATTGAGGTCATGCGCCGCCTCCACACCAAGGTCAACCTCATTCCCGTTATTGCCAAGTCTGATACCCTCACCGATGAGGAGATTGCGAGCTTCAAGGCCAGAGTAAGTCTGACGCGGAATTTGCTTTATTGATGCATTTCCTTGTACTGACAATGGTTAGATCTTGGCCGATATCAAGCACCACGGTATCCAGATCTTCGAGGGTCCCCGCTACGAGCTCGATGATGAGGAGACCATTGCCGAGAACAATGAGATTATGTCCAAGGTTCCTTTTGCCGTTGTTGGTGCCGCCACCGAGATCAAGACCCCCGATGGACGCGCTGTCCGTGGCCGTCAATACCCTTGGGGTACCATCGAAGTCGACAACGAGGAGCACTGTGACTTTGTTAAGCTGCGCCAGATGCTTATCCGCACCCACATGGAGGAGCTCAAGGAGCACACAAACAACACCCTCTATGAGAACTACCGTACCGACAAGCTTATTGCTATGGGTGTGTCTCAGGACCCCAGCGTCTTCAAGGAGGTCAACCCTGCTGTCAAGCAAGAGGAGGAACGCGCCCTGCACGAGCAGAAGCTTGCCAAGATGGAAGCCGAGATGAAGATGGTCTTCCAGCAAAAGGTCCAAGAAAAGGAGAGCAAGCTCAAGCAATCAGAGGAGGAGCTTTACGCCCGCCACCGCGAGATGAAGGAGCAGCTCGACCGCCAACGCCTGGAGCTCGAGGACAAGAAGCAGCGTATCGAGAGTGGTCGCCCTCTCGAGAAGGAGGGCAAGCGCAAGGGCTTCTCTCTGCGATAAACTGGCGGTACTCGAGCACTGCGCCATTAATGGCTTGCTCTCTGTACGACCAATGTCTGAGTACCATGATGCCTTTTGCAGCACAGGCTCTACGCCATACATTTCCTTATCTGCTTAGTCTTTTCATTACCTCTTCAGGCCCGTTTCCATTTTAATTACGACTCCGTATCTAATTTGTTAGCCGAAAATACCATTGTTGCGGGAATGGTTAGATTGGGGAAAAGTGTTTACAGAATAGTCATGCAATGCCAAACATGCGCAAGCAGACGAGGGCAACAAAGAGGCAAAGCCACAAGAGTTTGGGCAATGTTTGCCCCTGCAAGGTAAAAGGCTTGTCTTCGATTGCCTCTTGCGCTGGACATTTGTTGCTTTGAGCTGTTGCCAAAGGTTGACTAAAGATCTTGGAGGACAGGTTTGCTTTCATTTGAGGGTTGTCTTCTTGGCGAATTGGTTTTGTCCCCGACGTTGCGCACTTATGGTTTCCCTTTTCATAATCTAGTACAACGAAATTGACTGTTTTATCAACACGACCTGACGCATGGCCGGCGGCTTGTGTTTGAGAAACATGCGAGTCGATTCACGTACTGGACTTTCTTCTTTCTTTCTCTTTTCTGCAGGATCGGATGCCCTGTTCTTCTGCCAACATTCTTTTGTCATTTAGCTTCCTTATTGTCATTGGTATCTAATTCTGCTTCCTTCTGCGAGTAAGTCAAGACAGTGATCAAGTAAAACTGTAGGCACAGCTCGGCCCCGTAACAATGCCGGGAATATAAGCCCCCTATCCGTCATGGTGTGCAAATTTTTGTTCGTATTTCTATTGCAAGTATTTGTAGATCCCCCCAATCTACAGGCTATAGCCCGCTACTCGATGTTGAACAAGAAATTATGCTGGTAGAAATGAGAGGAGGTGACTTGTTTCCCACGTAGCGCCCGCACTGTTTGTACATGCCCATATATGCCAGTATTCGCCAAAAAAAAAAAAATGGATGTGACAGAGAAAGGCCAAAAAAACATCCCACTCGTTTCCCGAGCTGTACCTAGAACACCCCGATCCCTCACCTCTTGCGGGCGTTCCTCATGATGAACGCGCCGACAACGCCCGCGGCGAGGCCCACGCCGCTGAGGATGGCGACGCCGAGGAGGCCCTCCTTGGCGACGCGGTCGTCGATGAGCTGGCGGAGGTTGGCGGCCTGGAGGTTGGCGGGCTCCTTGTCGAGGAGCAGGTCGTTGTAGCGGCGGGCCTCGCCGTAGTTGCCGAGCTTGTAGTTGCCGAGGGCGAGGTAGTAGAGGCACTCGCGACGGCGCTCCGGGGCGACGCGGAATATCTCGGACAGCAGGCGGACGCCGAGCTGCTGGTCGCCGCGGTTGGTGGACTTTACGAGGCCCTGTTGCGTTTGGCGAGATTTTGTCAGTATGAGTGTGGGAAAAAGGAAAAGGGAGGGCAGAATACGGCGACGGCGGCGACGGCGGTGGCTTACCCAGGCATAGTTGAATTTTGTTTGTACTCCTACCATCTCACCCTCCTTCTCGTACTGCGCGCGCAGAACCTTGAGCTCTGCGGCGTTGAGCGGCCTGGAGGCGGGATTCGCAGACATGTTAGCAACGTCCTCATGGTGGTACGGATTATCGGGATCGGCCGGGTCTTGGAGAGAAGGTAGACGGCACCCTGAGCGGGTTGAAACTCACGTTTCCGCATCGAGAGCATCTGCTAGCTGCATTAGCAACAATGATTCCCTATGGCGTCCTGGGGAGCTGTCGTAGCTTTGGGGCAGTCGGTTCGTAGGGAGGGTTGCTGCAACTCACATGGAAGCTCGGTAACCATTTTGGCGGGGAGGGCGACTCGTCCGTCCTCCGAGAAGCAAGGGTGCAGGAAAAGGTCGCGGTGGTTGAAGGGGTAGCGTCGTCGGAGGGCAGATATTAAGGCTTCGTATCAAGACAGTTGGAGGAACTCTATAGATTGCGCAAAGCCAGATGGATGTCAAGGTCGTGGACGAAGGTCGCGAGAGAATGGGGTCCCAGCTTTGGGGCGGGAAGAAAGGCCTGGCGAGGAGTGTGGCGGGTGCTCTCGTCTGGTTGTGGCGCAGATGACGTTGACTGTATCCACCAAGAAGGGCTGAACAAAAGAGGAAAGAAGCTGGCTGGGTAAAACAGGCAAGATGCAATGAACTGAACAGCAAGTGTCATTTGTCAACTATGAAATGCATTCTTTATTAAGCACCTTGGATATTCATGTCACCTTCTTCTTCTCTTTGAGAGGGCCGTGACTGGTGCGGCTCGTGGAAGATGGGTGGAGCCGAATGAGGCAGCTTTAACTGTCGCCTGGCCGACGCGACTCTTCTGTTTAGTTTACTCGTCTCCACTACAGAACGGGATTCTTGCACGAACGCGGCGTGACAACGATAGCGAAAAGCCTTGAAATCACTCAAACGACCAAGAAGAAACCGCAAGAAAAGCAACCGACGCGCGACTATCGAGACCCTTTTCCAAATTTCTCTCCTCAATACCAGAGACAACCTACCAGAGCGCCGTCTCTCGACACAACCGCCACCATGTTGCTCGCAGAAGATCCCGCGACGGTACGCACCTCCCCCCCTACCCCGCACCGCATCCTCCTCCTCCAAGCCTGACCTGCCATTTCCACAGCTCATCCGGCACACGATCGACAACTTCAACATCGGCCCCGACAAGGCCGCCGTCGAGCGCGTCGACGAGTCCCTCTCCACGCTGGGGCAGGCGCGCGACCTGCGCCTCCGCGAGGCCTCCTCCTCGCTGCAGCGCCTCGCGCGGCAGCTCTCCGCCGTCTCCCAGCGCCACCGGGAGCTCCTCGACGCACACGACTCGCCCGCCGCCGCCGCGGCGTCGTCCGAGCACGCCGCGGCGCTCGACAGCGAAAAGTTCCGCACCGCCAAGGCGGCGAGCGACGCCGAGGCCGAGGCGGAGCGCGCGGCGCTCAAGGCGGCGGACCTCGCGGCCCGGCTGCAAGAGCTGGAGCTGCAGGGCGTGGAGGGCGACGTCGGGCAGGGCGGCGGCGGCGCGGCGAGAAGGGACCTGGTGGACGACGAGGTGCTGCTGCGGCTCAAGGTGTATAGGAGTTTGGGGATAGACGTGGAGCGCGATGGGGATGGCGAGGCGGGCGGCGGGGAGTGGACGCGTGCGGTGATTCGGAATGAACGCAAGGGCGACGTGCACGTGGTGAACATTGAGAAAAAGTTTTCGCGCTTCTTTTACGCGAATTACTTTTGGAAGACGCTGTGACGGGGGAGAGGGAAGGGGACTCTGTTGTGCTCCGACGGTATGGGAGGCGTGGAGGCATTTTGTTTACTAATTGTTTTGGCTTTGAAGCGTTGGATACTGTTTTTATCAAGGTTCTGGAATACCCCGGCTACAATGAATCATGAACTACTGTTTCTAAATATTGGTTGAAAATGTTCAATATTTGATACCAGATACAATGGATTATAAAGTACTACCTTTTCGGGGTTGAAAACGGTTCATGTCTGGTCATAAATATCGTGTAATGTACAGTTGTGTTCAGCTGCCGAAAAAGATATAAATGTCCGCCATTCCCTGTTGCCCAACTAGATGATAGTGTACAGTAAATGCAAGACAACGTAAAACGTGATGCGGTCGTAGCTGTTTTTGTATTACGTATTTCCTTTTTTCTTCATGTTCATGTCATAGCGTCATAAGAATTCGTTGTTTCATGAGTAATGCTGCTGCGCCGCGGACTTGTTGGAAGCCATTTTAGAGGCCATCTGCGGCGACATGATGAGGGAGAAATAGCCCTCTTGCGATAGGGATGGGCTGAAGCCAAGGCGAGAGGTAGAGGGCGTCCTGGTTCGGGAGCTGTTGGGGGAGGCCGGCCCTGGGGAGAGGGACGCCTTCATGGTCTTGATCTCGGGACTGCGGGTGCGGCGCTTCATCATAAGGAAGCCGCCCTCGCCAGGGGTAGAGGCGCCACCACCGGAGGGCGAGCGGTGGTGGTGACGGGGATAGCGGCTGTCGGGCAGCTCGAGCCTGGAGTTGATGGTTGTCCAGATGTCGTCGTCACCGACGCGCCAGCCGCCAAGGCCCTCATAGTCACGCTCAGGACCAACGCTAGGAGTTAGGCCGAGGCCGATATCGTGGACGGGAGTGACGGAGCCGCCGCCCACGGAGAGGACGCTGGCGTTGCTGGACCGGCGGTGGCGACGGCGACGGAGAGCGAGATACGAGGAGGTGGGCGAGGGCGGGTCGCTACGAGCGGCAGCGGCGCGGTGCAGACGGGCGGGCACTTGGAGGCCATGGAGGCCGCGGTGCAGATAGGACAGGGCCAGGTCCAGGTAGACGAGGATGCCACGGCAGATGAGGAGGGAGAAGGCGAGGGTGGTGGTGATGCCGGCGAAAAGGGCCATGGGCACGGTGACGAGGAACAAAACGGGGACGAAGAGGACGTAGATGGGATTTAGGAGGGCCATGATAGAGAGTAGAGGTTGCAGTAGGGAACGACGAGGAGATGGAAAAGACGGAGATGAAGGATACGAGCGAGGCATGGGCGAGAGACAGCGCACGGTCAGTGGTGAGGTTGACACTATAAGCGAGACTTCATCGGGTGGGGGAAGCGGATTGCCGTATACAGCGGTTCGTCACACGAGCCTGAGACAATGGGGATGGATGCACGGGCAAGGGTCTGTGTGCAGCTAGGGAAGCTAGAGAGTTGAAGCTGTTTTGTTGGCAATGCAGCTGCGTGGTGTGGTTATGAACCTTGGCGAGAGAAGGAAGGGGTGAAGCTGGCTCAGGCCAAGGTCGAGGCCATGGAGGAAGAGGAAGAAGAGACAAGATGGAAGGAAGACAGGACAGAAGGGTGGCAAGAGGGTTAGGGAGATGGCCTTTGCTTTTTCTACCGTGGATGGTCTTGTCTGGGCTGTCCGACTGTTTTAGTCTTATCTGCGGGAGCGTTTCTGGATCCCCCGCTCGGGTCGATAGGCGGGTGTTTGTGGTGATGTGTGTGTGAGTGTGTGGTGTGCACGGGCAGTGGAAACTGGTGATTGTCCGAGCAGGATGAGGAGAGGGCGGGGGAACCGGCAAGAGATTGGATGGCATGAAGAGAGGGGTTTGGGGCGTCGTTGTGCAGAATTTGGAGAAGTTGTTGATCTCCTGCTGGGTGTGGCGAGACGAGGAGGAAAAGCACCTGTCCGCCTGTAGGTTGACAATCACATGTCGAGGTCGGCGAGAAAACAGGGAAGTGCCTGGTAGGAGCTGCAAGCAATGCACTGGGTGTGCTGCAGCTGTCGGCCAGTGCAGCTGCCCGCAGTGGACCTGGGCCTCCTCTCCTGCGAGATAGCGCACCGGGAGTTGTTGGTGGCTGGAATTGGAATAGTGGGACACCAATCAAGTTGACAGGCTCCAGCAGGCAGATCCAAGCATCCACCTCTTGCCTTTTTAGCGGCCCTTTAGCGGGGTCCATCGCTGCAAGCCAGGGTCGCCAGGGCAGGGCCACAGCAGGGCGGGCTTTGCTGCAGGCTGACGGATCAACGGCCTGCCAGTGACATGTTCTGCGCATATTGGCTCAAATTTTCAGTACTAAATAAATGAATTTGCTATCTATCCATTGCGCAATTTATTAAGCATGCGACTAGAATTGGCGCCTTTTTTCATTGTACTTTAAAATTGTACCACGATGCTCTCACGTCGATCGCTGGAAATGCCATAAGCGGGCGAATGAGGCACCGTGGGTATGTACATACATACTACTACTGTAGGTACTAACCTACTCAGTAACAATGGTAACAACATGAGATAACTATCACAGACAGACTTCGAAAAGAAGGATATGCGTAATGCTCCCAGAATGCTCTGTATGCCACTCTAGTAATTCAAGGCATCTGGACCTCGAATTACGACATAGAACCATTCTAGCAGAAGTAAGCGTCCGAGATTACAAGATTTTTTTTGAGCTCTACAACGACTAGTTAGTCCTTGAATCTGAAGCCAACATTGTTTCCAAAGCTCGGCCGCATTAAAAAGAGCAGTCAGTGATCACATACTGACCGTGTAAGTCAGTCAGTAATAATAAGTTGACAAGACTGGTGGCACAAGCCGGCCGCCCACTTATTACAGCCGTTACCCGCCCCAGCAAGTCTCAGCCCTACAAGCAAGGCCATCTGGAAGCTTCTCCGCCCTGCAAACGACATCACACTTGATCCCGCAAAAAAACATGCCCGCCAGAACAACCACTACAAAACATATGCGTCATCTCTGCTGCACCCGACCGCGTGCTCAACCATAATGTGCCAGCACGAGGATGCCGCCGGCCAAGGTCACCACGCCTCGCCCCGACCGTCAGACAGCTTCCCCTGGCACCTCGGCGTCTATGACGCCCACTGCCACCCGACCGACACCATGGCCTCGATCGAGCGCCTCGGCGGCGACAACGGCATGCGCGCCTCGGTGCTGACCATCATGGCTACGCGGTCGCAGGATCAGGACCTCGTCGCGCAGGTGGCCGCCGCGCACGGCCTCGCCGGTCGTCGCCTCCCCGCCGACGGCGCCGGCTGCAAGGTCGTCCCGTCGTTTGGGTGGCACCCGTGGTTTGCGCACCAGCTCTACGACGACACCCCCTCCTCCGCGGATGATGCAGCTCCTCCCACATACAGCCCTGCGGACGACACACCCGCGGCCGCCATCGTCGCCAAGCACGCGCACTACCGCGCCGTGCTGCAGCCCGTCCCTCCCGCCGACGCCGACGCCTTCCTCGACAGCCTCCCGGACCCCGCGCCGCTGTCCGCCTTTATCGCCTCCACGCGCGCGCGCCTCGCCGCGCACCCGCTCGCCCTCGTCGGCGAGATGGGCCTCGACAAGGCCTCTCGCATCCCCGAGCCTGCGTCCCCCTCCTCCACCACAGCCGCCGTTGAGGAAGGCCTCACGCCGGGAAGCCGCGAGGACCGCCGCCTCAGCCCGTACCGCGTCAGCCTTTCCCACCAGCGCGCCGTCCTCGCCGCGCAGCTCACCCTCGCGGGCCGCGAGCGCCGGGCGGTCAGCCTGCACGGCGTGCAGGCCCACGGCGTGCTGCACGACGCTGTGTCGCGGTGCTGGGCGGGGTGGGAGCTGCCCTCGCGGCGGGAGCGCCGGCTCGTCGCGCCTCACGCCGAGGAATTTCCCGGCAGCAGCGAAGACGAGGAGGGAGGAGAGCCGCCACGGGTGACGACGGGCGGCAGCAGGTCGGGGCCGCTGCCGTACCCGCCGCGCATCTGCCTGCACTCCTTCTCGGGCAGCGCGGAGACGCTCGCGCAGTGGATGGCGCGGGGCGTGCCGGCGCGCGTGTACGCGTCGCTGTCCGCGGCGGTCAACCTGTCGACGGCGGCCGGGCGCGCGAGGACGGAGGAGGTGGTGCGCGCGGCGCCGGATGACCGGCTGCTGGTGGAGAGCGACCTGCACAGGGCGGGCGAGGAGATGGACGGCCTGCTGGAGCACATGTACCGGTTCGTCTGCGAGGTCAAGGGCTGGGGCCTGGAGGAGGGCGTGGCGAGGATACGAAGCAACTACCAGGCATTCATCTTTGGTCAATGACGAAGGTGCATACAGAGAACTTGGAGAGAGATTCTCCGGTATACATAGATGATGGAATGATTCATGCATTATGGTCCTGTTGATGCTACACTGTATATAGAAAACACGACAAAAAGAACTGTCTGTGTGAAAATGCCTGAAGAAAAGAAAAACAAATACATGGTATACCGTTCTTCCCATTACAGCGAATGCTCTCTCTCGGCACCGCGCTCATACGCCGGTGGCGCCTCGTCGTCGTAGTCGACGCTGCTCCTGCGGCGCTCGGCCGCGTCCACAGCCACCAAGTCGCTCACGACCGAGGCCGCCTCGCGTAGCTCTGCAATCTCGTCCGCCACCGTGGTTTTGTTTGCTGCCGCCTCGTCCGCCGCGAGGAGAAGGGCCTTTTCCTCGTCCCTGTACCCGGTCCACGCTGGTGGCTTGCCGTTCACATCGTCGTCGACGAAACCAAAGGCAACCAGCGTCTTGGGCTCGTCAAAGTAGCAAGACTCTTGGTACAAGGGAAGCTCGCTGTGCGCGCTTCGGCGGAAGCCGATGCGGCGGCCCCTGGTGAGGCGTCGGAGGAAAGCAGTGAGGAGGAAGACGGCGCTGCCAAAGATGACGGCGCTTTCGGCGACCAGCAGTAGCATCCGGCTACGAGTCTGCATTCCATCTATTAGTAAACGAGATTTTGCCCTGAGCATCAGCTTCAATGTCAACGTACCGCTTCGTATTGTGCCATCAACATGCTCTCTTCGAATTCGGCATAGAAGGTCTCCTCGTCCTCCCAGCCAGCCTCGACGTCGTCAACCCATTCCATGTCCTCCAGGTACACCATGTCGAAGTCTTCCTCGTCCTCCCAGGGCTGTTCCTTGGGGGCGCAGCCGAATACAGCGCGCCAGCCGCTCGCACTCTCGCACACCTCATCGTGGCTGTGTCGGAACCGGTACTCAAGGGCCTTGAACACGCAGCGCACGTCTCGGCACTCGGAAAGGGGTGTGGGTGCGGGCTCGTGAGCGAGCTGTGCCTGCAGCTTCCGCTCCAGCCTGTCCATGATGGTGGCCTCCTGGTCACGGATGAGGGCCGCCAAGTCGCGGGCCTGATTGCGCAGCTCCTTCAGGCGCGACAACTGCTCCTCGACGCTACCGCTGCGGCCAATGTCCAGGATGACAGACTCACCCTCGTAGCCTTCCACCACACCGGAATGCTCCTCGCCGCTGTCGGCCAGGGACTCGGTAACGGTTGTGTGCAGATGCAGGTAGCGGACACTGGCGACGTTTTCGACACTGGCGATCTGAACGGGGGTAGTCTGGTAAAAGGTGGCAGTAAAGGGGGAAGGGTCGAAAGCAGGGCTGCCGTTGATCGAGAGCACATTGATGGTGAGAGCCTGCTTGAGCGACTGGCAGGCAAAGGTCCAGTTGGAGGTGATGGTGATGCCGTCGTCGAGTGTCAGGTCTCCTTGGCCGAAGCCGTCGGCATCCTGTGTCAGACGACGGCCATTGACGCTGACCTGGGCCGGAGAGCAGGGCTCATCGGCTTCGACAAGATCGAGACGGAGGGGCTGGCGATGGGATGTTAGGATGGTTGGGCCGTCTAAGGAGATGGATGGATGGTTTTGTACTCACGAGAACCTGTGGTTCCGCGCCTTCCACAGGCACGTTCAAGGTGATATACGCGGTGGGAATTGTTTCTATACATGGCTAGGTAAGTACCCAATCATTCACTCGCGTTTGCAATTTTTTTAAGCAAGAAGGAAGGAAGAGAACGTACCAGTTGCAGAGACCCGGCGGACAGGAGCCGGCATCGACTCGGCGGCGACAGATTGAACAAGCAGCAAAGCTGCTGCCTTGGTGAAGGCCCGCATTTTCTCTTTCGATTATTTAAGAATTAGATGAAAAATGAGAGAAGCGAGAGGTGGGAAATTGAAAGAAGCGGAACAGGTGATGCAGGTTGTCAGCGGTCTCGCCTCTGGGACACGTCGACAGTAAGGGCGTTGGTGGCTTGCTACTGGTAGGCAGCCGCCGAAAGCCCAGTCCCCGTCGTTTGCGAACTATGAGCAAGCGAGAGGAAGAAGAAGAAGAAGAAGAAGAAGAAGAGATAAAAAAAAGTGAGATTTTGAAATGAAGAAATCAGCAAGTGGCTCAAGGTAATTGTTAATGCGGTTAGTCGGTGAAAACAAGGTAGCACGATGGCTGTCGGTACAAGGAGTTGTGTGTGATAATAAGAGGGAAGCTGGGGGAAGGAAGTGAGGAAGAGCGGACGAGACGGCAGGTATACGGAGTCAGCACGCAAGCAAGCAAAAATACGGATAATCATAACTACACACACAGACCAGACACAGACACAAAAAAGACCACAGCCCGCGGCGCGCCCACGTTGCAGAGCGGGAGGCGGATCCCGTTTATTACTCAAACGTCACTTACACCATCCCTGACGACAACAAGTTTTATTGGGCAACGGCACCTGTAAATTGGGTCTGAGCTGCTGCTGCAAGGCTGTGCCGGGGCCGAAACCATCAACCATCGGCCTATTGTCAGGCCGGGTTGTCCCAGTGGTAATACTGGGTGGACTAGTGAATGGTTAGGTGAGTGGGAGATGAATGGGGCTGGCTCGCTGTGAGCAGGGCAGAGCAGGGGTATGTTCACAGGGCGCAGTGACAGGAGTAGGGATAGGAGGTAGTTGATGCTCGACTCTCTACATTGGTTGTTGTCGTGATGACTTGTAATTATCGTCAGAAGCCAACAGCACAAAGCTTGCACCCCATCCACCCATCCTCGGCCAACCTTGAGGGAAGAAGGCGCCTTTTGCGTGGCTGTTGATGACCCCGAAAGAGAAGCCGAGTGGGCAGAAAAAATCGCTAGTCCGCGTTGCAATGACAAAACGAACAGAGTTGTTCCATGGGCTGGGCTGGCTGGCTGACGCAAGTCGCTTTTCCCAAGATGGGCTGGGATCGTCCCACTAGTTATCCCACTGCGCTCAGAGAACTCGCATATTACTCGAGCCTTGCCTCGAGGGTCCTTTCTCCGGGATACAACGACAAGGGAGGACGAGACAACGGGCGGGCGATCGCTCGCAGCCAAACTCCCTACCGTTTAGCTGGCAGTACGAATTACTACCGGTACTACTAGGTATGTACCATTGCTATTAGCCTACTAGTTTACCCAGTGAAAGTGGGTGCGCAGTTCCTCGGGTGTCCGGGAACGCGCCTCGTAAGGCGGCGCAGCAAAAAGGAAAAGAAGACTTTTGCGAAATTATTCCCACTTCAGAGGGGTCAAAGTTCCTACAGCATGAGCCCTTTCCCCCCCTGCCTCCCCTCGTATCCCCCCCCCCATCCAACCAGCAGAAAAGCTTGTTCCTGCAAACCCCTGCTGCCGATGGGCCAGAGTGTCTGCAAGCACCAGTCAAAGTAGATCGTCCATCCAGACAACCATACCGCGCCGCGCGGCCATTTTTCTTGGCATTTTGATCCCACTGGGCTGGGCCCATTCCTGCCCTAGAAGTAAATAAAGAAAAACGGGGGTTGGGATTGAAATGCCATGCTATAGGGCGGAGCGGCCGCGTGGTCTGAACTGCGCCAGAAAGAGCTGACGAGGCCTTCACTTCTTCGCGAACCCCCCAACCCAAGTTGTACGGGAAAAAAGAAAGAAAAAAAAAAAAGGCAGCGTAATGGATATAGTTTTAGAGAAGGCATCAAAATGCTGTGCTTGTTAATAACCCCCCCTCTCCCCGCCCGCTTCCTCATCTTGCGCTGTGGCTGCTTCGTCGTCTCCCCTGGCCTGCCTGGTGGCTGGCTGTCAAGCTCCTGGTGCTGGCATGTAATCAATAGTCATTCATGTATGGCGTTTTCCGGCTTCTTGACGGACTTTATCATCCCACAAGGCGGCTTTACCTTATTTCAAGGCCTTTTTTTCTCTTCATCAGCGTTTCTGCACGCAGAAATCCCGCACCCCCCCGGTCAGCCCTCCTCGTAATACCAAACAAACGTACACGTACACCTTCTGTAACTGGTAATAAATATCTTTACACCTGTGCGATATCCCTGCTACCAAAACAAGGTCGTAGAATACGAACCCCTTCCCGACATTATTTCCTGTTACACCGTGCTTTGTCCCATGCATCGCTAGCCAATCTGTACCAAGTATTGATTTGCTGCATGCCGTCACCTGAGCGGCCTGGTCGTGTGCTTCGCTTCTTAAATTAGATGCGACAAGTACGGATACAGCATGCAACTCCGTAACTTATACTGAGTAAGTGTCCTCTGTCACCATTTGTTGTTCCCCCCGCACAAAGCGTTCGTCTAAGCCTTTTTTAGAACACACATGTAGTAACGTAGGGCCCTGCACTCCCTCCGTGCCGATTAAACCGCCCTCGGTTTCATCGCCAACTTGGCACTCTTATGCGATTTTCGGTGCCAGAAACAATCAGCCTTGGCGGCCTCTCTCGCCACGCCGAGCCCCTTCGGTTCACCGATCCCAACAACGGGGCCGGTCTGCCCCGCTGGACTTTCAGCCCTGACGCCCATGCGACGAGACATGACACTGGCAAGTCTTGGACGGGCATAAGTAGCTCCTGCCACAACCTTTCAGATTGGCTTTTTCCTTCTCCCTTGCGCCAAATCCCGCCAACTAGTTAGGCAGAAAAGGGGGCGGGCGGGCGGATTGGCTAGGCGCCCAGCTGAAGGACTACTACCGTCAATAATAAAACCACGACATCCAACGAAAAAAAAAAACAGCATGGCCCCGGGTACACCGTCGTGTAGTGTCCGCAGGACTATCGTGCCTTTTTGTTCTCCCATGTTGTGCGCAGCGCCTCCGGCCGTTCTAGACCCCTCCGGCCACCCGTCCATTGCTGCCCACGTGCACCTTCGCTGCGGACCAGAAAAAAAAGCATATCTCTGTGACATGTCTCACTCGTGGTTGGAGGGTCACTGATCAATCATATGGTTTCATTTCAAACGAGTACTGAATAATTGCTGGAATTTTGTGCCTGCCCAATGGCTTACACGCGATACAGGCCGCAAATTGTCCGCTATCCCAGCCCACCAACAAAGCGCCAACGCTTAAAGATGCAGAAACGCTCCATCAACGTGTAAAAACAGACATGAAGATAAAACCCAAAAACCAATAGAATTATAAGAAATGGCCAAAACATGTCAAACACTGGGTTATTTGTACAGGGTGCTGCCTAGCCTCATTCAAGTGCCAGATAGCTGCTAAGAACTTCGATACGGGTGTGGGCCACCTCCGAGTCCTCCATCATGAGCTGCAGAATCTCGATCATGCGCGCTGCATCATTATTAGTACACAGATCTTCGTGTTGAGGAAGTGTGAGGTTTGGCATTATACGTACTGATATCAGCCCTGGCCCTCACGAAGAGCGGATCTCTCGCAAGCGTCTCCTTGCCATCAGGTTCGCGGAGCGCCTCGCGCAGCACGTTGCCAATGCAGACGGCTTCGAGAAAGGCCCGGTGGTTAAACACCCACCACACACGAGCCTCAGATTCAAGTAGCGAAAAAAGCATGAAGAATGCGCTGATCGCATCGTGGGCCGCCTCGAGCGTACCACGAATGTTCACCGGCACATCGGGACTCTCGGATGCATGCACCAACATCAGGTTGTGAAAGTAGTTACTCGTCAGGAACAGTGTCTGCCGCACAACTCGCTTGTTGGTCTGTGCCATGACAGTCAGACTGTCGGCGTCCCAAGACCGGAAAACGTCGGGAAACGACCGGTACACGGCACGGAAGTCGGCCACCAATTTAGACTTATGACGGCCAGTGCTGCAAATTGGGAGATCGAGAGAGCGTGGCGAGCAAATTGTTTCCTGCACCAGGTTGGCCAATGTCCACGAGCCCCTAATGTAGGCAGTATCAGTCGGGTCGCTGCTCGCAATCGAACTTCCATGGTCGCCGAGGTCGTCCACCGAAACATCCGTATGCGTCGCCGAAGGAGGTAAGGAGAGGAGTACGGTCAAGAAGGTGTCTTGAAGCAAAACGGCTTGCCATACTTTGCGCCGTTGTTGTTTTTCAAAGGGACTTGCGTCAGGGGTAACTGTGGAAGATGCATTAGAAAATGACAATAGCAACGACAACCAGGTAAAGAGCAGCCTCTCTTACCAATGTTTGGGTCGCGGTGCAGGCCCATGGCATATGCTTGACGGATAAGAATACCCGCGAAAGCCCAGCCATCCGATGCGTGGTTGTCGTTGATGAGAAAGTACGTCATCAACACCATGGCCTGGATGGAGCGTAGAGAAGCAATGCTGAGATACGACGACATGCGCAGAGCCTGGTTGCTGGCGGATGCGTAAAACTCGGCCTGCTGTTTGCGCTCTTTCGCACTCGTAGCTGTGACGAATTGGGTTCCCAGAGCAATCATGACAAAGATCTGCGCAATGTATGCGGCGTCCATCTCTTGCTTTTGCTGGTCATTCATGCGCCAGAATTCCTCGTAGTCGGCGTAGAACGTAAGGCGATGGATCATTGGATAGACGGGGTCAACGCATTCGAAGTAGCGATTTATGAGAAGGTCAGCCTGCTGCTTTTCGGGAAGCACAGAAATGACCTCCTTCAGGCCGCCTTCACAAGTCCAGTAATTGGCGAAGGGATGTTCGGAGCCAATCCCGAAAACATTACTCGAGGATGACTTGGAATACGGAACATTCGACATCAGTCCAGTAGAAAGCGCCAAAGCGCCACGCGAAGTACTATCGCCAGTAGCAGCGTATCGGTCTGCAATGTTGGGGATATTGGTCCTGCCGTCGGTGCCCGCCTTCTTTTTGGGCGCCTTGGTCATGCGTCGACCAGTAGAGGCAGATCGAGTGGTTTCCCTATATGCAAGTCAGACAGAGTCGCCATGTGGTAAAGAAGAAATGCAACTTACTCTAGCAAGTTGGCAACATGGGCATACCTGCATTCGGTTTGTCTCTTGATGCCTTTGTTGTCGGTTAGTCCCTTCCGTCAATGCAAGTACGACTTGTCCGTGTCAACCTACAAGCCAGGCAATGAGGGCGACCGCGGTCACACTAGAAAAATGGTGAGTGAAAGATCAATACAGGCATGGGAAAGGCGGAGAATTTACCTTGGTCTTCCGTTCTACGCATTCGTGGCAGGACAGTGTAGGTTTGTTGCGCTTCTGCTTCTTCTTGGGAGGGCCATCGCCGGTGAAATTCTCAGTCTCGTCATGGAATTCCCTTCTATCATCATGGTAGTCCCTCCTCTCGTCGGAGTAATCGCGCATGTCGTGCGGAGACTGCATTGGAGGCGGCGCATGGCCATGGTAAGAGGCACTGTGGTGATGCAGAGATGAATGGTGACGAGTGGGAGGCGAGGTGGTAGAATGGGCGTGGTTGCTGCTGGGGAGCCTTTCGTGGCCAGGACTACGCAGAATAGACGGCGGCGGTGGCGGAGGATGCTGGGTTCGCGTGTGGTGATCTGGGGAGCCGAGAAAGGACAGAGGTGCCAGCCGACCTGCCTGTTGCGCAATGGCAATGGGTGGTGGCAGATGGCGTGGAGGAGCGTTCATTGTGGGCGGGGGGGGAGGTGGTGAAGCCGTTGTCGGGGTTGGAGATGGCAAGCCTGAGCTGCGTTGAAGGATCGCGAGCGAGACAGCCCACCGATTGGGGGCCAAGGACGGGTGCGCGCCAGGCTATAGGCCTGCGTTGAGGGAGTCGTCAAATAGGCGAGCGTTGAAGGTGAACCAGACAGGGCACGGGTGATGAACTAAGGCGGATAGAGCCACAGGCGGTGGCCAAAAGACTGATAGAACCTCGAGAGCGTGGGAGCTGGTGGTAGCGGAGGAATCGGTGGTAGTGGGTGGTGGGTGGTGGCCGCGTGTGACGCGGTTGATGGTTTTTGGCTGGGGACGTTGGGGACGGTTCGTCTCTCGCTTGCCTCTGTTGCCGCCACCCCGGCTTTGGGGGCCAGAGGAAGACGATGGATGCGACGTAGGTAGGACAAGAAAAGGAGTCGATGGTCAGAGGGAGAGGAGAGGAGAAGAGAGAGGGAGGAGGAAGTCGACGATTTAGGTAGGTAGTTAGGAGGGCTCAGTGCCGAGAAAAAGGCCGGAAATAAAAAGGGCTTGGAGGGTTACGCGCGATGGGCAGAAACAGACGAGTAATATTAGCATCGAGAGGAGCTGGAAATAAATAAGATGGGCGACGAGGCGGGTGGGAATAAGCAGAGAGAGGAGGGGGAGAGGAGGTCAGAAGGGTCCTGGAGCTTTGGTGGACAGTGGATTTTGAGAGGCTGAGGCGCTGGAACGAGGCCGGTAGTGGACTCTGAAGGAGGGGGGGTGTTGATGGATGAGGTGCAGAGGTAGTGTAGATAGTGCTGGGGCGAGTGACAGTAGGTAGGTACAAGGTGTCATTGGCATCTGTATTGAAGCATCGCAAAATGTTTACGTTGTTTTGGCATGGGGAAAATGTCGAAAAGAAAACCCTGGGCTTGCTGCCGGCCTACCAGTACCTATCAGTAACTATGTACCTCATACCAGGTAAAGTACCTGTATCAGTATTTTGGGAGACATGGCCAGAGTCTTGGTAAGGCGAGCGCAGCTCATCAGTGGAAGAGAGGCAATGCACCTACCTGGAGATGCTGTAAAATGGGTCCTGCAGTCCCAGAGGGAGCCCAAAAAAGCTTGGCAATGTTCTTGTCTTGTTTGGCGTCCACCTAGCGGCTTGATAGGCTGGATGGTGGCCGGCCCATGCAGGCCAGTGCAGGCAGATTGCATCCAAAATCCCAGGCTTGACAAGGGTCTGGGAAATGGACGAGGCCTTTTCTGTCGTCTTGTCCGTGCCTAGTGTCGCTCGCATCTGATGACGCCTTGGTGCCGGAGCTGTGGATGTTGGATGGGGCAGGGCAGGGCTAGCCTAGTGCCAACCCGCCTGGGGGAATCTGGTAAAAGTACCTGCTAATATCTGTATCCCGTCTTGCTGCGCTAACTATGTACTAAACAAAACCGACGTGCTGGGATGCCTATCTTAGCCCTCAAGCACAGTTTGTATTACGAAGTACACAGCTGTGAAAATTTGCCTCACATTATTATTGCATTGTTTAGTACGGAGTACCTAGCATTAGTACATCTACCCACCGTCCTACGGTACCAGCGTTGCAGTTGGTATGCCGGTGAGCCCCAGCTTCCCTGCCACCACCGGCACCCACTCCACTGCCAGACTGGCTTCCCTCACACTGGCCTCGCTTCTCCTTGCTCGTTTGCAACATCACCACTCCTCTGCCAGTTATCCCTCTCTCCATCTCATCGGCTTCGAGTCTAATTCCATCGAAATCTCGCCGCCTTCGGCATCTCTCTCTTCACTCCTCCCCATCTTTGCCTTTTTCTCTCGCACCCCCCCTTCTCCCAGCACCCGTTATCCGTCGCCACAGCTCGCCTCAGCTGCTTTGGGTTAAGATGGGCGGCGATAATAAACACGGGTCTAGAACCTCAGCCCGAAAAAAAAATGTCCCAATACTTACTACCGTTTCGCCAGCCCCCTGCGCCTCCGTCGGTCATGTACCGCATCGTCCCGGGCTGTACTCCGTGCAGACACGCACACGACGAAGCTCCTCCTCCTGCTCTTCTCTTTGAAGCTTTGCGCCTTCGCCCACTCCTCCAGATGGATGGCCTCCCACGATTCATCCACACTCAGCCCCCTCCAACCCTACGTCTCTCCTCCCACCGACCCAGTCGCCAGCCCGTCCTCGTTCCCAGTAAACGGCGCCCACCATAAATTTGGTTGTCCCGCGATAGCCGAGACCAGGCGTTACGACACCACTTATATTCCTTGGGTCGCATTTCAGCTCAGCCAGGCACGCCCCCAAACAGCCCTGCACCACTAGTAATCCATTCTAATCGACCGGACGGCTTTCAAAAACCACTCGTTTACTATTTACCGCCACCTACCAACGTGCCTTTCCCGGTGGCACCACTATGCATGAACGGGGCTTGCCTTCAGCGTCACCCAGAGGTAAGGTTACAAGGTAGTCGCCACATTCTATGACTTTGACTCTCACCCGCCGCGGAACCTCCCCGACCCTAGCGGACCCTAGCGAGTTCCTCGCGACAACCGACTCGTTGCCAAACCCCGTCGCCTGGAGCCGGTACATCCCCATCACGTACCCGGCCTAGGCCCGGCGCAATAATCCCTGACAGGCTACAGCCCTGGCGGTAACGACATACTAACTACCTAACTTTTCCCACTTCTCTGTCTCTGTGTCTTTGGAGCAGCTTTCTGTCGTCGTCAGCAGCCAACTGCAGGGTAATCTGACACCAGTAGCAGTCTTGGGGGCCAAAGAGCTTGAAATTCCGGACGAATAAACATCCATGACGCAAGCACCGAGTTAAGCTCCGCCATAGCTCACCTGCCGCGCCGCTGGCTCGGCCACCCGCTTTTGGTCCAGTATTTCCGTGCACTTCAACTCACTGCGCCTGCTCATCACCATCTCATCCATGACAATCCCCGCACGACGCGCGCAGCAGATTGTGCGCCATTTCATAACTTCTAGAATGGGCCGTTTTTCCGTCTCGCCTGCGCCATGGCGCGCCGCCCTCGTCTCCCACCTGGAAGCTATGGACTCTCCGACGTTCGTTCTCAGCTCTCTTCATCGCGAGCCTCCCAGCGCTGCCACACAGCCTCCAGCGGCACTCCAGAAAAAAGATGCAGAAACATTCTCCCCCAGAGCTCGTACCGTTGTCTACCGCAGTATGTGGGCGGGCCTCAGCTCCAACCCGCGCAACCCTGCCCCGCCAAACCCTCACATCTATCAGACAGATCTTCTGACCACCACTACGGATGTTCGCATGGACAAAGTGTCGGAAATGTTCCCTGCACTCACCAATGCAGCCGAAACTGCATCGTCATGCGCTGGAGAACACGTTGAGGGGGTCATCTGGGCAGCGAATGCAAAAACGCAATGGCGCATTCGTGGCCGCGTGTTCATGATTGGGCCGGATATTGAATCAGACGCTGCACAACCCGTACGGGAGGCTTTGAAGGCGTACATGCGCCGGCAACATGCCGGAAATAGAGAGGCCGATGCCGAGGCTGATACATGGGATTGGGCCAAGGAGCTCACGGCGCATTTTGGCAATCTGAGTCCTGTCATGCGAGGAAGCTTTCGCAACCCGCCACCTGGCACACCCATATCACAGACACCAAGTTCAGGGCTTGGACTTGGACAGAAGGTGGAGAACTTGCACGACGAGATTGCGCGGAGCAATTTTAGGGTACTTGTAATCGTGCCTGAACAAGTTGATCAGGTTGACCTGTCTGACCCAGAGCGTGGCAGGAGGTGGAGGTATGACCTGACTACGCAAGGCGACGAGGTGACTTGGACGACAACAGAGCTCTGGCCCTAGGTTAGACCACATTACAATATTTATTACTGTTTAAATAGTAACTGGTAGGTTGCTATTTGGACAGGTCACTGCATCGTCTCATGACCTTGCCTATATCAGTAGATAAACATCAACTTATAGACAGCAACTAGGATGGAAATGTACGGTTATCTGGTTTTCAGGTAAGCCTGGACTAGCCTCATTGGACCAAGCCACCTACAGTGCGTGCCAAGATGATTGCTTGCTTGTGGTTGGGGGACCTGCTTGGCGTTTGTGCAGCAAAAGAGTAAGCCACAAGGGCTGGCTGGACGTGAGGGTATGATTTGGTTGGAATCGGGGCCTGGGGCCTGAATAGTACAATTGGAATAGACACTACAGATTGCGGGTATACAACAGTGATTAATATGCCTAGAAGGACGCAATCCCTCTATCCAGCGCCAAGAACGATTCGTAATCAAACTTAGCATCTGAGCTGGAGGATTGGGTGGGCTAAGTATAAACAGACCCGGGTACACTGTGTCAAGTAGTTGATTAAGCATGTAGTTTTATTAAGACAACAACCTCGTATCGATCTGTAGCCGAGCACTTGGTGGCAATACGGTACCGCGGAGGATCGTCGTCCATGTTAATGAGCACCCTTCGCTGCCGAAGGTGGACGTGCATGATTTTGAGTGGTCCAGGTCGCGTAAGGCATGTGGCTTTGATCTTTCAATTTTTGAGCAAAAACGAAAAGACGCACCGCTCGGCGCAGCCGAGTTGTAAGACGAGTGGCTTAGCTCAACTTGGCCATTATTTGCGGTCTTGATATTAACAAGTCGACGCCTTAGCTCCATTCAACAAGACTCCCCGCCACCTTTCTTACATTGGGGGTGGGCGTAGCTAGTTGTCACCTATTATATATCGATATTACGTTACGTTTGAAATGCTGCGCGTAGAAAGCGGGAGAAAAGACAAACAACAAGAAGACGAAGCATGCGCAAACCCAAAACCGAATATTTTGGGGTGAGATTTAGACATGCTGCAACCCAAAGGGGGGGAAAGCTTGGCGATGGACGGCGCGGATTTCACAGCTGAGATCTGGCAGCTGGCCCGGCGCGTGGCCTACCTACCTATGTAGGAATGTGCTAATAAGATGGCGGAAGGGCAAGTTCCGAAAGAAGACGGATGATGGCGCTGAGCGCTACTGCAGGATAAGAAGCCTCGGGGCGGCAGGCCATGGCGGAGGCGGTCTCGATGATGGGGAGGTCAGCTTCAGCTGGCAAGGTGCGGCTCGGGAGGGGGACGGGAGGGTGAGAGACGGGTCGCCTGCGATCGCTGATGAGTCGAAACGGGTGGGATCAAGCTCGGGTATAGCTCCAGTGGTGGATGAGGCGGAAAAGAGAGCTACTGAGTAGTTGACGGAGTATCCGTTACTGAGATGTGTGCTGTTCTGGCCTTTTTCTTGTTTTGCTCTGGAGTGGCGTATATCCGGTTGGTAGGCTGCCCGAAAGACTGAAAGACAACGGCATATCGACGACTGGCAGCCCGCACCCTCCCTTCTCGTACCAATAAGGTAGTTGATCAAAAAAAGTGGTGTGACGGGATTCGTAGGTAAAGGGATGATGTTTGCGCATTAGTACAGCTGGGTGGGAGAGTCAAGCCGCACGCATTGCTTGAATGACTACATTCCAAGACTGGCGGCGACTTGGTTGTTGTCACGAGGATGAGTTTGCATCGGATAGCATAAGACGTCCATGATGTTACCGACCGCGTTGGCAATTGATTCAATGCTCAATCCCAGCGAAGCATGTCAACTAGGACAACAGGATGGATCTGCAGCTGCTGCCAATGTGCAGGACGGAGTAACCCGTCCAGGCAACTATAAACATACATACATAGTTATGGAAATACTGTCATTCGGTGGGCGGTAACACGTCACTTTACATACCAACGTACATTGATTGGGCTTTCTAGCGCCGCGCAGAGCTCATCGTCAAGACCAGGGTAGGGCAGTAATACGAAGCACGGTTGGGCCGGCAATGTGGTGATTTTTACCACACCGCAAGTTTGTGGTGACGGCTTCAACAATTCGGACGGGGCTCTCAGTGACTGTGTTCTTAAGTTTAAGAGTATGATTGGGGCCGGATTCGTTCTTCTATCTCGGTGCTTGACGAGCGTCATCTGGCGTCGTCAGAGAGTCGTGAAAAATTCTCTGGCGGAAAAGGCAATGGGCTGGTTTGAGTTGTTGATGGGCAAAGAAGAAAAAGCAAAGCAAAATTGGCATCTTGGCACAAGCGCTACCTATACCTAGTAGGCGCTGAAAATTCGCTCTACCTCGCCATCAACTGTCGTAAATCCATAACTGCTGGGGGCAGAGGCGCTAGCTTGGGGGATCAAGGCATTCCATCGCCATCAACCCATGTCGACGGAGGGTGGAGGGCACAGGATTTTTCATCTTTCCATCTCCTCCTCCTCCTCCTCCTTTTCTTACTCCAGCCAGCATCATATTACTCAACTGGAAGCCTCGACGCGTTACCATCCCATCCCTCCCCACTCACCGACGAGCCTGCTTCGTCCACAAACAAACCGATCTAAATATTTTGACGTTACCCGAATCTACAAGAATCAACGCCACAACGATCGCCTCCTCATTCCCCGCCTCTTTCAACAACGGCCGAGCGATGCTATTTATCATCCCCTACTATTGATATTCTATTATCTTTGCTTTACATAGATATCTTAGCGATTAACTTCTGATTCGGCATACGCTTCTCCCCCTCTTCTATGCTGCAGCCCGCGATCGAATACCACCGTCGAATACCACACTCGGAATCAACATCCACAACTCCGGGCACCCATTGGGAAATCGGGCTGCCCTCGTTCCCTTCGCCTTGTGCGCGTGCTTGAGAGCACCTCCACGCCGAGGCTCGTTGGGCTTCTATTGCCCACAGCCGCGAGCTTCCTCCACAGACCATGACCATCACCTCGTTGCGAACTCTCGTCGCACAGGTTCCAAGCTGGCAGAACCGACTCGACGAGCTGGTGGCTGAAATTACCACGCGACAAGACGAATTATCCAAAATCGAACGTGACAATGCACACGACCCCACCGCACCGACCCGGCCGGAACCCGATAGCAAGGCCTTGGCCGACACTCCAACATCCGCACTACAAGCCCCAGACAACATGAATATTGATCCGACCCCCTCAGCGGGTATCCGCCAGCAAACTGCACACTCCATCGGCGGCAATGGTCCGCCGACGAAGAAGAAGAAGCTCGGGCCGGTCTACTTTGACGGCAACATGCAAAAGTTCTTCGAGGAGCTGGTTCAATTCCTCGCCGTCAGCCGGAACATGATGCGCAAGGCTAAGATGGCTGCCCGCGTCGCCCAGATCAAGAAAATGGCAGAGGTCCAAGTCAATGATGAGTTCGGTGACGGCGTGTCGGATCAACCTACATTACGCTACGTCAGTGCTCGTAGACTGGACTCGCTTGGTCCGGCACGTGAGCCCGACGTCTTTGACGCTCTTGACAAGAACCTCGAAACCCTGCAGACCACCAGCGAGCTGGCCGCCTTCCAGTTTCTGCGGGAGGCGTCCTACAGCAAGCACATGGAGACCATCAAGAAGATTCTCGGCGACGCCCTGGATACTGCGACGGCTGAGCTGGCCCGTCTCACGCGTGACGAGCCTGACATGGCCCGCGAGGCCGACACCGCCGTCAGCCGCATCAAGCGGCCACGGAGCATGCGCAATGAGCTCCTCGCTGGCACCGAGCCTGTCGAGACCTCCAACAAACGGCAGAACACGGGCCATCTCACGCCTTCGGGTAGTCCACCCTCTATTGGGCACATGGAGGTCGATCTCGCTGCCCTGCAAAGCGACGAGCCGATTTCCGCCCAAGTCATTCACTTATCGACAAACGTGCGCGCCTAGTAATTGCGCGCGCCTTGTTGGAACTCTCGCGCATATTTCCCTACCGATCTACTTTTTGATGTGTATAAGCCAAAAAAAGATACCATAGTCGCACTTTTTCTGTTTCGCTTGATGATCGAGGTACAAAGGACTCGGCATCAGGACTTTATTGATTATGATCTCACGAAGCTGATGAAAAATACTATGCTGCAAAGCGCTATCATGTACATAAAGCAAATCAAAATCAACATATTGGATATAAACCTTGATCGCTCTGAACCTGTCTGTGCAACAGCCTGTATCTGCGAGCCCTTGATTAGTGGGAGATCGACCAATGGGCGAGGACGACCCCACACAAGCAACAAGTGGCGCGTGAACTACTAACCTACCTAGCAACAACCAAATGACATCCAACAGCTTTGAGAGTTCACACTGCAACTTCTGGGCACGCCGGCCTCGCTCTGCCAACACCCACCGCCCCTAGCCTCTGACTAGGCCATGGTAGCGAACATGTCGTGATAAAGTTTGCACGCCTCCATAATTAGAAGCTTCCCGCTTGCTTCTTCGGTTTCTCTCCCAGCTCGAAGACCAACCATCGTCACCGGACGAGATGGGCCAGGGCTTCTCGCTGGCAACGCCCTCGGCGGGCTCTGCCGGCATCGACATCCCGCAGCTGCAAGATATACAGTATGAGCGAAGTATTGGTGATGCGAGATTTATGAAGAGCATCCGGGCTCGCGATGAGAACGCGATTGTGCTCGTCAAAGTCCTTGTCAAGCCGTTTGCCGATGTTAAGCTCGACGAGTACAAGAAGCAAATCATAGGTATACCTGCGTCAAAGCGCCAGCAAGGAGAAAGGCAAAGAGAGAGAGTGATGGTGGAACTGACATTTCTGCCGCACAGAACAGCGAAAATCCCTCGCCGCCATCCCCAACGCTCTCGGCTTCCAGCGCGTCATCGAAACCGAGACCAACGGGTACCTTGTCCGCCAGTTCATGTACAGCTCACTCTACGACCGCCTCAGCAACCGACCGTTCCTCGAGGATATAGAAAAGAAGTGGCTCGCGTTCCAGCTGCTGTGCGCGCTGCGCGACTGCCATGCCCGCGACATTTACCACGGCGACATCAAGGCCCAGAACGTCCTCGTCACCTCCTGGAACTGGCTCTACCTTACAGACTTCTCATCAGCCTTCAAGCCCGTCATGCTACCCGACGACAATCCCGGCGACTTTTCCTACTTCTTCGACACATCAGGCCGGCGGACCTGCTACATTGCCCCCGAGCGATTCTACGCCGCTGGCGCCGCGCCACCCGCAACGGTCACCATGACGTGGGCCATGGACATCTTCAGCGCTGGGTGCGTCATTGCGCAGATGTTTCTCGAGTCGGAGATTTTCAGCCTGGCTCAGCTCTACAAGTACAGAAGGGGGGAATATGATCCCGTTATTACCCATCTCAGCATCATCTCCGACAAGGATGTCCGTGAATTGATTGCCAACATGATTCATCTGGACCCTGAGAAGCGCTACTCGGCGGATCAGTGTCTTGATTTCTGGAAAGGAAAGGTCTTTCCGCACTACTTTTACAACTTTCTCCATCAGTACATGGAACTTGTCACAGATCCCTCATCAGGCAACAGTCCAATGTCTGGCGCCCACAAGAACGAAGGCGAATCTGACTACCGCATTGACCGCGTCTACTATGACTTTGACAAGATTTCCTACTTCCTCGGCTACCAGTCTGATAAGAGGACACAAAACAACGAACCCCGAACCCAGTCCAAGCTAGGACTTTCACACTTTCCAGTGCAGCTAAGCATCCCGAATAATGAACACACCGTCTCCGCGGATCTGGAGCCGCCAGAAGATGACGGTACCCTGATTTTTCTGACCCTAGTCGTCTCTGCCATGAGGACAACAGCAAGGGCTTCATCGAGAATACGAGCCTGCGACATTCTTTTAGCATTTGCCGAAAGATTGACCGACGAAGCAAAGTTGGATCGCGTCTTGCCGTATTTGATGACGCTGCTCAAACGAGATGAGACAGATCTGGTGGTAGTGTCCGTCATACGTACCATTACACAGTTGCTGCAAATGGTCCACATGGTTACCCCGATAAACTCTCATGTCATCGGAGACTATGTGCTTCCTCGCATGGAAACGGCACTTAGCTCAAAAGATCATGTTGCCAGTCCCATCGTACGCGCCACGTTTGCCTCATGTCTGGGCAGTCTCGCCTCGAGTGCCCAGAGATATCTTGAGCTGGCTTCCAGCATACGGCCAGATGGGTCCATGTCTATTGCAGACCCCGAAGTTGAGCCAGGTGCAGAGGCAGGCACCAACTTTGAAAGCATATTTGACAATGCTGGAAGGCAGCTCTTTGAAAAGATTGAGGCCTTCACGAAACAGCTCGTCGAAGATCCCGACGTCTACGTACGACGAGCATTTCTATCATCAGTACCAGAGCTGTGCATGTTCTTCAAGGAGCAGTCGAATGATGTGCTACTAACGCACCTGAACACATATCTAAATGACCGAGACTGGACATTGAAATGTGCCTTCTTCGATACGGTTGTGGGCATTGCCGCTTTTATCGGAAGCGTGAGCCTGGAAGAGTTCATGTTGCCGTTGATGCTTCAAGCACTGACTGACCCGGAAGAATATGTGGTGCAGGCTGCTATTCATTCTTTGGCACAACTTGCCGGCCTTGGACTGCTGTCAAAGGCGAAGCTCTGGGAGCTGCTGGATCTGATTGGACGCTTCACTATGCATCCCAATATATGGATTCGGGAGTCTGCCGCCGAGTTCATTTCCATGTCAGCGAGCTATCTCGAACCTGCCGACCTGCGCTGCTTTTTACTACCATCGATCAAGCCATTTTTGAAGATTGCTCATCTTCCCGATTTCAATGAATTGAGCGTCCTTGATGCTTTGAAAACGCCGCTAACCCGGCCTGTTTTTGACCAGGCCATTACATGGGCTACGCAGACTGACCGGGGTCTGTTCTGGAAGTCTTTACAGCACGTTCGCTCTCTGGCTTTTGGGTCATCCTCTACCTTGACTGCACGGTCCAAAGACTTGATTCCGAGCTCGCTAAGCAAATCGGACCGCAATGACGAAGACGACCAATGGCTGGAAAAGCTACGAAACTTGGGTTTGAAGCCTGAAGATGAGATCAAACTCCTGGCTCTGCGGGAATTCATCTGGAGACTCAGCACTAAGCGAAGCCGGGAATCGTCTCCATCAGATCGCAATACTTCTGTGGGAATGATTTCGCTACACGATCTCGGCGTCACACCACAGACGGTCTTCTTTAATGACGCGCCGCTCAAAGACCATTCCGTCACTCCGGATTTGGAACCGCCGTCGGCACGATACACTATTGCAGATGCGTTGTTGGATGCATCCATGACTATTGATGATACTGTCACCAAGAGGAGAAAAGCCACAAATATTCATAAGAATAGAGTTCAAAGCGTTGGGCCTGTGGGTGGCCGTATACTATCCCCGAGCGGAAGCGGTCGCGCCAGCTCCCGCGACTCTCGTGTACCATCTAACGGATCTCGAGATGACGCTTCAGTCAACGAAGGACCCTATGCACTGAGGCGCGCAATGCGTCACCAGTCCAGTGCCCTGAGCCTCCTCGACCGCAGAGACGGCGGAAAGTCAGTGCCGGAGACCGGAACGAGCGACGCCAACGCCTTTGGTGAGATGGATGGCCCGTTTTCGCAAATGGCTGTGCCGCAGCCATTGGCGTCTGCAAAGGGCGCGGCACAGCCAGAAAAACAACCGAAACACAGCTATGCGGGCAATGACCCGAGCATCCAGTTTATGCTCGACAATATGTACGTCGACAATTTTCCTCGCGATGTGCTCGAGTTCGGCCCAATGGTTGAGCCCATCTCCAGAAGGAAGAATCGAGCTGTTCGCACGCAGACCGCTGAGGAGCGCTGGAAGCCACAAGGACAGTTGGTGGCCACTTTTGGAGAGCACAGGGGTGCCATCAATCGCGTCGCCGTATCTCCAGATCACATGTTTTTCGTGACTGGTGGCGATGACGGTGCTGTCAAGGTCTGGGACACGGCCCGACTGGAACGGAACATTACACATCGATCGAGACAGACACACAAGCATGCGCAGGGTGCACGCGTGATTGCGCTGTGTTTTATCGAGAACTCGCATTGCTTTGTTAGCTGTGCTAGCGACGGCAATGTGCATGTAGTCAAGGTCGACACGGTATTAGCCAGTGGTGTCATTAGATATGGCAAGCTGAGACTCCTGCGCGAGTATCGTCTGCCGGAAGGAGAGCATGCCGTTTGGTGCGAGCATTTCAGGCAAGAGACCAACTCTATTCTCATTCTGGCTACGAATAAGTGCAGGATTATAGGTATTGACCTGCGAACCATGACTTTGCTTTATATACTGGAGAACCCAGTCCATCATGGCGCGCCGACATGCTTCTGCGTTGATCGGAAACGGCACTGGCTATGTGTCGGTACATCACATGGCATACTCGACCTCTGGGACTTGCGTTTCAAGACCCGCCTAAGAGCCATTGGCGTGCCGGGAAAGAGTGCCATCTATCGCATCTGCGTACACCCGTCGAAAGGTCGCGGCAAGTGGGTATGCGTCTCTGGCGGCGCCGAGCACGGCGAAGTAACGACCTGGGACTTGGAGAAGACATCTTGCCGCGAGATTTACAGGAACGGTACCGTCAAGGACGGCCCGAAGGGATACACGGCATGGGACGTGGACAAGGAAAAGCCCGAGGGGATCCTGTCGCGCTTTGCCACCAACCTCGACCTGGCCGACTCTGCCAGTGCGGACCGCGGGGTCCGCGCCATCGCGACGGGCATCTCCACGGGCGAGGACTCTCGCGACATCCGCCACGCGTACATGGTGAGCGGCGGCTCGGACAGGAAGATGCGGTTCTGGGACATTTCACGCGTCGAGAACTCGAGCGTCTTTAGCGGGCTGCAGCCTGACGAGACGCAGCCGACGTACTCTGCGACGCAGCCGACGACGTCGATGACGATCAACACGGAGCGCTTTGCGAGACCGAACAACACGGCAGCGGCGGGGACGACGGGGAGCGGCGGCCGGTCAAAGACGACGACGGCAAACAGCCGTCCGGCGAGGTCGACGGTGATTTCTCTGCAGCAGCAGCAGCTCCTGCAGTCGCACTTGGACTCGATTCAGGACGTGGCGTTACTCGAGTATCCATATACGATGAGCATATCGGTGGATCGATCAGGGATGGTCCTTGTGTTTCATTAGACCTCAAAGAGAGGATTCTACTTGAACTGAAGAAATAGAAGAGCTCTCAACAATACCAGATAATTTACATGATGAATGGTATGGCTGAATGATGTGTCTGGGCAAGAGCATGCTGACTTGTTCGGACCGCCGAGGCGTCTTAATGCTACCTTCCGCGCGCTCTTTAAAAGCAACCTGAACTTTTCGAGTACTAGGAAGATGAACTATAGCTAGCGGAAACCAGAAATCCCGCTTTACAACAAGTTGTCATTGGCAAACAAGTGCCCATGGTTTTCAGCTGAAAGAGTTGGCGCACCTCGCAGCCCCACTACCAATGTGAATCGTATATTTCGCGAACCCTGGGCTGAACCAGGAAGTTGCTATAGTTGCTATTAGGTTTTTCTTGTTTCGTTTGCGTATTTTCTGCTCTCCCTCGCCAGTTCCTTTCTGTGAGGCCCCGTTTCGGTATATACATGGTTCAAGCTGTTCGTTACACTTGGCCTAATGGATCGCATGAGCTTCATCCCAGGGCCCAAAGCCAAGGCCGAAATCCACGAGGCCGAGGGCCGCATCTTCTTCAACCGTGCGGCGGCGCTCGACTACGCTGATGAGTTCATTTGGCCCGGCGGCGGCGGAGGTGGCGGTGACCTCGCGCCTGGCAGCAGCAGCAGCAGCAGCAGCCCGCACGCGCCGCTGCTCTACCAGCTCGTCTGCGCGTGCTTGAGTGAGGGTGATCTGGTGGATGTGTGGTTTGGACTGCGTGGGCCCGACGCGGCGACCGGCGAGCACGCGCGGCCCGACGGGGAAGACCTCGGGCACACGTGGGCGGTGCTGACACGAGCGGCGGACGGTCAGACGCAAACGCTGTGGGAGGTGGGCCGCGACACGCCGTCCCCGGGGGAGGCCTACGCGCGGCGGGCGTTTGACGGCTTCCGCCAAGCGCTGGCCGAGTATCAAGGGACGACGACGGCGGCGGAGGCGGCTCTGGTAGCAGAGAAGGTTGTGGAAGAAGACAAGGTGTGGCCGACAATGTTCCGGGAGAAGCCGGTGGCGTCGCGCGCGCTCGCACCGGCGAACCTGTATCGGGCGAGCGCGCGAATGTGGTACTTTGTGGACTTTGCGCCGCCAGACCGCTTGTTGGAGGAAGCGCCAGCGCTGTCACGGCCGGTGCGGGCGTTTGACGCGCTCATCCTATCGACACTGGTAACGCTGGCGTACGGCGCGCCGCCCCTCGTGTTTGGTGTGCGGTACCGGCTGGAGAATATCGGGCGGGTGCCAGCGGCATACCTGAGGACGCGGTATGAGGCGGATGAGGGACTGAGAGAGCTGACGGAGGAAGAGATTTTGCTTGTCATGTGAAGATGGAACTCTGTCTCCGTCTCTCCATGTCTCACTCTCCCTCTTGTGTGTTTCGATTAATGGATGTTGTTGAAGGTTCTTTGTTTCCGGCCGTCTTTTGTCTTTTGTTATTCGGGGTGGCATTCTTCTAACACAATGACTTATAAACCTTCTTCCACAACGGCCACTGACTAGAACTGTCTTCGCTGTTGGCAGTCATGACTTGTCGGCGCGAGAAGCTCCGACCCGTGTCCAAGTCCATTTCATGCAGCGTGATGATCTTTGTCTTGAACCACAACTTGTGGGCTGCGTAAAACCCGAAGACGACGGGTATCGTTAGGATCTTGCGGAAGAAGTTGTGCGTCGTCTGTGAGGTGGTCAGCGGGCGCACCGTTGGAGGGAGCAGCGGCGACACGGCGAGCCAAAATTGGGCGGCGAGCACAAGGACGTTGGCCGTGATGGCAAACCAGGAGCCGATGACGCCAGCCTGGGAGCGGTAGGGGAGCTGGTCGAGGGTGTTGCCGGCGGCGGCCCAGGCGCTACGGAAGCGGACGTGGCTGAGGCAGATGCTGATCCAGGTGAAGAGGCTCGAGAGGCCGCAGATGCTGAGCAGCCAGTCAAAGATCCTGGCTTGGACGTGGACCTCGATGAGGTAGGCGAGCAGGCCGAGGCTCAGGGCGAAGAGGATGGCGACGAGCGGACGGCCGCCACGGTCGACGTAGCTGAAGATGCGCGGGGCGTGGGACTGCTCGGCGAGGGCGGCAAGGACGCGCGAGGAGCCGAAGACGGCCGAGTTGCCGACGCTGAGCACGGCAAGGAGGATGACGCCGTTCATGACGCTGGGGAGCACCGTGGTGCCGACGGCCTCGACGGCAAGGACAAAGGGACTCCGAGAGACGTTGATGTCGGACGCGCTGAGGAGACGTGGGTCGTCATAGGGCACGAGCAGGCTGACGAGGAGCAGCGAGACGAGGTAAAAGATGGCGATGCGCCAAAAGACTTGCCGGATGGCGCCGGGTAGGGCTTTGCGCGGGTTGGCGGCCTCGGCGGCGGCGAGGCCGACGAGCTCAGTGCCGATAAAGGAGAGCGACGAGGTGACGAGGACGCTGCAGAAGCCCTTGAAGCCGTTTCTGGTCGGGCCGGGGTCGAGCCAGAAGCGGCCGCCGATGTAGCCAGAGTCCGGGGGACCGCCGATGTTGATGACGATACCTAGCAAGATGAAGCCAACAATGGCGGTCACCTTGACGGTAGAAAAGAGAAACTCGGCCTCGCCATATCCCTTAATGCCGATGAGGTTGATGATGCCAATGACGACGAGGAAAATGGTGACGAAGAGAGACTGGCTCAGTTGGTCGTTCCAATACTGAACCGTCAAGGCACCGGCAATGATTTCGAGGGGTAGCGAAAAGAGCCAGAGGATGGCATAGCTGTATATGACAATGTAAGCTTTGTTTTTGGTCAAGGGGAAGGAGAGAGAGAGGGGGAAGAAAGAGTGACACGCACTTCCAGCCCATAGCAAAACCCCACGAAGGGTCTAGAAACCGGGTAGAAAAGACAGAAAAAGAACCGGCGACGGGAAAGGCGACGGCAAGTTCGCAGAGCGCCTGCATGATGCAAAACTGGACTACGCCGACAAGGAAGTAGGCGAGGATCATGGACGCCGGGCCACTTTGGAAGAGGGCGATGCCGGACGCGACAAAGAGGCCGGTGCCTAGTTCGGTGGAAAGAAGGAGTCAGCAAGGTACGGTAACACGCCAGAGTACAAGATGGCGAGAGAGTGAGCTCCAGCAGGACATGCCTATAGATCCTCCAATTGCAATCATCTGCAGGTGCCGGCCCTTGAGCTCGCGCGAGAGACCTGTCGAGACGGTCCTGGCATTGGCCTCGCGCACGTCGTAGCGCCGCTCACCCGGCGGCACATCTTGGTGGAGGCTGTAGCCTTTGTATCGTCGGGTGCTGCGCGGGGCAGGGCGGAAGCTGTCGAACACTCTCTTGATCAAATTCCCTTTCACGGGGCCGTCGTCGTCGCCGTCGGTTGACGGGCCGGTCACGACGGCGAAGGACGTGGTCGCGGAGAAGAGGCCGCCGGTGCCGGTGCGTCGCAGGCCCGACTCGGTCAGGTCGCTCATCTCGAGGACCTCAAAGTCGCGGGTCATGGTGATGACGTTGGGGCCAAAAGGGGACTTTGCCTTGTCCGGGTCACGGATGGTGCTGGGCATGGCGGGCGAGGAGGTCGAGGAAGGGGTCGAGGAGAGAAAGAGACCAAGGAGGAAGGCGGCGAAAGAGGTTGAATCGATGAATAGAGGGATAGAGGAGAGGAGAGGAGAGGATGATGTGGGTTTGTCTTCCCGTCATGCAAGCGACCTAAGGAACGGGATATAATAGGGGAGAATGCGAATAAGCAGAGCAATATGGATCGGGGAATGGCTCCCCGTTCCCCACGAGTTGCGACTCGAGATCAATCCAGTCGATCGTGGTCCGTCAACTTGGAGCAGATGAAGCCGTCGTTGAGCAAGTAATCAAATAATCATGACAGCAATGCAAGCAAAGAAGAGTGGGGGAGAGGGCAGGAAGTCAGTATAGTGACTTGACGGGATGTGCTGGGATGCCGACGCATAAAGGGAACCCAACCGACTGACTGGTGGCAAAAGCCAAGGTTCGACCAAGCGAAGCGCTCATCGTTGGGGGTCTGTTTGAGGTTGTTACCAGCTTTGCCGGCTCAAACTACAAGGATCTTCCTTGGAAGTACGGAAGAAGAGACACCGAAACCGGACGGCCGGGGACGGCACCGTGGTCCGTCTTGTTGTAATCAATTAGTTATCGACTACGAGAGTGTACTGTCAACATGGGGAGCTTTCAGTTTTGGTATTTCATTCCGATCAACGTGGGAAGGATAACGAGGTAGTGACAAAGACGGCATGGGAAGCAGGAAGGAGCGGTCTGGGTTGGACTGGGCTGTGGTTTCGAATACAGGCAAGAGCGACCGATAGCCGGGGACAAGGTGGGAATAGCCTCACCGCGTTACGGCCGCAGCATACAAGCGGAGAAGAAGAAAAAAAGACAGAAAAAAAGACAGAAAAAAAAGACAGAAAAAAAATCGGGCGACTCCCAGAACTGGCAAGCACAGAACCATTCTAGAAGGTGTCTATTTTGATTAATTTAGCCAAGTGTGGTGGTGGCTTAAAGGCCGGCCAGGGGGGCACTTTTGACACATTGTCAGTCCAGTCTTGTTCCCCACAGATGATGCAGATTGTGAAACCCCCCCCCTTCCTTTCCTTCCCTTCCTTCCTTTTCCTCTTCCAGCCCTTGAACGCGGCATGAGAGACCCGATGCCGTGTGCCGCCCTCACGGACGATTGCGCCGAGTAACTCCGTTGGCAACTTCACTTACCGTGATGCAATAGTACACTGATGCCGTACATGATACTCAGTAGATGATGACACTCACTAGAACAGAGGACAGTTGCCCCCTGCATGAGACATTTTCCCCCTCTGGTGGAACATGGCGTTGGAGCGACCAGGGTGCGCCGGCTTGCTCCTGCGTTGTCGGCTTGCGTCACTCTCAAGCTCCGAATTTATGCAGGCTCATGCTGATAACACTTGGAGGGTGCGCCAACTCTTGAGAACAATGCCGTTCAGCCATCGACCCTCGACAAGACATGGCGCAATCGCCATGCCTTAATCCGGACGTTCTTGCCTGCTTGTCTCAGTGCCTCGCGTCTAAGTGGTGATGACTTTTTGCAATGCATAATCAAATGGTATATTCTATGCTAATAATAATAATCAAAAATTAAAAAAAAAAAAACACATCGTCAATTTAGAAGCCGCCAGCAACCACTGCTGTCGGAGGCTTCCTAGGCACATCTCCCGCTACTATAGTGCCCCGGGAATATGATCTCTCTTGCCTGATGAGAGAGTCGTGGCTCGCCGTGGGGCTGGGTCCCCGGATATTATTCCCAGACGATTGTGACGAGTGCCGGTTAATTTTGCGGATGGATTCCCTCCGCGGCCGAGGATCGAGTTCGTTGAGCCACTCATCGCTCTCCGTTCCTTTTGACTGCTTCTGTTGCTGCTGCTGCTGATTATGCCCCTTTCCCTGCTCCAGATCCTCCCAGGTCGCGCCCGTCGTGACACCGCCACCACCGCCGCCATGGCCACCGCGCGACGTCGTTGCGCTGCTGTGATAGCCCAGCCGAAACTTGTTCTTCTTGGCGCCGCTGTCGCGCAGGAACGAGCCGAGCGCGACGATGTTGGCGACCACAGTGGCCGCTAGGATCTCGATCGACGCCCACATGGACCGGAGCGTCTGGTCGCCGCGCTCGCGGATGATGCGCGGCACGCGGTACAGCGTTACGCCGACCGTCAGGAAGCCAAAGGCGAAGAGCAGTACTAGTAGTACCTTGCGCTTGGTCGGGATGCGCGTCGACAGGATGATGGGTACCGGGAAGACGATGAGGACTACGTCGATGGCTGCGCCCGCGGCGCCCATGGCGATGAGCTGCGCGAAGCCCTGCCGGCACCGCCCGCCCGGGTCCGGCGTCACCTGCCCGTAGCGGGTTATTGGCTGGCACTCGGCGAGGTCGGCCACGAGCACGGCGATGAAGGAGACGCCGAGGGCGTATCGGAGGAACGTAGTCAGGCCGAGGTAGACTTTTTTCATCGAAGCTCCGGCGAGGCGGTTGAGGAATTCGAGCGTGGTGAGCTTGAGGGTCCAAAGTCTGGGCCACGGATGTTAGTTTTAGTGGGATTGAGCGAGGACGAATGAGCAAAGTCGAGGCTTAGCAGACCAGACTCACGTAGCAGCGTAGAATATCCTTCCCACAAGCACGACTCGACTTGCCGTTGCTCGACGCGAGATGTCCGTCTCGGAGAGGGCAACATCACTGAGATCGACATTGTTGGTGCCCCAGAGCAACACAACGTGGGTGCAGGCGATGCGCAGGAAGAGCGGGACGAGGACCAGGGCAGCGATGCGGTCCTCGCGGAACAGCTTCTCGACGCGGATATAGCGACCGGCCAGGCGCAGCAGGATGATGCAGGTGCAAAAGAGCGTAATCCACCACGATACCAGCAAGGTCGGCTTGGCCTCGCTAAAGGGCCGGAGCGGCGGAGGGTCCGAGTAGAGCATGTGCGGCGGTGGCAGGAGCAAGGGAAGAGAGGAAGAAGAAGAAGAAGAAGAAGAAGAAGATTAACAAGTCATTATTCAGAAGCCCACGAGTATGGGCAGGTTGTGTATATGGCAGGAGGGAGGGAAAGAAGGAGGGGAAGCTCATCCCATGTAATTAGGTGGGAGAGACAGAAAGCGGAACAAGGCTGATTGATCAGAGAACGAGACGAAGGGCAGGATACACTGTATAACTATATGTGTTTGGGGACAGACAGGCGCAGGAAAGAAAGGAACGAATACAATGTCTGGGCCTCGTCCTGTCGTCCATTAACGCACCAGAGTCATCAGCCATGCAAGCCAACTTTGCCCACCGCGGGCCGCTTGGCACCAGCCAACTACCACCAGACCCAGTAATAAGGTAGTTGGCTTGACCTATTACGAATACTTTTGATACATCAGAGCAAGCCTCGCCTGTCCCCTCAGCCGTCCAAATTGGGAGAGAGGAGAGAGAGCTGGCTGGCTGGGGTGGCAAGCTGGCTGGGGGCCAAGCAAGCAAGTGCCCAGTCAGTCACACACATTATGCATACTGCACGGCGGAAGCTTGGTCTCACCCTCCCCGCCTTGTTACCTTTTCGTCTTTGTGTGGTATCGTTTTGGCAGGGGTCATGACAGAGCTCGTGATGGAGGAGGGGGCGGCAAACCTAGGGACACAGGAATCAACTAACAGAAAGCCCGGTTCAACGGTGGCGTCTTTGACGACCGCTTGTTGGCTGGGACGTTTTCTAGACGACTTACTTGGGTGGTTAGTAGGAAGCGAGAGGCGGGGTGGCTTGCAGGCGCGGAAATTTGGTTCAGACGGAGGAAGGAAGAAGGAGGAAGGAAAAAGGCAAAAGGAAGAGTGAAGAAATAAAGTGTGCTGCATGTGGCCGGGTTTGGGTGTGACGGCGATTGCATAGGTACATATGTATGTACATACATAGGTATACAGGGTATTACAGGGGATGCAGAGAGAGTCTACAGGGGATGCAGAGAGAGTCTACAGGGGATGCAGAGAGTCTACAGGGGATACAGAGAGATATATACAGAGGTATATTATGCAGGGTATACAGGTTTGCCATCATCACGCAACCAGCACTACTTCCTCAGGGCTCCTCGGCAGGCAGTATCCCTCCACGTCGCATCCCGAAACTGAACCCCCCCCTCCTCCCCTGGTTCCCTCGTGGCTGGCTGCTCGTTTTGAAGCCGATGATAAGTTAGCTCCCAACAAGGCTAATCAATAGTTAACTCCCACCTGATACTACTGTACGAGCAGACACTAGACACTAGACTCACTTGCCGGTATTCCGCTCTCGTGCTGAAGATTTCGTAGAGGGGAAGGGACCAACCCAGAGCCAGCCCATCCATCACGGCAACGCGACCAAGCATGTACGTTTCTATGTATGAATGTAACAATTCGGCAGATACCAAGGCTGAATTAGTACCAATAGTATTCCTAGGCAAAGAAAGGATCATGGTGGATTCTGCGGAGGCGGGTCATCCAGGAACAAAACTCTGATCAAGGAAAAAGGAAAAAGCCAAAAAGAAATGAATGGATGGATCATTGGATGGACACCAGTGGGCCTACTGATCGTCTCTATCTCTACTTTTATGCTCCATTCATCATCATCAATCATACCGAGTACGGAGCGCCTTTCTAACTACTTTCCTGTAGACTCCGCAGCAACCACAGAGGGAACCCCCCTGGCTTTTCTTTATCTCTGTGCCCCTGTCATGTCTGTCCAGTTCGCTTGCACGACAAAGTCGAGAAAAAAAGGTTTCAGAACCTGGATAATTACCGCCACCTCTGCTAAAACACTGACATTGGATTGCAGAATTTTACAACTCTGGTGCACCCCACCAACCACCTCGGCCTCTGAACCCCCGAAGGAGCCGATACCGGTGACTTATTAACTCGAGGCACACATCGAGAGAACGGGGTGTCTTCCTGCCCTCTGCCGACCTTGACGCAAAACTTGGAACTAATAAGCGAGTAGCAAGATGCGGGAGCCCTCAAACCCGAGTCGGGCCAGAAACCTTGAGAACTTTGAAGATCCTCTCTCTGTCTTGATGCAACACAAAGCAGCCTACATACATGCCGTAACCGAGAACCATCAACCGTCAAGCATAAGACTGACATCCGTATTTGTAATCATGTAAAATTCTAATTCATTACACAGGCTCAAAAATCCTCTCCTTCTAATCTGTACGCAGCATTGCAAAGAAGCCAGCCAGCTGCCTAGGCATCCCCCCCCTTCAATCTGAAACAGGACAACCACTTGTTGCAGCTGTTTTACGAAGCAAACTGCAGCCGTAGCACGCATCTGCGACAAAGACGCTTGGCATTTCGACTTGTACTCGGCATCTATCCGTTATTCACTAGTCACACCGTTTCTCCTTTTCTCGGCGGAAACTTGCATCCCGCACGTGAAATACCCGTACCAATTTCACTGCCTTCCCACCGGACAAGACACTCGGACGCAGCACCCCGTTCAACGAGCAGCTTCTCCTGGAGACTCATTCATTCTCATTGTAGTTCTGAAAATAAGGAGCTCCTGTCAAGCACTGCCGGTGTACTCTGCCTCCATCCTTGAAGCCCCCCTTCCTCTGTCACCCGTGAAACAACCAGAGGGCACTGCCGATTACTCAAGCTTGGCCGGACCAGGTGTCCCAGGTTCGTTGACGTTATCGCATTGAACCTGCCATCGCATGGCACCCGACTGACACAGCCGTGAAAGTGCATGACCTAACCTCTTGTGACGTGCTGCGTTGGGCTGCGATAGTCAAGCGGCCTTGAAAACTTTCATACACAGCGTCCCGATACGCAGGATTCGGGATTCAAAAAGATGCTATTGAATCTAATAATAACAACATCATAGATACTGGGAACCGGCCTTCTTTGGCGTCGGTGTTTCAAACCCATCCTCAACTTCAGATTGGCCGCCTTGGACAGAAGAAGCCATGTTGGTCGTGTCCATAACAATAGATTCCCGGAGAGCCGGCGCCTTCATTTCAAGAGGAGCTTCTTCTATGCATAGAGTATCTTTCTCTTCAAAGTCAAATGCCTCTGACAGATTAACTGCCAGGAATGTCTTTGGTAATTTCACCCTGCACCCACTATTAGCGACTACTCTTCACACATCTTTTACTTGGCATACGTACTGAGTGAACTTTGCTCGCAGAGTTTTGATGACTTGCAGCCAGTCTTGATGAGCCGTCAAACTACGCCTCGGAGCGCACCCGATGCAGTGCCGGCTATCAAGCTGTACATGCAGAGGGTCAAAGACGTGGCACCCGGGACTGATTGTGATTCGAATGCTGTAGGTGAATGCCGGCTCGTCGCCCGCCGCACTTCCGGCAACCAGAGTCACCTCCGACTCGTATAACTCAAAGCAAATCTGAGAGAGATAATCCAGCTCTGGAATCGTGCTGCGCTTGATTTTGGTCTCAATCCCGCCTTCGATGATACAGTTGAGAAGTGTGTAGATGTGAGATTCCTTGGTGAAATAGAAGAAAGATTTGGCGTCGTTAGAAGCCTGCATCTCTTCTAGGTCCTGAACAATCTCCTTCAACAGGGGCAGCGATGTCAAAAGACCAATCTCAAGCTTCTCACTGTCCGAGATGCCATACTCTTGAGGGCAGATGAAGTCGAAAAGAATCTTTGCCAGCCTGTACAGTTCCTGGAGGGGCTCATAGCGAGGATCAGGTTTTGCTGTCGTTTGGTTCGTGCCTTTATACAGGCGGAAGTATTGCTCAGGCTGTGATTCGTCATTTGACCCTCGGATACTGTTGATAAAGGAGCGTCTGCGAAATAGCTTGCGCACAGAACGGTTGTTCTGATCCGACTTGTCAGAGTTGTCAGAGATGGCCCCTTTGGCGTCCTCGGAACCCTTGCTGTCCTTGCCGTCTTCACCCTCTTTCGATCGCTCTTTGCCACCATATTCGTCTTCCAGCATACCCTTTGGAGGAGTGAACACCCACTCGAGAAACTGTCGATTGTGTAGAGCATCAAACTTCATCGTGTCATAAAGCTCCGAGATCTTGCTAGGGTCTACCTTCTCTCCATCACAAAATTCAGAAAAGAGTTTCTCCCAGCGCTCACGGAAAAGTTCGGCATCTTCACCCGAGCACCATCTGGACTGAATGCTGGTGACGGCATTCGCATGCGAAAGCGCCGAAGAAATAGAGGCGCTGGAACTTTCACCGTTGAGCTTCTCCGTGCTGGGATTGGAAATAGCACCCAGAGAAGCAGCTGCTCCTCCACTGTAAAGCTTGCCATAGTTGTACTGCATCACGCGCCGATGAAAATTCATCAGCTGCACCACTCTTGTTTGAACTTCAGAAGGCTCGGGCATGTTCTCCGGCCACGCAAATTGCTCAGGGCGCTCGTTGCCCTTGCGCAGCAAGCCCTTTAGCTTCTTTTTCACCTTGTCAGTTTCGTCCTTGGCGGCGTTGGAATCATCCAACAAATCCTTGCGAACAGTGATAAAGTCTTCGGGGATTTCCTTTTGCCCTAGAAAAGACGCCGCCCAAATTTGGGCACTCGCCGTGACACGTCTTTCCGAGCTGCTGAAGACATGTACTTCATCCAGGATATCCCTGTTCATGAGCATGAGGTCGTTGCGCATGTTTTCGCCCAGCTCTTGAGCCTGATATCGCGCCGAATGGGTAGGCTCACCGCCCCATTTGATAACGAGCTGCAGCTTATCAAGCACCAGGCTTTCCTCGGCAGCTGTAAACTTGGACATGGTCACCCCGGATAGGGAATCATGTCTGCGTGGTGAGACGCGGCGGGTTCCGTCCTCCGCCAGGTTGTCCGAATCTCCTTGGACTGCACTCTCTTCCTCCTCCTTGACGTTCAGGAGACCTCTCGCCGATGGATCTGTCTTCTTTTTACGGAACATGGGCTTGATCTGGACCTTGGTTCCGGCCCAGCTTCCCTTCTTGACAAGCACGTTCCGGAGGGATTTTAGTTTTCCACGGTCCTCAATACCTTGTTCAAATGCGAGGTCGACAGCTTGCATGACACTAGCCAATGCAGCTTCACCAATGAGCAGAACCTCTTCTTGGTGGCCTTTCAAGAGAGCAATAAATGGCTCAGTGTGGAATGTAAACTTGTACTTCTGTTTCGGGGTTCTGTCGGCGTGTCGAATAACGGAGACCATGCCCTTCAGCTTCCACGAGTGTTTCGGTGGAGGCACGGCAGGTGCATTCTCGTCCATGGGAGCTTGGTGACCCGGAGTAGTGGTGGTTGCTGTAGACTTGACGGATCCCGGCGCCGACCCAGCAGCTGCTGGGAAGACCGGATCAGACGCTGGAGGTGGAAGGGTTAGGCTTGCCGCGGCGTTTTGGAGTTCGGAAACCAATGCGTTGTCTGAGGTTGGAAGCGTGGTCGTAATTGAGTGCGTTGCTGCTGCTTCCTCAGATTCTGGTTCAGTAGCTGGGGTGGGAGAAATGGTAGTGTCCTGCGATGCAAACGCATTTTGCAGCTCTCTTTCCTTGAGCGAAGCTGTTGTCTTTGACATGGGATCAAAATCTGAGGCGGTAGGTGACGGTAAAGGAGGTGTAAGCGACACTCGCCTGAGCTTCTCCTTGATGAACATTTCCTTTAAAATGCTGGCACAATGCTCGTAGTAGTCTTCGTTGTCTTTCACAAAGCTCCAACCATTGACATCAATGACGTAGCTTTTGCCAGCGGCGCGAAGGAGATCGAATCCACAAACGCGCTGACCAAAAGCGGTTGAAATTTTGCCCGCCATGTCCCTTTCCTCGGTGCTCAAGGCAGTGACGTATCTCAGCTCCTTCCCGTGAGTGTTGCGCCGAACAACGCCATCGACAACCGGCGACTTTCGTGTCTCGGCGTGGCAGAAGGTCGGACCAACGGTGTATGCCTTGACGTCCTCGGCGTTATCGACTTGCATAAAGCTTTCATAAACGTAGCTGTTTTCTGGTTCGCTGATGCAGCGAGGCGTATTCAGGTCCGCGACAAAATCAGAACTCTTGTTGCCAATCTTGCGGAATAGCTTTCTCGCACCACCACCGGCACTCTTTGGAAAGTAGATGATGACGTTGTGGTCCTCCGCGCTGGTCGGTTTTTCAACGAATGGCTTTCGCAACACAGCACCGTCGACGCTCAGAGCGTCGCCATCCTCAATCAGCTCGACCTTTTTGGGGATCAACGTAGTTGTTGGATCAACAGGATCAAGAGTGACCCCGGAGACCTCTCTAATGTATTTTGTCACATCCGGAGTAAGCAGGCCAGGGCCGCCGTCGCGGCTGACCTCGAGGCGTTTTGGCGTGCGTACATTGATTTTGTCGAGTAGACGTAGGCAAATACGCCTGTCCCAGAGAATCTGCTGCATGGGCACATCGTTGACGCAGAATGGCTTCCTGGCCTTGACATAGGCAATTGCCTTTTCGAGCGGGAATCCGTCGGAATAGAATGATATCAGATAGTCGCTAAGCTGTTGTTAGCATTCATTGTCTCAGATCTCAGATGCAAGGATAGCTTGGTCGCGTGGCGAGTAGCTAGGCCTAATAGGACAGGCTTGACAGGCATAGTACGGAGTAGAAGAGCCTGACTGCCCGATGAGGTGACCGAGGTTACCAGCGCCAAATCGCATAGACTTACCAAATTGGCCAATTTTCAACCTCTGCCATGCTTGTTAATATAAAGGGTCCAGCACGCCCCGATATAGCTTAAACTGACCTTCATCCAGGATGACCTTGTCGCCAAATACCACAACATCGAATTCTCGATTGGCAATGATGCGATTTAGGATATTGCGGCTCGGCTTGCTGCGTGCCTTGATGTCGAGCGCACAGATGCCAATGACTCCCCACTGCGCCGGTTTCGCTAGAAATGGAGTTGGTCAAGAGGAACCAACTGGGTAGAAAATTTTCGCGGCGGTAAACTGACCTTCTTCTCTGTAGTGATGGTTACCCCTGTCGCTACTGGGACTGTGGCTGCTGTTGGCAGTGCTGCCGCTGAAGCGTCGCTTTACCCTGCTGCGGGACCGGTCTGGCACCTGCGAGCGCATTGTCTCGGCTCGCTGGTTGCGTCGCATAAGATCCAGCGGCTGGTGAATGTCTCGAGGTGTCAGCTGAGGACCAGCAGGGCCAGTGGCTTGTGTGGAGGATGTGGTGACGGTAACATTGGAGACACCGCTCTCTGAGAGGCCGGAGCCGGAGCCGGAGCCAGAGCCCTTGGTCGCCATAAGATTTGCGGAAGCGGAGCGTACAGTGGCTCCCTTGTCGGAATTTATCAGGCCCCTTGCTGAAGCAAGAGAGTATATCGAGCTGTTGGAAAGACGACGGGGATCAGATTCGGACCAAGACGACCTGGAAGCCACCAGAACAGGGCTGGCTTGGGGGTTGATTGTGGTGAGCCGGGTTCGCTGGGCGCTCAAGGACTCGTCGTCGGGTCTGGGTAGAGGACTGTCGTCTGTGGAAGCGGTAGAAGTGGCGGGCTGACGGCGAGAATGTGCCAAAAGTGCTCGTGTGCTCCTTAGCTGAATTGAGCCGTTGTTTGTGGGCAGGCTGGCTCTCGTGGGGTGGATGTCGGATGTGCCTGGCTCTGCATGCCGGCTCTTGGTATTAGTGACGGAGCCAATGACAGCCGGGATGGAGATGCTGCGGGTGTCGCCGCGGCTGAGAGACTTGTTGGAGTTGAGCGAAAGCACCGACGCAGACGATTCGGAGCTGTTGCTCTCGCTGACGTTGACCGAGGCGGAGGAGGAAAGCGTCGTCGAGGGTGGCAGCGGCAAAGGCAGAGGCAGAGGCAGAGGCAGAGGCAGAGGCAGAGGCAAATGCTTGGACCCGTTTACGGACCGCCTGCTGGTAAAATTCAGAGGCTCCATGGCGAAAGCAGGTCCGGTTTTGGAGGCCACGCTAACTGGAAGGCCGCACACAATCTGAGCCACCACTGGCCGCTGCCGCTCCCGAAAAAAAACCTAATACTGGTAACCGGCCACACAAGGGAGGTGAGCCAGGTCAGGTCAGGTCCTAGCGAGTGTGCTTGTTGCCTCGTGACATGTGCCGACTGTAAGGGCGGATAACGGAGACCTATTATTAGTATCCGTAATTTCGCTCGCTATCACGTCGTCAGTTGTCAGTGGTCTCGGCGAGCAAGCCCCGTTCGTCCTGCAGTAGGTAATCGATGTCTGGTCGTCGAGGTAGGTGGTAAGCAGGTATTCCCAACCGCAGACTGACTGACTGTACAAGGTAAGTCGGCATCGGAAAGTGCCACCTGCAGCATCAGATGGAGCCCCGGCACGGCGCCGTTCAGCCCTTGAGGATCGACTCTGCGTGATGCGCGATGGGCTCCTGGATGCACCACCACCTGCGGGGAAGCTTGGGCAGAAACGGGGGCAAATGCGCTAACCAGTAACTAACTACCCTACTACATCGATCGATATGACCAAGCATAGAATTTTCAACATCAAGCATGGCTTCAACCCATCTCAATGACGAGGTACCACATGTATGTTGAAGGCTCGTCGTCTGGCATTGGCCCACCAGTCGGAGTCTTCTGAACAATGCAAGCGCGCCTCTCACAGTGTCCTCTAAAACGTTCCTGAGCAGTGTACTAAATCTTTAACTGGCAGCGATGGGATTGGATGAGGCACTATAGGAGTACCATGTCTGTGCCTAAGATCCGCTGTCTCAGACGCGCACTGTGCCTGGGACCGAGACGTTTGATTCTTGGTTTCCGGCCTCGTCGCGGTGCTCCATGTGGGCTACATGGGCTAAAACCTGGATCGTTCGCATCGGCCGCATTCGGCCACGTTGTCCATCAAGACACAAACATGCCTCTAAATTTCAGGATTCCTCACAGGAACTTGAAGGCGTCATCTTGGTGCATGTTGTGGAATTATTCTCGGCTTCCGCTTGACAAGTAACACGGATTTATTCGGGATGTGGTGACGGGTGCCGATACCCTTCGCCGAAAGTTACTAAGCATACCCTCAGGCCTTATACGTCGAGAGGAGTCGAAACGCGTAATTGGGCTTTATTCTTGGTAAAGAAAGGGTAGACGCATTCATCAAGGTTGACTTTATAATCGCCAATATATTCCTCTAATTATTTCCTGAAATTATGTACAATCTCTATAATTTCGGAGGACCGGAAGGTAAAGATGAAGAACCTACCTATGCTTCTGTTAGTTAGGCCCTTGTCTGGCTAGTGTGGGGCAGATTGGCAGAAAATGGCAATTCTCGACACCGCCAAAAATTTCTAGACGATGCCTCTGTCGCCAGCAACAATCTTAAGAACGACGAGCGACATTGCCGAAATACAGACTCGCACGGCACCATGGGGCCATCCAACACAGATGGGCCGCTGGCAAAGCGTCAGAGAGTCGCTGCTCCCGCTCCCACATCCAAGGCGCGCGCGAATGTTTCGCGCATATTTGCCCCATTCCGAGTGAGTACTCTACCCCAAGCAAAATCCTTTGATACTTTGCTAATTGCCCGATTGAATACAGACTGTCGGCTTGGTCTCACCTACAAGCGTGCCGTTTACTTCAATCCCGCTCGGAAAAACCACATTTCAGATTACAACATCGGTCGGCAGAGCACTACAAACCTACGACCTGAAGCGTGGTCTGAACCTCGTCTTCGTTACCCGGCCCGAAACCCCCGCCGTAATTACCGCCACTTTTGCCTGGAAAGAAAAGGATTTTGCTGCATGGGGTGGAGGAGATATCTCTGGACCCAAAGGCCTCTGGGTCTTCCAAAGAGGCAAAAAGGTCGACGAACTTTCCCTCCCGGCCGACCTTGACGAGCCTATTCAGCAGATCCTGATCTTTGGAACATGGCTGGTTGCCTGCGCTTCGACACGAATCGAAATCTTCAAATCGGCGACTCTTGAGCATTACACTACAATCCACACTATGGCGGCAGCCAACGGCGACAACAGAATCACCGGTGGCGTGACAATGATGCCGACCCTCTTGAACAAAATCCTCGTTGGTCGCAAGGACGGTTGGGTTGAAATTTGGAATGTCAGCACCGGAAAGCTCATTTACACTCTTCTGCCACGAATTCCCGATGCTGGTTCTGTCACTTGCCTCGAACCGAGCCCGGCGCTTTCCCTTCTCGCCATTGCTTATTCGTCCGGCGCATTGATAGTCACGAATGTGCTTACCGATAAGCCGTTGCTCGAAATAGAAGCCGGGAATCCAGAAGCCCCCATCACTTCCATCTCGTTCCGCACTGATGGAATGGGTGCTGGAACGGATGGGCGCAAAGAAGGCGTCATGGCAACCGCTACTACCGCCACGGGAGATGTCACATTCTGGGATCTGAATGGCGGTGGCCGGGTTATGAGTGTCCTACGAAGTGCACACAATCCTCCCACGAGCGATGGGTCTACTGTAAGGGGAGGTATAAGCAGAATCGAATTCCTACCTGGCCAGCCGGTTATTCTTACTAGCGGCCTGGACAACTCCCTGAAATCTTGGATCTTCGATGCCAGTCCATTTTCGCCTGTCCCCAGGGTTTTGCACTCGCGCAGCGGCCATTCTGGACCTGTCAATTGCCTGACATTCTTGCCGTCTGATTTTGACGGCGCTGAAGCTGGCAACAAATGGCTAATCAGCGGTGGCCGTGATAGAAGCCTTTGGGGTTGGAGTTTGCGCCGCGATGGCCAAAGTGCCGAGCTTAGTCAAGGTAATATCCGCAAGAAGGCCAAGAAGGTTGGTATTCTTGCCACCAATGCTACCGCGCACGGGATGACTACGACAATCGAAGACCTCAAGGCACCCGAGATTACTTGCATTGCAACTTCAATAAACCGCGACGGTGGAATTGGTGCCCTCCCTGGCAAACAACCAATTTGGCAAAAGGGGGGTGCTCAGAAGAAACCTCTTGATGCTGAGGTTAGCGGCATGACTGGCTGGGAAAGTGTCGTGACAGCACACAAGGGCGATGCGTATGCCAGGACCTGGTTTTGGGGACGTCGCCGAGCCGGACGCTGGGCTCTCCCCACCGGCGATGGATCTCATGTTTCGACTGTTGCAATCAGTCCTTGCGGCACATTCGCGGTGGTTGGGTCGGAGGAGGGTGGGCTGGATATGTACAATCTCCAGTCCGGCACTCATCGCCAGCGCTATCCCTCTAAATTGACGCCTGCACAGGCTCGTCAAGTGAAGGCTCAACAATTACGACAGGGTGATGAATCTGTGTTATCACACAAGGGCAGTGGTAAGAAATTCTTGCCTGGCACCGGAAAGCACACAAAGGCCATTACCGGCCTAGTTGTCGATTCTATGAACAAATACGTGATATCCAGCGGAATGGACGGCAAGATCAAATTTTGGGATTTCTTGACTGGCACGCTACTGGACCAACTTGACTGGGCGCCTATGACCCGGCCAACGCGCTGCCGCTACCACCCAGGCAGTAACCTGCTTGCCTTTTCCTGTGACGATAACTCTGTCCGCGTCGTGGATATTGAAACGAAGCGGACTATCAGAGAGTTCTGGGGCCCCCAAGATGCCATCAACGATATATGCTTCTCAACTGATGGGAGATGGGTTATTGCCGCCTCGAAAGACTGTCTTGTTCGGATATGGGACCTCCCAACAAGTCATCTGATTGATGCTATCCGTCTCACCAAGCCATGCAATGCTATTGCCATGTCAGCTACGGGCGAATACCTGGCAGCAAGCATTGATGACGAACAAGGTGTCGCTTTGTGGACTAACAAGGCACTGTTCAAACATGTGCCAACTCGACAGATATCCGAGAAAGACCTCGCAGTACTGCGTGGGCCTACCGTTTCCGGTGAGACTAGTGAAGGAATGTTGGAAGGTGCCTTTGAAGACGAAGAAGAGGACGAAGATGCAGGCCTGGTTGCCCCTACGGTTGACCAGTTGAGCTCCGAGATGACAACACTCAGTCTTGTCCCCAAGAGTAGATGGCAAACACTTCTGCATCTGGATCTGATAAAGGAGCGAAACAAGCCAAAGGAAGCACCCAAGGCGCCCGAAAAGGCACCCTTCTTCTTGCCATCTGCCGGTAGCAAACAAGCACTCGCGGATAAGGCCCAGCAAGATGGAGCAGATGACGGGGGGCGGTCTCGAATCACTAAACTCGAACAAGCCCGACTGGAAGAAGTTTTCAGTTCAAAGCTTCGAGTAGGGGCGGAGAGCGGCAATTGTGGGTTGACTGTTTACTCGTGACATAATTCTTGTGATTGGACTAACACTTGCTAGACGACGAGTTTATTGATCATCTAAAGGGGCTATCGCCCTCGAGCGCTGACCTTGAACTACGATCACTATCAATTGGCAGAGGGAGTGACGAAACCAATGAGCTTTTGCACTTCATTCGTGCCCTGATCTATAGACTCAAGGCGAGACGAGACTACGAGCTTAATCAGGCTTGGATGACTGTATTTCTACGGCTTCATTTCGATCTTGTCTTGGGCAACGCGACGTTGTTGGCAGCTCTCCAGGAGTGGAAGACACTACAAGAACGGGAGGGAAGCCGGTTGAATGAGTTGGTTGGATATTGCGGTGGCGTTGTGACTTTCCTTCGAAGCCCAAGGACATGAGTGGATTGATCTAAGCATTATTGTATTGCATATAAAATTATTATCTGTTTTTTCTCAAGAGGAATCTCAACATGACAGAGAAAATATCTGCTGCGGACAGAGGATAGTCTATGTAAGCGTCGAAGATGCTCTTTACAAGAGTTCTTAAAGGTAAAAACGACCTGTGGAGCGCAAGGTTTCGTGTGCAAGTAGCGCTAAGCCGCTCCGAGACAGCGTTGCAGCAGCACCCGTCGCGGGGCAGCGCCGACTTCTTAGTACCTTCGTACTGTAGGTACCTTGGTATGTATTGTAGGTACATATGTACATAGTATTTTTTTTCGGGGTCTGGAAATTTTCCAACGTTGCCTTTCAAGCATCACAACGACATCATTACGGCAATGGGTAAATTCAGAGTGAGTGAAATCGCCATGATACATGTCAATTGGTAGGAGGCTGACTGAATACCCTCTTGACTAGGGAAAGAACCGTCGCGGCGGCGGTAGTGGTCGTGGTGGCGGCCACGGCGGCGGCAACACATGGCGTGACTATCCTCCTCTGAAGAAGGAGAATGAGCATCTCGAGAATTTTTACAACACGCTGCTTCAGCTTCCCGAGGAGGAGAAGCAGCAGTTCTGGGATGCCCTCAAGCGCGAGCTTCCCAACAGCTTCCGCTTCTGCGGCTCCAAGGGGTACGTATTCGCTCGCCGTGATGGCGAGAGCTTCTGCGCTTCGTCACAACCAACCAACCGGTTGTCGCATATCACACAGCAGCTAACAATGGGCTCCAAAGACACGCTCTGGCCGTCAAGAGACTTTTGCGAACGAGATATATCCCCGAAATTACCAACATTGAGCACCAGGATGGCCGACCCGTCGAGCCGCCTATGCCCGTTCCCTGGTACCCTGACGAGCTCGCCTGGTGGATGACGACCCCCAAGAATGTCGTCCGCAAGTTCCCGCCCTTTGCCGCTTTCCAGAAGTTTCTCGTCTCCGAGACCAGTGTCGGAAATATCAGTCGTCAAGAGGTTGTCTCCATGATCCCTCCCATGCTCATGGACCTCAAGCCCGGCATGACTGTGCTCGACATGTGCGCTGCCCCCGGAAGCAAGTCGGCGCAGCTGCTGGAGATGATCCACGTCGGCGAAGAGTCGCGCGTGCGCAAAGTCTTGCGCCAGTTCGCGCAAGAAGACGGTCTTGTTCTTGGCGACGAAACCAAGGAAGAGATCGAGGCCGACCTCGAAGCCGACCCTTCTGACCAGGGCCGCGCCACCGGCCTGCTGATTGCCAACGATGCTGACTATAAGCGCGGCCACATGCTTGTTCACCAGCTCAAGCGCCTCTCGTCGCCTAACCTCTTAGTTACGAATCACGATGCCACCCAGTTCCCATCCATCAAGCTCCCTCCCTCGCCCAACACACCAGACAAGCCCAACTACCTGAAGTTTGATCGCATTCTTGCCGATGTGCCCTGCTCCGGTGATGGAACGCTTCGCAAAAACGCGAACTTGTGGAAGGATTGGCAGCCAGGTAGTGCTCTGGGCCTGCACGCCACTCAAATTCGCATCCTTGTGCGCGCTCTGCAGCTGCTCAAGGTCGGTGGTCGCGTTGTCTACTCTACCTGCAGCATGAACCCTGTCGAGAACGAGTCGGTCATTGCGTCCGCCATTGAGAGATGCGGCGGCCCCGGCAGCGTTGAAATTATCGACTGCAGCGACCAGCTCCCCGGCCTGAAGCGTGTTCCTGGCATGAAGGAGTGGAAGATCATGGACAAGGGTCATCGGATCTGGGGCTCTTGGGAGGAGGTGGAGCAGTTTGCCAAGGAGAGCAACGAGGGTGTTGTTCCCGGTCGTGTCTCCCAAACAATGTTCCCCAAGCTTGAAGGCTCTGAGGCCTACGGACTTCCTCTGGAACGGTGCATGAGAGTGTACTCGCATCTGCAAGATACCGGCGGCTTCTTCATCACCGTGCTCGAGAAGAAGACTGATTTCAAGGCCAAGAACGAGAATGAGCGCAAGCCCCCTGTACCGGCCTCTAATGGAGACGACAAAACCCCTGCTGAGGGGACTGAGAAGCCCACCGAGGCCGAGAAGCCGAAGGAGCCTGCTGTGACGACCGCGGAAACAGCCACGGAGGATGCCAAGATGGAGGAGGCTAACAGCACCTCTGGCAAGCGTCCTCTTGAGGAGGAGCCAGCTGATGCCGAAGCTGCCAACAAGAAGCTCAAGACAGAAGCGGACTCGTCTGCCGCCGCCACACCACTGCCCAAGCCTGACCCTACCCACAAGCAGCTAAAGAAGCAGGGCCCCGTCGAGGAGCCATTCAAATACCTGGATCCCTCCCACCCAACGATCCAAAATATCATCGACTTCTACAAGCTGTCGCCTCGCTTCCCGACGAACCGGTACATGGTACGCAACGAGATGGGCGAGCCAGCCAAGGCCATCTACTACACCACAGAGCTTACGCGCGACATCCTGACGGAGAACGAGGGCCGCGGTATCAAGATCATCCACGGCGGCGTGCGCATGTTCATGAAGCAGGACGCGCCGTCGGCCGAGGTGTGCCGCTGGCGCATCCAGTCGGAGGGCATGCCGATTCTTCAGGGCTACGTCGGCGAGACGCGCATCGTGCGGCTGCGCAACAAGGAGACACTGCGCCGGCTGCTCATCGAGATGTTCCCCAAGATCAACGAGGACGCGTGGCGCGCCTTTGACGAGATCGGCCCGCGCGTGCGTGACGTCGGCATGGGCTGCTGCGTGCTCCGCGTCGAGCCCGAGGTCGGCGTCGACCCGGACTTTTCCGAGTCCATGGCCCTGCCGCTCTGGAAGAGCATCCACTCGCTCAACCTCATGCTGCCCAAGGAGGACCGGGCCGCCATGCTGCTCCGCATCTTCAACGACACCACGCCGCTCGTCAACATCGCGCAGCAGCTGCAGCAGAAGAGCGAGGCCGCGAAGAAGGAGGCTGCCGAGAGGGAGGCCGCCGAGTCGAAGACGGAAGGCGCGGATGGTGCCGAGGAGCAGGAAGCGCTGGACAATGCCGACGTGGAGGACCTGCCCAGCCCGGAATAGAAGGCCGATAGAGGTCTCTCGGGGGGCTGGTTCTTTGATTGTCAAAGTCATGGTTCGAATAGAAACCGGAGGAAATGAGAAAATGGAGAAGATCTAGGGAGTTATTTCTGTCATGTTTCAAAAGGGAATCCTGCTTCTTGTGCCCAAAGTTTCTGGCTTCAAACTGCTTATGCCGCACATGTGGTTGATTTGATGTACAACAAAAACAAATACGAAGGAATGCATCTCGATTTGCTTGTAGAATATTTTTCGGGCACGTTTTTTATCGTAGTAATATTTCAAGTGTTGTACAGAAAGTGTTTACGGTGGTATACACGGAAGGCGGCTGCGCTTCCGACATTATTGTTATTACATCTTTGGACGCCCCGGGCAAAGCTCTAGCCTTCTTACCGATGCTCGCCGAGCAGCCCGACCATCCAACGGACGACCCGATCTACGCCCTGGCCATGGATGGCGCTGACGGGAATCGCCGCGCAGCGCTTCGTCCACGCGCCGTCGCCGAGGCCGCTCGGGTGCGGCGCCTCGCCCGCCGTGACTTCCTCGAGGTACGCCTTGAGGGCGGCAAAGTTGGCGCGCGTCTCGGGCTTGTCGGCTTTTGTGGCGACGACGAACCAGGGCTTGCCGGCGGTTGCAGCCGCCGTCGTCGTCGTCGTCGTCGTCGACGACGGTTCGGCGTCGGGGAGGGTCTCGAGGTTGACGGGCCCGCCGCCGCCGGAGAAGGGGTCCGGCGCGGCGCCGTTGTGATCGTCGTCCCAGCGGATGGCGGCGCGGGCGCGCTCCTCCTCGTCGCGCATGGCGGCGTAGAGGGCGACCTCGCGCCAGAGGGCCTGCAGCGCGGCGACGGCGTCCCCGGCGGCGAGGTCGACGACGAAGGCGAGCACGCCGGCGCGCTCAACGTGCCGCAGGAAGGCGATGCCGAGGCCGCGATCGAGGTGCGCGCCCTCGATGAGGCCCGGGATGTCCGCGACCGTGAACCGAGTCCGCGCGCGCACGTCATCCTCCTCCTCCTCCGCCACTGCCGTTCCCGGCACTATGGGTCGCCCCGAGTACTTGTCGAGCACGATGGTGCCGATGTTGGGCTGGAGCGTCGTGAACGCCCAGCTGCCGACGCGCGCGCGGCTGTTGGTCAGCGCGCGCAGCAGCGTGCTCTTGCCCGCGTTGGGCAGGCCGACGAGGCCGACGTCGGCGAGCAGCTTGAGCTCGAGCGAGACGCGCAGGGTGACGGCGTCGTCGCCGCGCGTGGCGAAGACGGGCCGCGGGTGCTCGCGCGAGCAAAAGTGCGCGTTGCCCAGTCCGCCGACGCCGCCGGCCGCGAGCAGGATCGGCCGCGGTGTCGGCCGCGATAGGTCTAGCTGGATAGGCGCGGGCGGCTGCGAGAGCAGGCGGGTGCGCCGAGGCATTCGCGGGAATGAGGCCGACTTGGCGTCCGTCTTGCTCATGCCGGGGTAGAGAAGCCACTTGTGGCGTTGAGGGTCCTCGATCTCGTCCTCCTCGGCCGCTTCCTCCTCCATAAGTTGGTCATACCTGGCCATGCGGGCGTGCGCGCGGCTGCTCAGGTCCTCTTCCCACTCGTCCGTCTCCGCGAGCGGGTCGTCTTCCACCTCTTCTCCGTCCACGACCGCCGCCGCCCCCTCCTCCGCAAGCTTTTCTTGGCGCAGGCGCTCGAGCTTTCTCTGGCGGCGCTCCTCATCCTCAATCTCAATCTCCCGGCGGCGTCTCGCCTTCATCTCGGCGCGATACAGCTTCACGCTCAGCGCCTCGTCAGCCACGGGGTCGGTCCGCTCGAGCTCGCGGATGACGGTGCCGACGGGGACGGTGATGACGATGTCCTCACCGCGAGTTCCGCTCTTGGCGCTGCCCTGCCCGTGGCGGCCGCGTCCGGCGCGGATGAAGCGGCGGCGGGCAATCTTGTGGAGCGAGGTCTCACCATGGGCGGCCTGGATGTAGATGTTGCCGCCGGCACCGCCATCGCCGCCATTGGGGGGGCCGTCGGGGAGGTAAGCCTCGCGGAGGAAGGAGACGCAGCCGTTGCCGCCACGGCCGGCGTAGAGTGTGAGCTCGGCGCGGTCGGCAAAGGTGGGCGCGGCGTAGTCGTCGGGCGCGGGATTCAGGCGGGACTCGGGCAGGTCGTTACGGATGATGGACGATGAAGACGCGGTGTCAATGGGGTGGTCAGCAGCGGTTGTTGTCGTGCTCGTGAAGCGGCGTTGGCATGGATGGCGCGCGTGGACGGCCGGGACGGCGGCGGCGCGACGTGGTGATGGTGACACGGCGGATGCTGCTGCCTGGGCTGCCGTGACGAGGCCGGCGGCCCGGGTGGGCGTAGGCAAGAGGAGAGAGGGGTAGAGAAAGGGAGCGAGTGTCGCAGCCGTGGCCAAGATTGTGCGAGCGCCGTGCCTGGGGCGGCGAGTGGCCACGACGGCGGCCATTGGGAGGCCAGGGGGAGTCGCTCGGCGGTTAAAGGGGATGGTTTTGGCGAATCAAAAGACTCTGCATCGGGAGCGTCCAGGTATGTGCGTGAGCATGGGGTGGCGACTGGCCGTCAGGTCTGGAGTGAGGTATGTGGTGGTGATGGTTGTGGTGATGCGAGGTTGAAGGGGTCCCTTTTCTTTTTTCCCTTTTTTTTTTTTTTTTTTTTTTTTTTTTTCCTTTTTTTCCTTTTTTTTTGGGTTTGGCTCTGGTTCTTGGTTGTTGAAGATGCATTGCTGCCCAATCAGATCATACCCTATGTACTGTACATACATTATTAGTAACGAGCGGGAACAGGCGCCATCAGCGGGAAGGCGATATCTGTGTGGGGTTAGGGGGGTTATGAGCGGGCTACAGTGCTGTTTCGGGGCTTTTCAGGCATTTCGTTGTGGAAATACAGCGCCTGCCTTTATGGTGGAAAATGAGAAGCTTAGTGAAGAGTGAAGAGGGAGGTATTGTATGTACTGTACATACATACTCTCTGTAACCTCTGTAATAGCATCTGCGGCATGACGATGTCAACTGACTGCTGGTGCCTTGTCCCTGCATTTACTTGGCGTAATACAGCATTCGTTTCTTTGGCACAAAAAGTGGTGGACGCCCTTGATGCATTGACAACTTTGTGTGTTGTGTTGCACAGCAGACATGACAAGACAAGAGGACTATGTATGTATATATGTCTGTCTGTATGTATGTATGTCACTGCGACCGATCTGGTACTAACATCTTAATCAGCTTGCTTCCTTTCCGCTGCAGGTCTAAAAAAAAGCCATCTACTGTACACTCTACCTAACTAGTATGTATGTATATACAGATTCAAATATGTATGTCCCTACCCGTCAATCCCCACTGCACGCCTTTTCACGAGTAGCGTCATTGCATTCGTACTTGTACAGTATCTGTTTCCATAGCAGGTTTCCCTCACTACATACTCTCACAGACCATGGTGACTTTTTGCCGCCGAAACGAGCCATTCACTGCGACCCTGGAACCGCCCCTATGGGAGCTGCGTCGCCCTCTGCTTCCCGGTTCTCCAGCATCACATCACACATACACATCCTTTCCTTTCTCCCTCCCTTGTTCATGAGCGGCATGCTACCCGCACCACCCTTTGCCCCCTCCCCCATCACACAACCCGCATACTCAAGGCGCCAAAATATCGCCAAAAATAAGAAAACACCCACTACTACACACCTCCTCCACCGAACGTAGCAGTCGACGGCATTTTTGGACCACGGCCGGTGGGCCGCCGCTGAGTTGTCAAGTCTGCTCTCATTCGTCAAAAGTCGTGCATGAGAGCCTTCATTCCGTCCCTCTGCTCATTGGACCGACTGATGGCGTGAGGCAAGCCTGTTATTCGCTGCAAGGTGAGTACGGAGCAAACTACCTATGTACATGGGTAGTAGTGAAGCGAGGGTCGAGGTTCAATGATGTGGCGGTGGCTTGTTTGGCCCATCTTTGCCCGCCTTTCTGCCTGCCCACTAACTAACGATGGATACATATGTAGGTAGGCGTGTTCGAGGAATGAGATGTTCCTTTACTGTATACGATTAAAAAATCAAACAAATCAATGAAAATTCATCGACAAGCAGAAAGAGAAAGAGAAACATTACCCAACGCTCTCACATCTTCACCCATATTACCCTGTAAGCGTGTCGCCTGTGTCAGTGCTACCTTGCACCAGTCTACCTTTTCTTTATCCCCGCGTGATACGGATACAGGGCGCGCAGCTACCACCACCACAGTGTCCATCACTCACTCACTCACTCACTCACCTACTCAACTTACCTGCTCACTCACCACCACACCAAGAACCACCACCACCACCACCACCACCACCACCACCACACCATGTTTGTCACCCTTGTAACCAGCTGCATAAACCTTCACCAAACTAAAACGCCTTGATTCAGTCCATATATGCCTACCCCGACTTATCGATTCATACTAAGACAGACCTACCCATTCACAGCTTTCCATGATCCCCCCTGCATACATACATACGTTCGCTTCACTGACGTTCTCCCATCTTCCCCTCCCCTCTGCCTTTCCGCTCCCACTTCATAGTAATACATAGCCTTGCATATATATTCCCACCATTTCCCTCCGTGTGCATTCTATCCCCCTAAATCCAACAATCCATTTTCGCATCCGTCCATCTGCTCCTGCACAACATCACCAACATACACACCAGCACTTACACCCGCCCAAGGTCACACAGGGCGTCAACAAAGCACATCTCTCTCCCTCTCACACCAAAAGCTCTCCAACGCTACGGCGTCTGACAAGGTGAACCCTGCTCGGGAACGAAGAGCCTGCCGATCCAAGGACCATCCATCACCTTGGTCTTTTCGTGCCGCTTTCTGTCTGTCGCCTCGCTCTGCAAAACCCAGCTTTGCCAAACCCTCGCATCCGTTCGTCACCCTGTATTTCGACCATCTTGCCGAGGATCAGCTCGCCAAGGAGATCAGAGCGTTACAGCCAGTCGGTCACACTCACAGATGGTCAATATGGCGCCTTCTCATGTTCCCTACGTTGACCCGCGGTGTGCCATCTGCACTGCGCCGGCTGAGGCGTCCTGCGGATGTGAGGCTCGCGCCTTGGAAGTCGCCATTTCCCAGGCTGAGGGACGATTTTTCAGCCCAATGTTCATGGATGTCCGGTATGCATCTTGTCTCTTATATTCTCTCTCTCTCTCTCTCTGCCTCTCTCTCTCTCTCTCTCTCTCTCCATCTCTCTCTCTCCATCTCACGTACACATCAAACCTACACACAGACACCAAACATTCACATTGACTTATATGCGCATGAGCAGCCGGATACACACACCTTCTCCCTACATCTAGTCTCTCACATCTTGTTTTTTTTTTACATTTACATCTTGTTTTTCTATATCTTGTCTCTCCATCTTGTCTCTCACATTTTGTCTCCCTACATTTCGTCTCTCACATCTTGCCCCCTGCACTGTCCCCTACATCTTCTCCCCTACGTCCTCTCTCCAATATCTTCTCTCTTGCACTCGCTAACGCCTTCTTAGCTCTTGGGTCCGCGCCCGCGCCCGCGACTACATCTTGGACTATTACCGAGAGATATCCAAGCCGTGCAGGACCGCCTACGCCCGGCACCGCGACGTCATCCGAGCCACATACCGCGCCAAATGCCCGCCCGAGGACCCCGAGCCCAACTACCGCAACGCCGAGCGCATATACCGCAAAAACATCGACGAGGCCTGGTCCCTCGCCGTCCTGCGCTACCCAGAGGTCCTGGACTACTTCTTTTCTCTCGTCCATATATCCCTCCCCGACGACCAGGACCCGGTCCTGCAACAACCGTCACCCGGGCGCCGCCGGCACGACGACAGCGACGACGGTCGTCCCCCCTTTAACCGCCTCGGCGAATTCAGGCACCGTAGGCGCAGGGTCTTCGAGCCGAAGAGGTCGGCGCCGATCCCCGCGTTTCCCATACCCCCGCGGCAGCCCAACGGCCAGCCCGCGGTGGCGGGGCGGCCCGGTTGGCCGACGCCGCCCCCATCGCCGCAGGCGTTTCCCCAGCAGCCGCAGCCGGGCGCCTGGTCGATGCGGTAAGCCGGATGGCGGATGACGTACCTGCAATGTTGGGGCGGGACAGGGGAGAAGGTTTATGAACCTGGGGCAACGAAGATGGGAATGGGCACATGTCAGAGACCCAGAATATTGTTTTGGCAGCATGGCAACGGAGTTTCTCGGTTATATCTTTTTCTATCTTTATCATTTTATTGATATCGGTTTATATTTTATATCTTGTTTAACTTTATATTTTTCTTGGGGGTTTACTCAAAGGCGTTCGGCTTGGAGGCCTGGCGGCCAGGTTGGAACACAGCATACACTCGCATCTCTAATCACCTAGTATTTTTCTTGGTTTATAGCTAAATTCATTGATTTGCTTTCGCTAAAAAAAACAATGATCCCAATTCTTTTCCCGCTTTTCACCTCTCCCCTCTGCACTCACCCCATTGTAGTCGTTCTCTGTGAATTTGTAACTTTGAACCCAAATCAAAACCGCTCCCCATGAAAATTCTAAACTCTTGCCCTTCATATTCTTACACAACTGAGCATCAGCTTTGGTATATCCCAAGCATACGCCAAAAGAATAAATCGTTGAAGAGAGAACATTGAAAAATTTTCAGATACTAAAAAAGGAAATTGAGAGAAACCACGACTCCCATGGTGACAGGTGAGTGGAGTATTGTATGCTGCGTCGTCCTGGACATGTGCTGATGATGGAGTGCAGGTGACTCCTATGCAAAGGAGATTTATAACCCATGATCGGGTCGCTTAAGCCTCCTGCTTCTCCGAGATGGAAGCCTTGCTGAGATCCTCGGTGACCTTTTCAGTCTTGTCACCGTTAGTGCCTTCCTCGTCGGCCTTGTCAAGTTCCTCGATTCTCTTCTTGGCGGCGTCAATGTTCTGGGAAATGTTAGAATTTCACTATCAACGCAAGACTCTTTGACGTAATCCTTACCTTCTGGGTCTGGGCAGCTTGATCAGCCTTCCAGCTGTTGAGCTTGGCCTGAACCTTCTCAATGACGGTAGGGACATCGTCGGCGCTCATGGGAGGGTCAATTCCCATGGAAGCACAATCCTCAACGACGGAGGGGGGGCAGTTGTAGCCCTTGGCGTTGACGCTGGCACCACCCTTCTTGCCCTTCTTGCCCTTCTTGGCGGCAGGGAGGTAATCGTCCTCGCGATCCTCCTTCTTCTTGAGGGCGGTACCCTTAAGACCGGTGGCGTCAACGGTACGCTGGGCCTGGGCGGTCAAGCCACTGGCAGCGAGGAGAGGAGTCTTCTCGGCCGTCTTCTGGCTCGGGTCAAGGAAGGCGAGGAGGTTGGTGGCGCGGCGAATCTCCTCGAGGAAGGCAGGGTCGCTCGCCTCGGACAGCAGACGCTCGGCCTCAACCTTCTTGCGCTCGAGGTGGTAGCGCTTGTTCTCGGCCTCGCGGCGCTCGCGGGCCTTCTCGCGAGCCTCGCGCTCGTAGGCCATGGCGGCCTTCTTCTGCGAGTAGTAGTCGTCCTTGACCTTGCGGATGGCGGCATAGGTCTCCTGTTGCTCGGCGTGGAGTTTGGTGCGCTCGTCGCGCAGGCTGGACAGGCCCTTGTAGGCGGTGTCCTGCTCAGCCTTGATCTGGTCGAGCTCGGCCTGGATCTTGTTGTACTGCTCGGACATGGCCTTTTGCTCGGGGTCATCCATGGTGTCCTTGATCTCCTTGATCTTGGCGCGGAGTTCGTCAATCTGCTTCTGGGAGTCGTCAAACTGGCCAAAGTTCTTGCGGATCTTGCGCAGGGAGGAGATGTCAGTCAGGGCCTTGCGCTCGTCGACGAGCTTCATGGTGCCCGAGTTGACCTTTTCATCGAGGCTGGCAATTTGGCGGTCAACATCCTCGACCGTCTTGTAGGGGACCTTGGCCTTGGCGGCCTTTTGCTCGGAGATGCGGCTGCGAACCTGCTCGTCGAGGCGCTTGATCTGATCGAGCTTGGAGGTGCGAGCGTTCTTGCCACCGGCCTGCTTCTGGCGGATCTCGTTGGCCTGAGCGATGAGTTCCTGGCGACGCTTCTGGACAGGGCTGGGCTGGTCCTTGTTCTTGTTGGGCATGGCAACGTCGATCTTGGCCTTGACAGCGTTCTAGATGGGGGTCAGTATGTTGCCAAAAAGGGATATTGCGCACACGGGCCGGTATTGGGTTGACGGCGCATAGAATTTAGCCATCGGAGAATTCTGGACTCCTCCGTGTGCGTTGGATAAAGTTCCCACATACCAGGCGGTCCATGGCGGCCTTGTGCGCCTTCTCGGCCTTCTCGAGGTCGGCCTTGAAGACATTCTCGTCGGGCTTCTGCGGGCGAGTGCCAGCAGGGGCGGGAGCGGAAGCGGTAGCAGTCTCGGCAGCCATTGTGTCGGCAGGGTGCAGTTCAGAGAGGTCCCAAAGGAAGCAAGGTCCTATCCGAGGCTACAGAACAGGGGTCCTCTTGCGAAGAGACAAGAAGAAGGAAAGGGGGGTCAAAGAAGTCGTTGGGTGGAAGACAAAAGACAAAAGTTGGTGGACGGACAGGAAGGAAAAGGGCCAGCTGGGCTTTAAAAAAAGTGGTTATGTGCAAAGCTGGTCTCGGCCCTTCCCCCACCAAGTGCCAGTGAGTGGCATGAACTAGGCAAGTACCAGGTAGGAGGAATTTGTACTATAAGGGTACTTGTTCCCGTCCCAATTGGGGTTATTAAAACCAAGGGTCCTTTTAGTTTGTAGAGATGGAAGGAATGGCTTTGTCTAAGTTCGTGAAGCGCAAGGTTGGCTTTTTATAGTCCTAACGCTGTACGATTGTAAACTCGGAATTGCGGTTGTCTCGTGTTTTCAATTTACGCTTTTGTGTGTGGGCGTACAGCATGGACAAGTGTGTCGCGGTAGGCGAGGGGAGAGGTCCCGGGAATAACTGCCCTGACCATGGTCACTGTGATTGTGTCGAATTCCCGGGATTTCCTGGTATTTCGCGGCACGTCATTAGCGAGCTAGTTACCTTCGCAGGCAAGGCATTTACATAGTTGCCTTGAAACGGGCATCGTAGCGACAATGACATGTAGCCATCCGTCCATCAGTCCAGCCCAGTCCATTGCCCAACCATCAAAATCTTGGTGGAGCCGAACCTTTTGTATGTACGTACCGCCTCTACCTCGCCAGCGAATCACATGACCCGCTGCCCAGGAAATTCTGCGCTTCGCGAACCTCAACGCCTGGCCGCGATAATGCGATAGCAACTTTTTTTCCTTTGCCTCCGTCCCCAAGCCGCCCTCTGTACAACGAACCAGCGACTTTTATCGACCGTAGCAGCTGGGCATCTCTCTTCCCTTGGTTTCTTCTGAATTCTTCTTCTTTTTTTCCACGTTTTGCATTGGGCGCTTTTCTTGGACTTTCCGTTTTTTTTCTACGCCAGACACGATGGATGACCTCCCCAATGACGCACGCTCTAAGGAAGTCGTGAGGCTCTGGAGAGCATGGAAGACGGTGCATGAGATGGTGGCTGACCGAGTACGATTTTCTTTCCCCCTACATCCTGTCGGCGCGCAGCGACTCGAGCTGCTGCACCTTGGTGCTCGATAGATGCCAGGCGTGCGCGTGCGCAGTTGGGCTAACAGTTTGCCTGTCCCTCAGGAATACGAACTCGCCGAGGATGAAATCAGCATCTCCCTTGACCGTTTCCGCAACGAATTCTGCAATCCCGACGGCAGTGTCAAGTACGCCCCCCCTTCATCCTCCATCGCAACCGCCCCCGTCTCTAACATCGCCCAGCCGCGGCAAGCTTCAGTTCTCCGCCCGCCCGTCCGACGCGATGCTTCGCAAGCACACCCCTCCCGCCACCGACGCCAACCCAGACCCGGTCCCCGACTGCGGCCCTATCTGGGTCGAGTTCCTCGCCGACAAGCAGTTCGGCGTCGCCCAGATCCGCCAGTTTGCCAAGTACACCATCACCAACAACTACAAGACCGGCATCATGGTCACCCACGTCGCCCTCTCGCCCGCCGCCCGCAAGTCGCTCGCCTCCGTCGAGAACCTCGCCAAGATTGAGTGCTTCCTCGAGGACGACCTGCTCGTCAACATCACCCACCACGAGCTCGTGCCCCGCCACGTTCTGCTCTCCCGCGAGGAGAAGATCGCCCTGCTCAAGCGCTACCGCCTCAAGGAGACCCAGCTGCCGCGCATCCTCGCCAAGGACCCGGTCGCCCGCTACCTCGGCCTGAAGCGCGGGCAGGTGGTCAAGATCATCCGCGTCAGCGAGACGGCGGGTCGCTATGCCAGTTACAGACTGTGCGTCTAGGCTGAGACATGAGGTGAACGACGACCGCGATGCGACGATAGAAGACCAAGATACAAAAAAAGAAGAAATCACTGGTGGGGATGCCGGCCGAACTGAGACGACTCACCTGTACAGTTTGAAAAGGATGGATTCTGCGATATTATGGGACGGCGTTTTATGGGGGATAACATTTTCACTTTTTTGACATTTAATTCCCAAGCGCAAAATGGCTAGGTATCTAGCATGAATAAATAGAAACCTACCCAATCAAGATGAAAAATAGCAAATCTGGAAGCATCAAATGACTATACATTGAAATTGAATGTACACGAAAGCTGCTTGAGGGTTCTGTTACATAAGCATGTGTATGACCAAGCTTGAAATCACTGAATTGCTCAAGAGTTTCAAGATCATATCAGCAGGTGTATTGACCAGCGCTTTATGCGTATATATATATCTGTAAATAAGAAACGTCCATCACATATGCACCGTAATCAAAACCAGAAAAGTGACGAAGACAAAAAGACGAAAGGTCCCCAGGGTATATATGCGCCAGAAAATCAGAGAAATCGCTGTATCCAAGCCCAATGTAGCGCCCAATTAGTAACCGTCCATGTTAAAACCCCGCTCCCCGTGTCCACAGCTATAGTATACAGACAGAAGGGTAAAGAAAGTAAGTCATCGCGGGGCATATCATTGTTGGAATGGAGATCGGCATGCAGTGTGTATGTACATCCCGTAACCCGGGGCATATCGCTGCAAAAGGACGATCAAAATCCTTCTATACAGGCCCCGACTGATTGCGGGGGCGGTCTTGCAGCTCAAAGGTTGACTGCGGAATGGGCTGCAGCTCGGTGCCGTTGCTAGACTGGGAGCGTGCGGAGCGGCTGTTTAGAGGGCCGAGAAGGCCGCCGAGATCTTGCAGCAGCGCCGAGGATCCGCGCCGCAGGCCAGTCGAGCTGGCAGGGACAGCGTTTGCGGGAACGCTGTGAGAGGAGCCGGGCCCAATGGTTGACGAGGTGTGGCTATCACGGCGATAACTTCCGCTGCTGGTCCCTACGGAGCTGTCTAATAAGCCCCCGACATCGAAAAAGGTCATCTTTCTGCCCCCTTGGTGGGAATCTGTCTTGGAGAGACGATCGTCGGGGAGGATCGCGTCGTCGCTAGCGGCTTCACCACTCAGCGTTCCGTTTTGGCGAGGCCATTCCCCTTTCATGTCGGCGGGTTTTGCAACAATGGATCGAGTGAGAGTCTCTCGCAGCTCCGGGCCGACAGCTAGACCAACGTCTCTAACAAGATCCTCATCACTGCCCCAGTGCTGATGCAGGGCGGGGCGTCGCGGGGCGCTACCGCGGTCAAACGAGTCGGCGGCCGAGTTGCGGCGAAACTTTTGCTTCTTCAAACCACGGTCGCGGACAAAAGAGCCGAGGACCAGGGCGTTGGCTGCGGCGGTGGCAAACAAGATTTCGACGGAGGCGAGGAGCGATCGATATTGTTGGCGGCCTTGGTTCCAGATGATGTGGGGGACTCGATATAGTGTGACGCAAACAACGGAGAGACTTAGTGAGAAGAGTAGGACAAGCTGGATCTTGCGCTTGGCATGCATTTGACTGCGTAAGATAATGGGGATGGGGAAGATGACGAGTAAGAGATCGGTCAAGACGTTGCAGGTGGCCATAGTGAGGAGCTGGACGTGACCCTGGCGGCATTGGCCACCCGGATCAGGCAAGACTTGCCAGTAATGTCTGAAGGGCTGGCATTCGGCCAGGTCGCTCACGACGACGGCGATGAAGGTTACGAGCAGGGTCCATCGGAGGGCGACCAGTGTGTTTTGGTAGGATCGCTGCCAGGTGATACCCGTGACTCGACGGAGAAACTCAAGAATAGCGCACTTAAGAACCCATAGGCTATGAATCCCGGTCAGCACGGTACCAAGTAGTAAAAAATGGCATCGAAACAACATATTGGGCTGAGGGGGAGGTAGCGAGAAAGTAGTGTGTGGTAAACTTACGTAGCGGCATAGAAGAATCGGCAGAGCAGAACTAAGCCGCTGGCTATCGACTTTTGGCGCAACTCCTGGGGGGTGAGGACAACACCAGTGAAATCGGCGTTGTTGGTGCCGTTGAGTAGAATGTAATGAACGCATGCCATGCGCAAGGCCAGAGGGATGACGGCGATGGCGGCAATCTTGTCCTCGAGAAAGAGGCGCTCGGTGCGAATGAAGCGGCCGGCGACGCGAAGAAAAATCATGACGGCGCAAAAGGATGTCATCCACCAGCAGACAAGCAGGGTCGGCTTGTCGTGGCGAAATGGCAGCAAACTGGGGGGGTCCGAGTAGAGCGTCATGGTGTCAGATGCGCGGAGCCGCGCCCGCCGGTCCTCCGGAGAGGATGCGACGAGCGAGGTGGGAGGTGGAAGAGGTCGGGCGGGAGGGATGGCCCCTGTCGCGGCGCGCAGATGGCAATCAACTATCCGTAACTAGAATATCTTCGTTGTCGATGTGCTGGGTAGCGGAATTGGTGGTGGTGGTGGCGTGGCGGCTGGGGTGTCATGGGCCTGCAGGTTGACTGGTTGAGCGGGCAGCGTGCGATGGGCGTCGGATGGCGATGGTATAAGAACGGCAGCGTCGGTCAGGATGTGGCGGACCGATCAAGACGAGACGATGCATGGGGCGATCAATATCGTCGAAATAGGCAGAAGAAATGAATCGATCCGGATAGTAGAGTAGGGCGATAGGTGTATTTGCTGTTGGGTGTGGCGAGGTTGGGGTGATGCAGCTGAGGTCAGGTTGACTCGCACAGCGAAGAGGTGCAGGTGATAGATAACCAAGGCTGGTGCTAGGCGGGCGACGGACTCGTTGCGTTGTGCGGTTGCGGCTGAGAGGGCGGTGGATTGGCGGACACCGGCGAAAAAAAAACCGAGGACGGGTGCTACATCCGAGAGCGCACACGGGACGGTGCAGAGGGAGAGAGAGACGAGCGAAGGAGGATGAAGCAGGATTGAGGTACGCGTAGTATGGCGAGGGTAGGATGACGGGAAGAAATGAGTACGACGAGGTGTGGTTGAGGGTGTTGCGAGGTGTATGTATTTAGTACCTATGTACTGTAGGTAACAAGAGGGAAAGAGCTTTTTGCGGAGGCGGAGTCTGCTGTCGAGTCGAGTGGATAATTGGGATTGACGAGGAGGCCGGCCCTGGACAATCGACGTGGGGAGAGAGGGTTGGTGGTCTTGGCTTGCAAATTTGGCTTGGGAAAAGGCCGGACAGACGGACAGAGAGAGGCGGAAGAGGAGGAGGGGAGACGAGGCCAGCAAGGATGGAGGGATGGATGGATGGGTGGAGGATGATGGGGTGTGGGAATTGAGGGGACGCTAATAATCGTCAGGAAGGCGGGCAGGCTGTGACAAGCATGGCGTACTGAGGTAGTATGTAGGGGCAGGGAATATCCATCTGCACCAGGCAATGACGATACACAAACGGCGTGTCTGAGTTGTGTGTGTGTTTGGATATAACGGTGCTTTTGGTACTTGATGTATCAATGGTCATGCAGGTCGTGATGAGTAACTAGTGGCTGGTTATCGTTGATGAGGGGGCATGATGATGGTGATTGATGATCATAGTGAGCAGCGCGCATCAAGGCTGCCTAGGTGGGCATGCACGATGCTGCTATCGAGTATTTTTTTACGAGGAGGATGAGGATGGGCGTCGCGCCGTGCCGTGAGCGAGCTGAGGAAATGGACGCTGCTTATCAGTTGAAGGCGATGGGTGACTTCAAACGGCGACCACTCGTTTGGGTTGGTTGTTGATGTGATTGGCGCTATTTGGTGGATGAGGTGGAGGATTTGGGGGGGGGGGCTGGCTTTGATGTTGTACATTAAATTGGCAGCCTCGTCAGTGGCAAGAGCAGGTTCCTCCCTCCTCGGACGGCGGACGGTGGGGTGCGTCGCAACCAAACTTCCGCCTTGCCTGCGCGCCTGTTCGCCCTGCTGCCTGCCTTCCCCAGCTAGGTACAAGGGGCTCTCGGCCAACTGACAGCGCCCGATTGACCTGCTGTTTTCCTTCCAGCAGCCGGATTCTTGGTTCTTGCCACATGATCCCCGCCAGTATCGCCTGCTCAGCTCCTCGTCTGTTTTGCTTGAGGCATCCCAAGTTTTTGCCCAAGAATACTCGCCAACGCCGTCGGGAATTAATCATTCCGCAAGGTAGTAATGGCCGCCGCTCGAACCCAACAAAAGCTTAAAAAGTAACCATTGTCGTGTCAGCTTAAGACAAAACCTCCCACACTCCCACGTTTCCAGCCTGCTAGTGTGCGCCACCGTTGACGCTAACTAACAAATTGGTACCGTAGGAATACTGAAGAAAACTCGGGTAGTCAATTCATCATTAAGCAAACAGCCTTGCCTGAGAGGGCTGGCACAACCAACTGCGTGCTCAGCTCAGCACTTATACCTACCCCTATATTCCATCCACCTGGCAATATCTCGCCGTTCCTCCTCATTTCCTGACACGCGAGATAATTTTGTTGGTTGGATAATCATTCGACTCCTTCAATGGCCGGCGCCACGTCGAGCCGACTGCAGTCTCCAGCCTCCTCGTCTCCTACGTGCCACGACATGAGGCATTAGTTAGTCACCGCCTAAGTATACATACATACATACATACATATGTGACGGATGGCTCGCTTCAGCATCACTCCTTAATTGGTGCCACCGAATTTCAACCCGCCGCGATCCTTCCGTTTGTACCATCTCGGTCAATTTCCAACCAACTCGCTTGCCTATGAAATGCACTGATGTCGCGAGTCAGCCAGCGCCTTTTACCTGGCCTTGCTGCCGCGCAAAAGCAGAGAAAAAACTTGATGCGCCACTGGCCTCTATTCCCACAGACTCGGCCCACCGCGGACTGATAACATTGGGGCTTTCTTGGTTCGACTAGGACAAATTCAACGCCGAGCGCTGGGGTGCATGACGCTAATCATCACTATGCGGGCGCAGGCTTTTTTTTTACCCCAGTTGCCCAGCCCAGCCCAGCAAGAATCTTGAGCACGGCCCATCACCCACCATCCATAGCGCCCAGAGCTGTGAGGCCAACGATAACGGCCATGGCCACTCTCCGGCATTGCCCTTTCTTGTGGCGTAAAAACGAATAGCCATCTGTAGATTACCGAGTACAGTGCAACGGCGGTTACACAGGGACCACTCATAAATATCCTATGGGCACTGCCGTGATATCTGCAAAATACCGCTCCGTCCCCGAGTAGCAATCAGTTGTTACCTCGTGAGCACGTACTCACCTGCCCAGCACACAGACACCCCTTGCTGTTAACTGTGTATCCGTACCGCATCGTATCCTGGTCAGAAGCTGCATCTGCATACCGATTACCCGCGACCAGCCAGCCTTCTATTGGAGCAGAAAACACCCTGCCTGTTGCTTTTATTAGCGCTCTGCCCGTGTCACGCGGGCCTACAAAGTGCTTGCGCTCTTTTTTTTTCTCAACTTCTTACCGCTACTTTGCCAATATGCCTTTTCACTCTGTTACAATGCATTCATCACTCTATCCCTAATAACCGCATGCCTACATATGTACAAATCCCTCCTCTGCAGAGCCTCCTCGATGGTGTGCCTGATTGTCTTAGACAAACACCATCGGCGAATTTTTGGACGCGCCTCTGATTCACCCACCCACACTGTCTAATATACATTCCGAGAATGAGACATGAAACATCTCTCACGTAATTCGTAGGAATCCTCCGTATTGTTTTAAACATGCGATTTTAATTTCAAACCTGAAATCCTACTATTTACTTTTTTTTGAGATATTGGCGGCCATAAGCCTAGGGAGAGCCTCGATTGCCTCCTTGAAGCATAAGATAATCCGCATAATGTCGTGAAGTATATTACTCAACTTCGCTTCCATCGGCGAGCCCCCTACTACACTAGCTGTAGCTTCTCTACCACGGTCTTGACGCTTCCCTTGTCCGCCTTTCCCCAGTCCACGCCCAGAAGAACATCTGCACTACCACCCTTGCCCTCTCCGCTTCCATCCATCAGCCCCCAAAGCTCATCGACGACAGCCATGCGCACCCTCGGCCACGGGTGGTAGAACAGCGCCGCAAGCCTCCTGCGCGCCTCCGCCGGCCCCCCATCTCCCTCCTTGCCTTCCTCTGCCACAACGCAGCCATACACCCTCACGCAAGCGAGGATCTTGCGCACGTTGCCCGTCTTGTAGCCCGCCTTCTGCGTCTGCAGGCACAGCCCGCGCAGGCCAACGCCCCCTGACCGCCGCAGCGGCAGGCCCGTGTGGAAGAGGTACGCGAGCACCTCGAGCGTCGGCACGACGACGCGGTCCTCGGCGCGATACTCGGCGAGGTTGCGGACGAGCGCGCCGCACGCCTGCTGCAAGTGCTCGGGGCGCGCCTGGCAGAAGGCGGTGAGTGCCGCCCGGCTGGTCACGACGAGGTCCTCCTGGCCTGTGTCGGCGGAGGTGACGAGGCCGGCCATGAGCTGCGACGTCCAGGAGTCCGGGTCCGCGGTGGCGGTGGCCGCGACGGAGGGGAGAAGCTTGCCGTGTGAGAGGAGCTCGAGCAACGTCGTAAAATACTGCTGCGATGACGTCGACAGGTCATTCAAACTACTTGTCTCACTGAAGGCCTAGATGTTAGCAAAGGGGTTGAAATAGTGGAGAGAGCAACGGTACCTTTCTTGCATCGTCAGGGACAGCGCCAACTGCGCTTCTGGTCGGACCTTGTCCAGCTTCTCAGCCGACAGGCGCAGCGTGCTGTAGAACAGCTTCCTCACCGACTGCACCACCCACTCCTCCTCCCCGGTCGTCTCACCAATCTCGGCCCACAGCACCTGGACGGCCTTGAGCGCCTGCACGCGCACCTGCGAGCCGACGTCTCCGCGCGCGTTGGTCGTATAGTCGTTCAGGCCGTCGGCCAGGAGCGGCAGGAACGCGAGTGGCTTGCTGCGCAGCACCTGCGTCCGCGTCAGGCTCTGCAGCAGGGACACGCGCGTTTCCACCTGTCGGTCGGCGATCCAGCGCGCGACAAAGGCCTCGCTCACCACGTCGTCCCACTCGGCGTGGTGTGATGTCGCCTCCGCGAGCGGCTGCGCCATGGCCAGCGCGTGAAAGTAGCCCTGGCCGATAATGGTCGCGCGGCTCGCCGGGCGGTGCTGCACGAGCTTGGCCCATTCAAGCAGTCGCCGGGTACGGTCCTCATCGGTCGAGAGCACCAGCAGTAGCAAGGCCGTGGTGGAGGCGGCCTCGACGGTCTCGGGCTCCGGAAAATCGAGCCACGCGGTGATAAGGTCGGCAAGCTTCTCGACAAACAGCACCAGGACAGGATTTCGCGGCACGTGCTTGCGCACAGCGTTGAGAAAATCGACGACATACGTGCCGGAACACCTGGGCGACAGGAACTCTGCTCCAGGTTCAACTTTGTCCTCAAACCCGTTGTAACCTATTAACACTTGTAGGAGGGGGGTAGCAGACACAGCGACTCGACTCGCCGCCTCCGCGATAAGCTCCGGCCGTCTGTAAGTCGTTTCGTGGCAATCTTGTAGGACATGACAAACCGCCGTGACTGCTGCCGTGGCCGTGTGAATACTGGCTGCACCAGAATTTTGAAACCCTGAGAACTGATCCAGAATAGAGGCAAGGCACAGAAGTAAACCATGACGCTCTTCGACCTGCCTTGTTGCCAAGCCTTCAAGTCTAGTCAGTACCATTTTCAATGACATTTCGAAGCGCCCAACATCTTCCTGTGTCGAGTGTTCTCGCATGACCGTAGTTAGAGCGCCAAACGCCACGCCAGAGTCTCTCCGAGATGGGGCATCCATGTCGCCGACGCCGCGCCAGCCCAGAATCCCGTGAAGGAGAGAATCGCCGTACTGGCTGGCAAGCCGCGTCGCGCTCAACACCACTTGTCTAACGGCTCTAGACCGCCGAGCGACCGCGTGGTAGTCGACACTCTGCACCACCGCAATGCCTTGCTCGACCGTGTCCGGGTGGCGGCCGATGAGCTCTTGCAGGGCGGCTGAGGCGCCGCGGCGGATGTTGCCAAAGGGGTCAAGGCAGGCGGCCGTCACCAGCTCGGTCGCGAGCACCTGCAGGATGGAGCTGTCGGGCGGGTGCGCCTTGGCCGCGAATACGGAGCGCGTGGGCACAGCGAGCAGTTCGGCGGTGGCGTAGCGGCGGGCTATGGCCCAGACGCCAAAGCAGGCGGCGTCGCGCACGTTGGCGCCGACGCTGGTGCCAGCTAGAGAACGCTGTTCAAACGATAGGCCGAGGAGCAGGGCGTGGATAATGTCGGATAGCTGATTCGCTGGGGGTGATCGTTGGTAAAGAAGATGGGAGAGAGTGAGGACGAGTCCGTGCCACTCTAGATGATTGACGGCCGATAAATCACGTACAGGCCGGCCACCCTTTTTAATTTCGTCCTTGTTCCATAGTACATTACGGTTGAGTGACTCAAGAACAGCCTCGACTACCTGGGACGCCATGTCCGGATCAAGTTTAAGCGTGATGACACTGAGTGACTTGCTCGCTGACATGCGCACAGGTGTGTCATTGTCAGATAGGCTTTCCAGCAGATATCCAATCGCCGTCTCGGTCATTTCCATGCTCTGCATGTCCTGACTACTCCTGCGCAGACTCGTCACGACCACCGACCGGATGACTTTGATGATCATCTTGCGTGCCAACGCCAGCGCATTAACAGCCTTGGACACGTCAGTGTCGTTGAATGTGAGGGCGTGTACGGCGTTGAAGACGGTCGACAGATGGGTATTCATGTCGGACGTCTCCGAGGACGACCGTAGGATGCCAGCGAGAAAAGAGAGAATGCCGAGGTAAAAATAAGCTGGGCGCGGCGCGGCACCATCTTGCGGTCGCAGGGACACGACAGCCCAGTCGACCAGACTGTCCAGCACGCCCAGCGCCTGCATGTCCCTGCGCATCGCCAGCCGCACGAGCAGCGCCTTGGCGGCGTCACGCTCCCTGCTGGCCGTGGCGAGGTACTTGACGGCCAGCGGCAGGATCCGCAGCGTGATGCCGGGCAGAGTCTCCCGCAGGCGCAGGCCCTCGACGCGAGGGGCGGCGTCCTCCTCAAACTCGACCGAGGAGATGGTGGCAAGGTCAAACGGCGCGAAGAGGAGATGCGAAAGCCACAGCAGCACAATGTACCTCTGCTCCCAGGCCCAGCCCCGGGCAGGCGTGGCGGACAGCGAGTCGCTGGGATCAAGATGAGTCGAATCTGCGGCGGCGGCGGCTGCTTGCAGCTCCGCCTCTTCGATAGAGGACAGCAGCAGCTCGAGGTACTTGGCCTCGGCGTTCAGGAAGCGCACAATGACCTTTTCGCCGCGCACCTTGCAGAAGGTGTAGAGGATCTTGGCGATGGCGAAGGCGACGGGCACCAGGGCCTTGGAGCGGGCACCGCCATCGCGCCGCGCGGCGGTGCGGCGCGGGGTGGTCAGGTCCTCCAGGTAAGATTGGGCCAGGAACGGGATCCATTTGGGGAGATGCGGATCGAGCAGCTGGGGAAGCTCTTGGAAGTTGTCAATGACCTGTGTCAAAGAGATGATAGTAGTCAGCCAGGGCATATCAAGAAAGGGGCAGGGCAAGGTGGGGGGGAGGTGCCGTCACATCCATATTACCCGGATGGCTTGGTAATGAAAACTTACGTCGCATGTCGCCGCAAATGCTTCTCGGGCGCGGACAAAGGACCTGACTCTCGTGCCACCGCTGCCGTCCGGCTTGCGGATATGAGTGACGAGCGCCTTGTCGAGGTCGGCAAGGAGGTCTGTCGAGATCTTCTGGAGCTTGTTGTCCAGGTCCTCGTCTGCAGCGTTCATCTTGGGGGGTTACTTTCTGTGTTATGGAAGCCCAGGGGGCTTTTGATGGAACAATGCGTCGGCTGGGGTGTGCCCGGGGCGGGCTGGCGAGCCCGTTTGAGTGAGCAAGGCAGCAGGATTACGAGCGATCTCCTGGCTTCGCACCGTGTTTTCCGGAAAACAACAACTGCAACCTATTCTCGAGGAAGCCCTCAGTACGAAAACCTTTTATCGTTTCTCTGGAACCCTCACGGTTCTCGCGAGTTGGTTCTTGGGATGAGTGCTTGAGAGGCATGGTGGAGTTGAGGCCAAGAAAACGAACGGTGTGGCCAGTGCGAGTGAGTCGGCGATCCACTTTGTGAAGGATGCAAGGTACAGGGTAAGTTGCGATGTGGGAACAGGCAAAGCCAGCTTGCTCATGCAGGTGTTGTAGCAAAAAAAAAACCATTATGTTCTTTACATGGAGCAAATTATGCGAAAAATATGAGCGTATGCAAAAGTCACAATAAATCTTTAACTGTCTGTGTTCAAGTCAATACAGATTCCCGATGGCCATCGTCTTGACTGTTCCTGACGCGTGTAGATATCCTTGGACTAGAGAGCAAAGTCATCTACATTATTCCGCATCAACACCACAAGGATAGCCGCTTTGTCATCATCAGTAGCAAACACAAAATTGGCCGAGGATCAGATGCTGGCGGCGGCGATGCTCGTGTCGTCGGGGAGGGCGCGACATGGCGTTGTGGCGCTCGTAGCGGCCGAACGCCGACGCCGCCGCCGCCGCCGACGCCGCCGGCAGCCCCCCCCCCTTTTCAGAGACGGAGATGCGCCTCCTGCGGCAACTCGACGCTGTGTCGCTGCAGTCCTGTAAGCCGCCGGAGCCGGTTAAAGTGAAGTTGTTCCCTGTTTAATTTAGTTGCTGCTAGATGTTGATCACTTTCCTAGTTGCCATTGAGTTTCCGACTGCCACGCGAGCCGGTTCTATCCCTGACGTATTACCATCGAGCTACATAATGCGATGGCGTAACAGGCGTTATCTCCACGCGCCGATCTCTCGTTCCCGGTCGCAATCGTGGGGGACCCCAGAGAAACGTTTCCCGTATGTGATACCCATATGTTGACGTGTAAGCCATCGGTCGAATTTGTCATGGGATTGTATCAAGATAGGTGAATCAACCAACTGCCGACCCGTCGAATAGATAGCAGCCAGGAAGGAGCATTTGGGTAGTTGACCAGTCAGAAGATTCCATAGCGCGGGTTTGTCATTTACAGCCGGTAATGGAAATAATGTAGTTGCCTAATACTAACACTACTCTTCGTACTAGCCTCCGCCTGACGTTGAAGTTGCAATTTCGACTTGTAACAGTAACGGACTTCGCCATAACAGCAACCTTGATCAATAATTAGATTGCCTTGCTTAGTAGGCAGATAGATAGTACTGTACTCTCGGTTATACTAATTCTTCTAGTTGAAATTTACGTAAATTGGCATTATTCAGTAGAGGCAAGATGCGTCAGGAGACTTCGGCAAATGTGATTTCAAGGAGTAGGAGTACCGTCAGTTCCTGTACGTGACTTGTATATAAAGCACCTTGGACCGACGTTCGTTGATACCTGCATTCATCATTCGACTTAAATCACAAAACACTTCTTCAACCGAATTATCAGATATTCTTGGTCTTTTCAACATGAAGTTCAATTCTGCCCTAGCCGTGGCTGGCGCAATTGCCAACTCCGTGGGTGTTGCAGCCCATCCGTCTGGAGCTAGTACTGTCACCAACACCCACTGGTCCGGCGCTGTCTTGAGCAGCCAGGGGGTCACCAACGTCCAGGGAAGTGTCGTTGTCCCCAACATTTCCGGACAGTCCTCGGATGACTCGGTGGCCATCTGGGTTGGCATTGACGGCGCCGGCGGTGGCACCTGCGGAAACACCCTCATGCAGGCCGGCCTTCTTGTCTACGGCGATGGAACCATCAAGCGTAAGTGGCTTACCGCCCACTAAAACTGCTACACGGACAAGCATAAACTGATCGTGACTGCCAATAGCCTGGTATGAGTGGTGGCAGCACGAGGAGATCCAGTTCTTCAACCAAGACTGGGATGTCCAGGCCGGAGACACCGTCTTCATGCAGGTTCAAGCAAACTCCACGTTGACTGGCGTCACGTACCTCACAAACCAGAGAACCGGCCAGACGCTCACTCACCAATTCGAATCCAGCGAGTCCCCCGGTGCTCTTTGCGAGGCCTACGCTGACTGGGTTGTTGAAGCTATTAGCTTTGAAACCAACAACTATGCTACTCTGCCAGCCTTTGGCACCATCACCATCACCGACACTCAGGCAACCACCAATGGTGGCAGTGCTACTGCCGACAGCGCTGAGATCTGGAACATGGGAGGCTGGGAAAACAACGTTGTCAACTGCAAGCATGCCGGAAGTGGTGCCGTCTCCTGCACTCGTGGATAAGTCACTTCTCTAAGTGATGGGGATGTACTGCATCGCATTATCTAGGCCACAGTGTATAGATCTAGGCCACAGTGTATATATCTAGGCCACAGTGTAGAGATCTGGGCCACAGTGTACATTAATGTGTCTAGAGCCTAGATAGTTTAGAATCCAAGATTTGCAGATGACTCAGGCACTCAGTTTCATCGATACAGCCTACCTTGTCTGGTAACATGAGCACCCAAGCACCCAAGATGTGTGGGTTAACATGAATAATAATAAGACTACTAACACAATAACCTCTGCTACAATAGCTATAAAAAGATCTGCATACAAAGATGAGGCTCAAGCGAAGCCGCTGTGGCACAAACGAATCATTCAGACACTTGAATGTCCGCCGTTTATGCCGCACCAATTGCTGCAACCAACGCGTCCAGGGCACTGCTTTGTGTATGGCTGGTTGCATCATAGTACGGGCCAGCCCACGCAACACCAAGCTTGTTCGAGCTCTCCTCTCGATCCTTTTTCCAAATAGCATTTGCGTTTGTAAGAATAAAAGATCGAAACTGGGCATCAGGAGAAACCTTGTGCAGGTATCCCAAGTTCCGAATGAAGATTCCCTTGAATTGCTGTCCATCCGCACCACACCGACCCTCTGTGTATTCGCAGCCGCCATATTCCACCAGGACACCATCCTTGTTGGAGAGTTTATTAATGGCCGCCTTGGCAATCTTGGTGGCTTCGCCGAGTAGAGTTCTATTGCCAGTTGCATGGAACAATTGGACGAGGCCGCCGAGGATGACGCCCTGGTTGTAGGTCCAAGTCTGTTGACCGTTGTTGTTGCATTTATCGTCCAAGCCGTCGTTGATGAGATTCTCCGAGTTGATCATGCCGCTGTTGGAGAACCAGGTCCATTGGTCGTTGGCTATCTTCAGATAACTTGACTGGCCAGGAAGGTCGTAGTTTGCGAGCGACGCGGCGACAGAGAGGTAGAGTTCGTTTGCGATTGCATTGACATACTTTCGCTCTTTGCTCCAGTAGATGCCGCCACAAGGAGTACCGGCACCAGTCTGCATATCCTTGAAAACGGCCACGGCGGCCTGCAAGTACTTGTCTTCCTGGGTGACGTCGTAAGCACGAATGAGGGCAAGAGCCCACCAACCTTCATCGTCGTAAAATTCGTTGAGAAAGTCGGTGAAGCCGCGCTTGGTGAGCGAACCGTCCCGCTTCGAGCCACAGGCGCCGGAGCCATTGATGCAGTATTGGGATTTCATCATGCCACCCTTGGCAAAGTTCATAAACTTGGCCGTCTGAACGGTGACGTGCTGGGCTTTGTCGAAGGTGTTTGCGATGATGTGGTAGGGGTTGGTTCCTTGCGAAACGGCCGGGCTCGAAAGAACAAAGTCGCCAATAGTGGTGAGGGCATTGCCACTGTTCCACCAGCCGCCCCATAAGCCAGTGTCGTTTTGGTACCAGTTTTTGTTTAAACTGTTGACGCCGTCTTTGGTCTTGTAAGCATACATGAGGGAGCCGGAGAGCGAATCGGTAGATGCGTCGCTGACAGGGACAGCAGAGGCATGCGTTGCAAGAGCCAGGAGGAGGCTCGCGGCCCAAGACGACGAGCACGGCATGATGCTGCTCGTTGTGACAGAGAGGGACTAAACAGAAGCCCCGGCGGATGGGTAAATAAGCGATAAGTAGGCAGATGGCAGCCGTGTCATGGGCTCCGGAATGTGTCAACAGGAGTGCGAGACAGAAGGGAGAGACAGGCTCATTCAAGGCGGGGGTGCATCATGCATAGATATTTGGCAGCTGCAATCGGTGCAGGGTGGAGAGACGGGTGAGACTTCCCTGAGCAACAAGTATCGTATCGGTGACAACGGGAAGAAGCAAGTCGTCCTTGTCTCTCGTCTGGTGACTCAAACCCTGCACCGGCCAGTTGGTGGTTGCCAAGCGTCACGGGATGGGGGATGGGTGCAGAGCCCAGAGCGCATCATCGGGCTCATTGTCTGCGTTTGTAGATCAAAGGGTGTGCGGCGCTTATTATTACCTGTGCCAATCACTGATCAACAAAACAACAACGGATACAAGACAACTGTCTGTGAGACATGCGAGGCAAGTCCAGGCCAGTTGGGGCATGGCGGGGAGGGGATGAGCGAGGCTCTGGCGTCCGGCCCGTTCTTGGTGTGAAGCTGGTTGACCGATCTCAAGCTCTTATCACTCAAGCTTATTATTATTACCGAGCCGAGTACCTACATAGATAGGTCGGCAAGACGTTTATGTGGCACTAAGTTAGGTCGTACCCGCACAGACAGCCACCCAGTCCGTACTGATGTCATCAGGTCAGAGGTACTGTAGGTATCTGTTGAGCTCTTTTTGACATGGTAAAGTTAAACGCGCAACAAGATGGTTTGACAAGGGCTGATGCTGCCATTGTCCTCCCGAACCAAGGCAGATGCCAACTGCTGGCCCAGTAGGTACCTAATAATAGAAAGACGGGCGGCTAGGTACATACATGGTACCTACGTACATACATAGGTACTGAGAATTGAAAGGTTGCCCAACGCCGAAGCCCAAGCCCGCTAGGTTGGTTGGTACCTGGTACTGTACATACATATGTACATAGTTGAGAGGCACCTTCTGTACAGTGAGGCAGACTGCCCATACATAACACGGTAGCACCCGCTGTCTGGCACATGGATGCAGGCGGTGGGTTGGATCGGTGTGTTGTCACTCAATTTTTGGGGAAACACACCAGTTTTCGTAGAGAACTACTCAAATCAGTAAATTAAAGCTCCCTCACGTGTGTCGCCCGGGCATACGATGCAACGCTGTGACGCAATGCACTGTACCGCTATCCTCTGCTGTAACTAGTGGTTGTTCGCTGTTATTTGTTATGGCCAGTGCCCATATCATTGCCAGCGTCACTTTACGTAGTACCATTGCGTCCATATGGAACGCCGCGCCTGGTGTGACAGAAAACACCACAGGCGGGGGTTTTTTTTTTTTTGGTTCCGTTCTTTGTTTCTTTATTTCTTCATTCAAGGCCACGGTGCCCGGTCTGATAAGAGGCAATCAGCGGCCATCGGATGCCATAGCTCTGCTCTCTCTTGCCCAGACCACAAGCGTTGATCCAGGGGGAAGAAAGATACCACAGGTCTCTGACGCTGATGTCGGGTTCGTCGCAGACCTTTGAAAAATATGCCCAAGCAGTCCAATAATTTGGATAGCTACTTGGACACAGATACGTGGCGTCGCAGCTCAACGGCAAGGAGTGAGATCAACACAAGCTTGCCCGACGACGCAAAGTATATGGCTGCAACTCCTTTCACCGGCATCAAAGCAACTCTTCTGACTTGGTCGCTCACGCATCTCGCCGCTGTCCCGAAATCTGCCGGGATTTGTCTTCAAAATGATGAGAGAAAAGGCCGTGTATCTGGTGCTTCACGCGAGACAACCCAAGGTCTCGGGTCGAAAGTGCGAGTCTGTTGGTCAGTCTGGTACCAAGCCAGAGAAGCGCAGTCATCTCCATCTATCCAACCGCCGACAGACAGTCAGCCCTGGTCATCACCCGTGGCCGTCACCATCGGCGCATGACGACACTCGGTGTCGAGCCACATTAGTACCGGGCCCGGGCCGGCTAGTCGGGGAGCGTAGTGCTGAGCCGGCGTCGAGCAGAGACAGTTGTTTGCTATTTTCTCATCGGCTCTGGCTTGGCTTCAAGGTTAGAGTCGTAGTGGTAGTCGGAGTGGATTGGACACGCGATTGAAGCGAAAGGGGAGCAGCTCCAGTGCCGATCTTCTAGCTCTGACCATGGCAGAAAATGTTATTAGTGGCGTCAACGGTTCACCGGGTCCCTCGGAGATGTAACGGTGAGAGGTGCATTGCATTGAGCTGAGGAGGTGAACAATTTCCATCATGGCCGCGAGACGGAAGCTTGAAGACTTGGCGACGATCAAGGCGGCCCCACATCTGCCTCAGATTTCACACTTTCCAAGTCGTCGCCTCCTCACCAGCTTCAACTGAACCACCAAGCCGTTAACCCGCCTTCCGAATTGCCAGCAAGCAATCGCTGATGATTGCTGTGTATCCACTCGAGGCTCTCTGTCCTTTCCCCCCCCTCGCTTCTAGAACCCTCCTCTTTGCTGGCTATTCTTAGATTTGAGACACCGGCGGCGTGATCACCAAAGCGGAAAGTGGCTGGCCCCAAACACTCCAGCAACAAAAATAACCAACGCGCCCTCTTCTCTCAACAATCCATTGAATCGTGACCGCGCGCTCCCTACTATCTCTTATTTCCATCTGTCGCTCTCATATATGCTTGCGTCGCCTGGCGCGCCATAGGGCGATACGCGGGGTTTCGCGCCAGACCGCCAACCAACGAACGAACCAACCCACAACACACGATGCCGACCTATCTCTGCCACGGCTTTCGTTGGCACCGCCGCGACCTGCGAGTCTTCGTCATTCTCAACGACCTGGAGGATGCCGCCCCCGACTGGGTCATCGGCGAGACCACGGCGACCCTGATCCTCGACCACTTCACCAAGATCTTCGACTTCTTGCCCGTCATCTCCGATGATGAGGCCGAGGCGGCCTCGTATCCCTGGAACGGCGTACACCCGACGGCCGCCGCGCTACACCACGATGACAACTTCTCGCAGCCCCCGGCGCGGGTCCCCGTGGCCCACGACCCCGTGCTGCAGTACACCTGGTCGCCGGTGAAGCTCCTCGAGGAGTACGACCCGGACGAGACGGTCAGCCCCGCCCGACCCTACGCGTACGTCGCCGACCACGTCGTCCGCGTCGACCTCGGCGCCGACGTACTCGCCGAGATGGCCGCCTACGACAAGGCGAGCAAGGCCGGCCACCACGACTGGTTCGCGACGCTGCGCGACAACCTGCAAAAGGACTCCGCCATTGGCTGGTACGTGGTGGTGTGCAGCGACGTCGAGCGCGACTACCCGGCCAGCGACGACGGCGAGATAATCTCCGAGGCGGGAGACGCGCGAGCGTCGCAAGGCGAGATGCCGCTGCGGCCCGCGACGACGATGACGACGCAGTCGAGACAACGAGAGTCGTCTGCGACGACCAGCAGCGCCCAGGACTCGCAAGACCAATCAAAGGGGCCAGCGGCCCAAGACTACGCGCACATCAAGCCGCCGCCGATCCCCGATGATGAAAATGCGCAAGGGGCCGGTCCTGGCTTCGCTCGGCGGCCGTCGCTGCGGCATCGCCTGTCCAAGCATGGCCTGCGCCGCTTGTTTAGCAAAAAGGACGACCAGCCCCAGGAGCAGGTCAGGTGATGAGATGAACCATCAATTACATGCTTTCAAGGTGTAGTGGTGATTTTGATTCCCATGATGCGCAAAGGGTCAAAGAAAAGAGTAAGCATGGAGAAGTGTGCTTGTCACGGCCTCTGCCGATTTTGGAGAGAGCTGAGCGGGCGGAGCTGTTACTATTTAACGTGCTACGTGTAACGATATATGTGTCTAATTTTCATTGCCTTTGTTTTTTTTTTTTTTTCTTTTTTAGGTTTGAACAGCCAACGTTATTTTGATACAAACTTGTTCCGCGCATGAGCTGGTTCAAATCCTTCGGTTGAAGTCTGTCACACTTGGCGTTGAGGCTGATGATGCTGTGAAACACGCGGCTACTTCTTCGGGCTTCGTGTCGGCACATCGCATCTAAGTGAACTTGATGATGCGGCAATCGGGAAGCAACAAGACGTAAGTAAACACAGACTGTCAAGAAAAAGGTCATAACATAGGCAAGGACTCAAAGGTGAATCTGGTTGGTGCTAGCGTGGAAGTCATGATACTTACGCTCTCCACCCGTTGGAGGGCCCAGATAGATCTACAGATGAGATGCAATTCTTAGCATCATTTATTAATGCCAAGACCAACAATCAACCTCACATAAAACTCTAGCGTGATTAATAAAAAATAAGGAGGCATACCAGAGAGATCTTTCGGATCGGCAACCGATCTCGTCACGTGTGGAGATTCACTGAGTTCGATTCTGTGTCTATCCCTCGAGGGAGGGTTGGCAACGCTAACCTGACATCTCATCAACGCCTCTGACACCGCGTCGTTTGGCCGGCTCCCACGCCAATGGCCTTTGCAACCTCTATCATTACAGCTATATCCTAAACAACATCGATTTCCTGCCCAACGATACTGCGATTCTGCGAACAACACCAGCTCCCGACCGAGGTTCGTCTCCGGACCCTTGTCGCCCCTCAGCTCAGGGGCAGACGGACCGAAACGCCCGCCCACGTCAGAGCTGTGGTGCCGAGACGAAAGATGGCTACGCTGCGGCCCGGCGAGGCCTCGCCATCCTTTGCGCAAACCGGAGCCGAGCTCGATCTCGACGACAGCGACAGCGACGACGACAACCTGTTCAACCTCGACGACTACGATGAGGACGAGGAGGCCGTGGACCTGCGGTCCGAGGTTGCCGGTGCCGGTGCCGGCGCCGAGGCGCACGAGATGCACGGCCTGCGCGGCGGCGACCGTCCGGGCAGCTCACGGAGCGAAGCAGCAGCAGAGGCGTCCTCGTCGGCGCGGCGCAAACACCGCAGGACGACGACGAGGCGCGGCAGCGGCAACACGGTGGCCAGCTACGAGCTGTACACCCCAGACGAGGAGGCAGCCGTGCGACGCAAGTTCGACCGCCGACTGGTGCTCTTCGTCTCATTCCTCTTCCTGCTGAGCTTCGTCGACCGATCCAGTACGTTCATCGCCCCC